GATGCTAAAATATCTAGAAGTACACTATACTAAACAAAAATATTTTTAAAAAAATCAACTCTAATGCCGATCAACTCTAATGTCGGGTTCAGACCAAGCAGACAAAACAACGACAAGACAGAAACAATTACATTTTACGAATAAAATTGCGAAAATCCTTTTTTTTTCTGTGAGATTTTTGTCTCATTTTTGTTTTGTTTCAAAATTCGGAGAGTTTTCAATGTCCCGTCTCGAGTCGGTAAAGATCAAAGTGTCCATGTTTTGTTCGTATATTTTACGAAAAGCTGACGGCGCAGTGTGGATGGCGTGTGCTGCCAACAGTAGACCTGTAAAATCACACATGGTTAATAAAACTCATTCGCAACAATTAAATTTTTGACAAGAGAAAGAGTGCATCTACCAGGTACCTTGTGAATGCTGTGAGGCGTATATTGGAGAGATTAAACGCTCTCTAAATATACGAACTGAGCGAACAAAAAGGTGAAACATGAAGTCAGGTATTATTGACCATGTTTGGCCAAAACAGCACTATATAAATGTTCGGAAACTCGGGTTGTCCACAGGGAGCCTCATTGGAAAAAGAGTAAATTTAAAGAAGCCGTTTTTATAGCAAGCAAATTAGCAATCCTAGTGAACGACCCCGCTTGTTATAGAGGCCTAAGCAATAACAGTTCGGTCAGAAGACTTATTGACAGTGACAGGGACAGTATTGGTGACAAAATCTCGGAAGACCAAAGCGGATTCACACCGGGGAAATCTTGCACAGATAACCTTTCTGTCCTGCAGCAGGTGATGGAAAAAAAGATAGCAGTAGATCAAGAAGTCCATCTAGCGTTTATTGATTTGAAGAAAGCGTACGACTCTATTCCCCGCAGCAAGATATGGGAAGTCTTGAATATCTTAGAAGTAGATAGACCCTAGCCTAAGATAATAAAAGAGCTATATAAAGAAAATGAATCGTACGTTAAGATAGGACACATGCTATCTAATCCAATTAACACCACAAAAGGGTTGCGACAAGGACGCAGCCTATCTCCTCTGATCTTCAACGCTTATGTCGAAGTAGCCTTTAGAGAGTGGAAGACGAAATGTCAAGGTATGGAAATACCCACTGAGGACAACACACTATTTACCCTGAGCTTTGCAGATGATCAGGTCGTGATTGCGTAGGACTCATACGATCTAGAGTTCATGACTAAGAGGCTTTATCAAGAATACAACAAATGGGGACTTCAGGTTTGTCTAAAGAAGAAGGAATACCTAGCTGTCAATTCCAACGCTTGTTTTGAAGTCTTCATTAATGATAACGTCCAGATTCAACACGTAGACAAATTTAAATACCTGGGTGCTACTATCAACAACGAGGGTTGGGGCAAAGAAGAAATACAAACCCGAATTCAGAAGAGCAAACAAGTTATTGGATGTCTTAATAGCCTCTGGTGGGACCGAAACTTGTCTGCAACAACTAAAAAGAGACTTGGAAGAACATTGGTAGATACAGTTCTTTGCTATGGTTAAGAGCTATGGACTCTGAGTGCAGACGCGAAGCGCAAAATCAAAGTTTTTGAAATGGACTACCTTAGAAGAAGTGCAGGTATATCTAGGATGGAAAAAAGACAAACATCGAGGTTAGGCGTATCATGAATGCATCGGAGGAAACAGTACTAGATCGAATCGAAAAATCCAGCTTAAAATGGTTTGGACATGTTCTGCGTATACCGGAGAACAGATGACCAAAAAAAGTTTTTCAGTGGGCTCCCCAGGGCAGAAGAAAGAGAGGTAGACCTAGAAAATCCTGGAACGGAACGGCTACGGAAGCAATGGAAGCTCGTAACCTAGAAGCTGATGACGCTCTAAATCGAGATGTGTGGCGTAGGGGCAGCAATAGGCTGTAGTTAGTTGGAAATGAGTATTAAATACTTAAACCAAATCCCGTTTATATATACCGGGTATTGCATCGTCAGACGGGACATAGGAAATCCCATGTAAATTTTAATGGGATCAATTATTGGCTTCTCTAATTATTTTAGAGAATAATTCTATTTAGGTTTATTGAAGAGTACTAAAACCTACATTCAAAAGAATAACTTTAGATATTTTTGATTAGCTCGTTAACGAATTATCGCCGATTTCTTTTTAAATATTTCTCCTTTCTTATGGCCCTGTATTTACTTATGAGCACCAGTCAAGGTAAAAGATAACTGTCAAATGAAGTTGTCGTTTTATAAATACAAATTAATATGAATTAAAGTAAAATAAAGTAATCAATTACAAGGTTAATTATAGTATTATTACAATATTCAATAACTTATTAATTTAGGTACTATTAAATTGTTAGAACTTTAAGATTTAAGAAGATGTTCAAATATTCCTCCATCGACTGCTAGACAATAACCCAGGCGATCATAAAATTCTCTTCTTACATTCGCTAGTTGGTAAACTGAAATTCTATTGCATTCGGCAGAAATAGCATTTTTTAACTCGTCTTTTTATCCTTGTATATCCTGTTTTTTAAATGGCCCCAGAGAAAGAAATCATTTGGCGAAATATCAGGAGACCTTGCTGGCCAATTTACTGTATGATTTAGGCCAATAACGTTTCCGTTAAAACTATTGTCTAAATATTCCCGAACAGCCAGGGTACTATGTGCCGGGCAGCCATCCATTTGGTACCAAACTTCCTGATTTTCCCTAGCGGTATCATGTAAAGCAGGTAAAATATGATTTTCGAGTAGTTCCAAATAATATGCTGCATTTAAATTTGCGTAAGAAATAATGACCCGATAATATTGTGTCCGAATATCCTTGCCCAAACATTTACTTTCTGTGGATATTGCGTCCTTGTTTCGACAAACCTGTGTTGGTTTTCTTTGTTCCAATATCGATAATTTTCAACAATGGGTTAAGGTAAACGTGCATTCGTCAGTGAAACATATGTTTTTTAAAAATTCCCTATCCGCGTTTGCTCTTTCCATCATATCAAAACAAAACGCCTGCCGCCGTATTTCGTCCCCATCTCGTAGCTCTTGGTGCTTTTCATATTTGAAGGAATAGTATTTATGTCGTTTCAAAATTCGAAACGCTATAGTGTGCTATTCCTATTTCATCTTCAAGTTTCCTTGTGCTGATCTTTCCATCGTTCTCTTCCACGCACAATAAAACTTCCAAGTCGGTATCATTTCTTGCATCTTCTCTTTGTTCCTGCCTCGCTTCACATCTACAGTTAGTTATTAGGGTACCTTTGGTTTTAAATCTCTGGATATTCTTTGCGATTGTAGATTTTCGAGGTATCGGTCTATTCGGATACAGAGCAGCAAACATGTCCGACACCTTTTGATAACTATTTTCTTGATAATACCATTAATCATCAATACTTTTTCTTCGCTAGTCTAATTCATGTCTAATATTTTCGATGTAGGTATGAGTTTTTAATAATAATAATAATAAAGTACTAAATAGATCTTTGAATAAGAAGACTAAGTAAGGAGCATAATGCTATCCATGTATTCATGCATGGTGGGCGGAAAAAGCGCCATAAAAGCACTCTAGGGTGGGGATCCTTGACAGTTCTGTTTGACGATTCATTTGACACACTTGAATTTGATTTGAAATTTTGTGGATTTGTCAGTCTTTACGGAGCTTATTTTATTTTATTTATTATTTATTCTAATACTGATAGTTGTATAAAGGTAGTAAATCTAGATGGAAATTGTGGCAGAACTTAAATTAACAGTAACACTATCGCGATTTTCGAAAAGACTCTAAAATAGTTGGTTGTGTAGCGTGCGGTAGATCTCAGGAAAAATTGAGTGAAATAATGGAACAACTTTTCGCTAGTAAGTGACTATATAATATACATACGTGTAGTAAACCGATCATTTATGAAATTCACTTAAATTAACTAAATTATAGATTTTTCTTCCATTTTAGCTTTTATTTATTACTTGTCAAAGATTAGATGTCAAAGAATTTAGATACGTTAATTTGACTTACCTGCTTCAGTAGCGTATCGGATGTTTGTGGTAATAAATACTTATTATAACTTTATAATAATAATTTTAAATACGTAGAATTATATATTTTTATAACAATTTTAATAACTACCAACATTTATTCACAACGTAAAATAAAACAACAAATTATTGAGTCTACGGTCGGCGATATTTGAGGCCCATCGCGGTGTACCTAAGATTTTTGATATGCTCCTTCCTTAGTCTTCTTATTCAAAGAAATAGATAAATTTCTGAAATAACAACTTCATTTGACAGTTATCTTTTACCTTGACTGGTGCTCATAAGTAAATACAGGGCCATAAGAAAGGAGAAATATTTAGAAAAATGAAATCGGCAATAACTCGTAAACGGGCTAATCAAAAATATCTAAAGTTATTCTTTTGAATGTGGGTTTTAGTGCTCTTCAATAAACCTAGATAGAATTATTCTCTAAAATAATTAGGGAAGCCAATAATTGACCCCATTAAAATTTACATGGGATTTCCTATGTCCCGCTCGACGATGCAACACCCGGTATATAGCAATCCTAGTACCGAACCAGACCCAGTTGAATTTGTTTAACTGTCTCGGGTTCTCCAGATATACAATCCAATTTCTTTGTTCAACTGTCTCACATTTTCCATCATTTTGTTCGAACATTTCTCTTAGTAAGTATATCAAATTTTTCGTGTTTTGACTGAGCTTCTGTAACTAACTAACTGTAATTAAGTAAATAACTGAACTAACTGTAATTAAGTAGATTATACTAGAATAAATAAGTTTTCTGATTGTTTTTTTAATGATCTTACTATTAATTTACCCATATAATACCTCAAATCAGTTTGGCCTACTACAAACTAGACTGACTTAGGCTAAACTAGTTTTTTTCAAATTCGCGTAGGATGAACAGGTTTATCCTAAAACAAACTAGTTTTGCCTGAATTCGTGTTTACTCTATAACATATATAAATGTGTGATTTAGGAATAATCTGCTATAGTTTATAACAAACTTCTCTTTCATTTCTTAATATTTTATTTTTGATAACAACTTTATACCTTATCTAAGCTAGTTAAAAATAACACAGTAGATATTTTAAACTTTAGCATTTTTATATTATGAAAAAATGTTTCTGGGGATACAAAATTAATCTTTTTTATATATACACACAAATAATTCCACTCTATACAGATTTTTACGATAGCCTGGAACACAATATCACCATCTATTTAACTAACTGTAATTTAAACAATATAAGGACAACATGAATAAATGTATGCATGTATACATAATTCGTACATATATGATAACATAATCTGAACCTAAGATTTACAACGCAATTATTTTTTCAAAATGTTAAACTTACTTAAAGTACATTAAATTTTAAATATTACGAAATGGAACAAAGTAACGATAACTTCATGAAAATAGGATACAAAATTGATATTTCTGAGAAATTCAAAAATAGTGATTGGTACTATCCGGCTTTAAATTTTGTAAGGTAAGAGATAGTTTTAATTAAATTGTTACGGTTTAATTATCATAAGTTAAAATCGATAAAATTGATAATATGGAAAGAAGAATGTACAGAAAATTAAAAGAGCGTGAAGAGCTGGCTTAAGTATTGGACTTGTGCAAATCATTTTATTTTATTGTAAAAAATGACGCATCCCAAGTAATTTTTAAATTAAATGAAGATAGATTTTTTTTAGATTTCTTGGCTTTCTTATGCCTCTTGGATACTGTTTTATAATTTTAGCCATCCATCTTTTATCGGTACTTATAGCTAGATAGCCTGCTCATTACCATTTAAAGTATTTAATTAAATCCACATCAGTTACATAGATCTTCTCTTTTATCCATTCATATCCTCTTTGATATTCCAAGCATGTATCAGTCCGTAGATCTTTGTGATATCTTAGATTATATTAGATTTTTGAAGTAACTATTGGGCCTGTTTCACTGCAAACCAAATCTCTAGTTACATTCTCCAGTGCTATCCTTTTGAAAAATTCTAATAACTTAGAGACTGAACCCTCCATATAGCTCTATGTCAATGGTTTATGATTGCATAATACAAAGAATCGCACATTTACCAGGCTGTTGCACTGACAAAGTTTGTTCTGTCGTATCTTCTTCAGATTGACAAAATCTGCACATGGTCATCAGTTAATCTCATTATCTCTATCATTATCTCTAGATGCGTATTAAGCTTACAATGCCTTGTTAGTAGAGTCGTAGTTCAGCTTTTAGAGTCTTTCTGTCATTGCTTGTAATATCTGCCGTAAATTCTGGTTAATATTCTATGGATTTTTTCGTCTGTCTCTGCCCTGGTGAATTTTACCACCATTATAGTTATACTTTTGGGTTGTGTAGTACCTTCATGAACCCTATGGATGATCGTTTGAAAAGATGTAAATTTTTATATCGCAGGTTCTCATTGCTGAATTCTTGAGTTATTTTTTTTTATTTTCAATAACAATGGACCATTCTCTGTCGGGAACACTGTGACGCCTATTATGTTTGCACCCATTCTCCTATCCCTATACCCTACACCAACTTATGCAGATTCTTGATAGGATGGGAGCATAGTTTCTCCGGTTCTAGCCTAGCTTTTCTAAATAAAAAGTGTCGCTTGCGGTCCAGAGTCTCGCAGTATATTCTGTGTTCCGCTGTTTCAGAATTTTTATCCCAGAGTCTACATCAAAGACTTCTTTGATACAGGTTGAGCTTATTCAGGTAACACTTGATAGTCATGTGTCCTGTCAAGAAACCTGTAATCCGCACTTTATTCTTGCTAAGCATTAGCCGTTACTTTGTGGTTTTAGAGCTAGACCCTTGGATAAAGGTCTTGCTATGCCTGTACCCCTGTCTGTTTCTCCAGTGGACATTCTTCTTTTCCCTGATCCAGAATTTAGTGCACTAGAGGCCATACATTTGGGTATTCTCAGTAAAGACATACAAGCAGTTTATGCTGAACATCACCAACTTGACCACAGTAGATGCATGATGCACTATCAACCTACGACGCGACAATCATACAAAAATTTTCTAAAACACCCATGGCCAGACAATGCGTGACTCCTGAAGTAATAATACACTTCTCTGTATTGTCTTTGTAACCATAGTTGTGTAGGGTATTAACCTGTATGACCATCTGCCATATATTTCTGTATTTCATTTTTCTTGCCACTGTTGGAGAAGTCTTGTCCTTGCTAGATTCATAACCATCCCATTGTATCTATCATATCTTTCCTGTATGACCTGTTCAATAGGAGCTATTTCAGCTATAACTCCTTTAACCCCTCCAGATACAGTTTTGTAGATAGGTGTTCGTCAGCACTGAAAGCTAATTTTTATCTGTTGTTTTACATGTCCAAACTCACAAAATTGTTTTCTTATTTTACTATATATATTTACCTGGTATATACGTAACAAATTTGGAAATATTTTATGATATAGACGAGTAACTTTCAGTGGGATCCATATGTGTTATCGTTATAAGCAATAGTCTGCAGAATTGTTATTTTATGCATTTCTATTAAAGTAACCATTTAACTGATATACAAATAACGAAATTCTTACTAGCAACTACTGTCTTGCAATGAGCTACAACAATTTTCTAGATCCGCTTAATATCTATAGCCTAGCATCCTACAGGCACAACTCTAGATAAGAACTATCGGAAACAAGAAATAGCCATCTTATCGGATTGAAATTAGGCAAAGTAGACAAAGCCCTTCTACTCTGGATGCCAGCCCAACAAGGAATAGAAGGTAATAAGAAAGCAAATAATCTAGCTAAAAAAGGAGCGAATACTCCACTAACTGGACCAGAATCGTTCTGCTTCCCAAATGGAAACCAACTAAAAGCGGAACTCAAGAACTTGGAAGACGAAAGCAAAAAAAAGCAACCCTATGGATAATCGTTTGAAAAGATTTTGTACATTTGTATATTACAGGTTCTCATTGCTGAGTGTTATTGTTTTTTTTTTCAATAACAAGGGACCAACCTCTGCCGGAATCACTGCGAACTGTGAGGCCTATTGTGTTTGCATCCATTATTACTATTGAGTTGCACCCATTCTCCATTCCTGTAGTCTGCACCAACTTATGCAGATTCTTGATAGGATGGGAGCATAGTTTATCCGGTTCTAGCTTAGCTTTCCCAAATAAAGTGTCGCTTGCGGTCCAGAGCCTCGCAGTGATACTTATGTGTTCCGCTGTTTCAGAATCTTTATCCCAGAGTCTGCATCAAAGACTTCTTTGATACAGGTTGAGCTTATTACTTGACAGCCATGTGCCCTGTCAAGAGACCTATAATCCGCACTTTATTCCTGCTAAGCATTAGCTGTTTCTTTGTGGTTTTAGAGCTAGACCCTTGGATAAAGGTCTTGCTATGCCTGTGCCCCTGTCTGTTTCTCCAGTGGACATTCTGCATTTCTCTGATCCAGAGTTTAGTGCAATACAGGCCATACATTTGGGTATTCCTAGTACTGGCTCTGGACCAAAGTAGTATGCCGATGATCCATGCTTAGCTAGTTCATCGGCTTTTTGTTGCCTTGGATGCCGCTGTGGCCCTACATCCAGAATAATTTAATTAGGTATGTTCCTTCGTGCCAGAGCTCCCTGTTCAACCAGACATTCCCAGATGAGTCTCGACAATATCCCATAAGTGCCGCAAGTACCGCCTGACTGAGCATATATTGATGGTCTTACCTGAATAAGCTCTTCTGTTGTTTTCTCTCGCACATTGTACAATGGCGAAGATTTCTGTCTGGATTACGGTTGAGTATTTACACAAGGAAAAAGATAAGCTTGCCTTGAGTTATTGTTAGGCAGCTAATGTAGATAACATCGTTCATATTATATTTTCGAATATTTTAGCATTTCTACAACACCCTCATTTCCTACTGCGTTAACAGTTTTTAGATATTTATAAGCGGTATCTTTACATCTTCCAACTTTTGAAACATGTTCTTATTGAAGTATAAGATGTTCTTCCTTCAATGTTTGAGCGGTTTATATAGCTGACTATCTAATTTGGTTACCATGCATAGTATTTCTTATCTATGTGTTATTCTACTTTAACTATTCTCCAATATTTTTTTTGTATATCTTGTACAGGGTGTCCTATTTTGGTTGAAATCATACGGTATCTCCGTTAGTAGTAAAGATACGAGGATGCGGTTTGCACAAACCTCTGCCACTTTTTTGTCAAACGGAGGATGCTGTCAACAAAATTTTCATAGCCCTCTTCGTTTCTGAGCTACAGAGTCTTGTCGAAAATTTTGCAATTTGGGACAGGCCCCGTATCTCCGTTATTATGGATGATATCAAGAAGGTGAAAACTGATTCTTGTAGAACTTTTTACGTAGAATACAGCGGCGTAGTCTATTTTTCTACGAAAAAAAATATTTTTGAAAATATGAACTAAACTTATGTTTTTTCAAATAGAACACCCTGTATGTTTATAAATCATATGATCCGCCTTACTATGAGCTTCTCAAAAATATATATCACTCTATACTTATTTTCACTATTTACGGCAATATTTAAAATATATCATTTTTTTATTAGTAGGCCGTGATAAATAACAAAAAATCAAAATGGTATTTACTAAATTAGTCATACACTTATTAAAATTTTGTTTGGAATTGATATATTTTACTTTTGAACTGTTACCACTCAATCTCTAAGTATATTTTTCTTTTTTTTTAACGGAATTCATTATAACGGGATGAGTTTGCAAATATATAGAAGCTTGCATTATTAAAGAATTTTTTAGGTGTTCGACATTCTGTTAGTTGCCAGGATATATTTCATATTTGAAAAATTCCCAAAATCAGAAATCGAGAAAGGACAAATCCAGGACTCAGGGAGGCCATCATATGGGTCTATTGGTTCCAATTATTCATTGATTTGAGAAATAATAATTTAACAAAATTCTAATATTTTCGTTGTAAGTTAGATTGTGAGTGGGAGTTCCATCTTGCTGAAAGTATATTTCACGTAAATTAGCTAAAGGAATATTTAAAAGTTCCGATACGATAGCTTCCAAGATTTACAAACAGTAGTAGAGAGTTAAGTTTCCCTAATATATAAAGAATGTATTAGTGGCTGTCAAAATAAAACAAGAGACAGATAGCAATATACTTTTAATAATTCTTTAGTTTCTTTTATTATCAATCATGGCCTACTAATAAATATGATCTTTTAATATATTTTTTTAAATATTGCAGTAAATATTGAAAATAAATATAGAGTGATATATATTTTTGAGAAGCTTATGACAAGCCAGATCATATAATTTATAAATATACAGTGTGTTCCAATTCATATCTTTAAAAATATTCTTTTCGTAGAATAACAGACTACGCCACTGTATTCTACGTAAAAAGTTCTACAATAAACAGTTTTTACCTTCTCTATACCTTTAACAATAACAGAGATACAGGGGGCGTCCCAAATTGCCAAATTTTCAAAAAGACCCTGTAGCTCAGAAACGAAGAGGGCTATGAAAATGTTGTTTACGGCATCTTTTGTTTGAGAAAAAGTGGCCCAGGTTTGTGCAAACCGCACCCTTCTATCTTCACGAATAACAGAGATACCGTATGATTTCAACCAAAATGGGACACGTTTCTTGTTCTCCAATGACCGTTTCAACTAGTCTTAAAATTCGGTATAAATGAAGGCAAATACTCAAGTTTTCTCAGAGACCATTAATGGTCATTCAAATAATAACCATATCGTACAGCGAGTCTTATATCCATATTTTTAAAATCATTATTTCTCGTATTATGATTATATTTCTAATATTCACATTAAAGTTCTTCAGTTAAAGCTATATTTTTCCAGAGATCAAGATGACCCAGATGACCACGAACGAATAATCCACAAGAATGGCCTGTGTAACGTGTCTCAGCATACTCCCCGCTCCCAGAAAATTTTCATCTTCCGCTACTCCAAGTTAGTGGACTCCTCATGGCTCTTCACGCTCTCTGTCTTCCTAGCCGTCTTGTTTGCCAGCTGGTTCACCTTCGCCTTGCTCTATTTCGTCATCTGTTACACCCACGGCGACCTGGAACCCGATCACCTACCCGAGAACCAGGAGGCGAACGGCTACAAGTAAGGTTATCTTTAGCGAACACATTTAACCCCATATTCAAGTTTTCTAAAATGGTTCCAGACCGTGCATCTACGACATCAGGGGATTTTCTTCTTGCTTCTTGTTCAGTATGGAGGCGCAACACACTCTGGGTTACGGTATTAAAGCTCCCACGGATGCTTGCGCCGAAGCTATTTTTGTTAATTCCATCCATTGTATTATTGGATTTGTAATGCAGGTATTGTAAGAATGATATAAAGAATTATAAATAAAAAGTATATTCTTGTAGCATTCACAGAATTCAAATACAAATAGTTTCGAAGAATATTATTCTTTCTTCATCTTACTTATTAAAATAGAGACGATTAATTTTCGAATGACTAGGCCAGTATACAGTGTGTATCAGCCAAATTGAATAAATTCAGACTGTTAATACAGAGTGTGTCACATAAAAGTGAAAAATATCAACTTATTTCAAATACACCAACACCCGTTATATGTTTACATTTTTGGATTCTTTAGAAAATTCTAGACATATTTCATTACATCATTACAATGTTCTTACTTCTCTTCAACTTTGTTTCGGAAACATTAAGTGGCTATAGCGAATTGGTGTCTCAATGCAGGAAAATAGTTGCCAGTGTCACAATCATTTGAATGTCGTTTACTGGATACCAGAAAAATGCTTCATTTAACAAAAATGCAAGAAATCAATATACAGATGATTGATGGTTGGGGAACATAACAGCAAAATTTCATAAAAAAACAAATTTTAAGTATTTTTTTTTTAGTTGTCGTGAATTTCTTTCAGAAAAACAAACACTTTTTTATTATACCACAATCAGTAACACTAGCTTTATTTTTTAATAGTTTTCCATGATCTCCTTAGCACATTGAAGACTTTCCAGTCATATCCAATCATATCCAATGTCTATCAAGGAACAGTGACAAGCTTGTCAACTAGAAGTGTTAGTTTTTCTGAAGACCCCAATATAATACAACCTAATTGTCGAATTATTTCCTTAACAAATGGCAAGGAGGGAAAGATCTTCCATAAGACCTTCATTTTACTACAGTTGCGTAGAGCCGGATTCTTACCGGCTAAAAATAATCTTCTCCACTGCCATTTTACACTGGAATTCGCTCTCGCATTGCTTCAATGCAAAGGGTATCTAGATTTACTTCGTAATGCTTATTATCTCTCTTCCCTTTCTTTACAGCTTATCACACTTAAGACTACCCGATATATCGGCTTTCCTTGTTCTTCCCCTTCAACTAAGTATCAAAGTAAGTATGTATGTACGAGAGAGAATATTATAAATGACCGGTTGACAGACAGAGAGCCAAATCAAAAGCAGCATACAGTGTTGCCGGTTTTTACGTTTAGAGGAAAATTTGTGTAGAAAAAAAATAAACTATTTTAAAAACTTTCATGAAGAAACTGAAAAATGAATTTTTTTTTTACTGAAATGAAGATAATATATCTAAGCTAAATATAATCTATTACATCTGTAGTAAAATGAGTAACTAATTGTAAAAAATATGGTTCCAACCCTAGATGCAAAATTTTCCATAAACTCCTTGTGCGGTTTGAACTTTTGATGCAAATTCCGGCAATACAGCAGAGAAGAAATGTATTAACCCCACATTGTATCTCTTTTTAATACATTTGATTTCCCATTAAGCTGCCTACATCACTGTCTTACACGTTAAACCCCAGACAACACTTCTAAAATGACCAAATCGGTATATATTTACCTGGTATATACGTGACAAATTTTGAAATATCTTATGATATAGACGAGCAACTTTCAGTTGAATCCATAAATATGTGTTATTGTGATAAGCAATATTCTGCAGAATTGTTATTTTATGCATCTTTGTTAAAGTACCCATTTATCTGATATACATACAAATAACGAAATTCGTACTATTAACTACTGTCTTATAATGAGCTACAACAATTTCCTAGATCCGCTTAACATCTATAGCCTAGCATCCTACAGGCAGAAATCTAGATAAGAACTATCGGAAACAAGAAATAGCCATCTTATCTGATTGAAATTAGGCAAAGTAGACAAAGCTCTCCTACTCTGGGTGCTAGCCCACGAAGGAATAGAAGGTAATAAGAAAGCAAATGATCTAGCTAGAAAAGGAGCGAATACTCATCCCACTAACTGGATCAGAACCGTTCTGCTTCCCAAATGGAAACCAACTGAAAGCGGAACTTAAGAACTTGGAAGACTCCATCCGTAACCTGGAATGGAAATCCTACAACGGTGTAAGATACTCGAAGAAGCTTCTGAGGACTTACGACCAAGAAAAATCAGAGATTTTCCTTGATTTAAGTAAAGAACAATCTTAAGATTATCACGAGATTTTTAACAGGACACTGTCTCCTCAATGAACACCTCCGTAGATTGAAGCTAAGAAATAACAGCGAATGCAGATTCTGTGGGGAAAAGGTGGAAACACCAAAACACCTCAACACTGAGTGCGCCGAGACAACCATTTGTGCCATAAACTTTGGTACGACTGATGTTGGAGATAACTACCCTCTATAAAACCGTCCCAGATACTGGCTTTTGTCAAAGCCCTGAGACTGTATGATGAGTTATAACTCAACAAAGGGGGACACACAATAGATCTGTAGGTCACGTTGATTAACCCCCTTCCCACTCATTCTACATTCTACATCCGCTTAATATTTCCGAAATATTTCAATATAGATATGAAAGATTCTATTGAAAATATGTCTAGAATTTTCTGATTTATCCAAAAATGAATGTACAGTGGTCCAACAATCATTTATTTATTATAAAATACTACCCAACTTATTCTACTTGGTTGATAAACACTATATATAAGTCCTGATGATTTTAATCCAACGTGTTTTAGGGGTTTATGGCAGCCGTTATTTTCTCAAAAATGACCAAGCCCAGACTAAGATCACAAACGATACTATTCTCCAAGAACGCGGTTATCTGTCCGAAGGACGGTAAACTGTGCTTTGCGTTCAGGTTAGGGGATATACGGACACGGTACATCATAGCTGCTCAAGTACGAGCTTTTATGGTGAAGACGAAGAGGACGGAGGAAGACGAGAAACTTCTCCACGCCCAGATGGAGATGAAGATGCAGACAGATGGCTGTGCGGATAGCGTCTTCTTCAACTGGCCCATCGTGATGTATCACGTTATAGATGAGAACTCCCCACTATATTTCATATCACCTAGCGATTTGTGCCATCAAAGGTATATTATTCTATTTTCTGCTTATACAGGGTCCGGCAATAGTGCGTCGGGCATCTGTAGCTCCTAGAATAAAAAACTTAAGGAGTTTGTTAAGTACAAATCTAAAGTATGTTCTAGGATGTATTCCAGGAAAATATTTTTTCGTCATACTATATTGTTATATTATTATAACATAAGCAAAATCAGAATGGAAAAGATGCATATAACGTCCGCCGGACGTTATCATAACGGCCGGCGGCCGTTAAGTTTCTAAGGTAATCGTAACGTCTGTCACCTGCAACAATGACTATTTATTGTCAGTTGGACTTTTCAAAAATTGGGAAAATAGACCATAGCGAGATGTCGCGAGAAATTCCGTTGGAAATACAGGAGGAAGCGGCTGCGGCTACTCAAAATTTACTTCCGACTATAACCAGAGAGAGATATCAGCAGGAATATGACAATTTTTGAAGTGGCGGCAGGATAGAAGTATAAACAGCGTAAATGAAGCGGTATTGCTGGCTTATGCTAAAAGAATGTCTGAAATGTATTCTCCTACATCACTGTGGACAAAGATATCCATGCTGAAGCTTGCGTTGAGAGTATATATGAAAACATCGACATATCAAGGTAAAAAGCCATTATATTCTTCGATATTTAATCATACTCATCTAAATTATATTTGTTCATAGATTTGGTAAACTGTTCATGTTTCTGAGGCGCAAAAACGAAGGTTATTCACCAAAAAAGCCAAAGTTCTGTCGGAGAATGACATAAATAATTTTCTACTGGATGCCGATGATTACACCTGGTTACTCGAAAAAATTGTATTGGTGCTTGGTATTCTTGGAGCTTGTAGGCGCAGCGAGCTTTGGTCACTCACAGTTGATGATTTCGAAGATTCGGAGAAAATATTCTTGTCTCATTAAGAAATACTAAAAATAAGAAAGATAGGAAATTTCTTATTCCAAAACGGGCCTTCCGTTTGATGCCTATGGTTTATACAAAAAATACATCAACCTGCGTCCTCGTAACTTTGACAATCCAAAAATTTTCATTGGTTACAAGAAAGGCAAGTGTGTTAAGCAAATCGTCGGTATACATACCATCGGGAGCGTACCGCAGAAAATTGCAAAATTTTTGAACTTGGAGAATCCAGAACGTTATACAGGGCATTCATTTCGTAGATCATCAGCAACCATGCTCGCCGAAAATAGTGGTGATTTACTATCGCTAAAGGAGCTAGGAGGATGGGAGTCTTCAACAGTGGCAGAAACTTACATAGAAAAATCAGTTTCCAAAAAAAGAATGAAAATAACAAATCAACTTTTTCATGATAGCTCCAAAAATAATGTGTCTTTAGTGGATACAAATATTTGCCATTCTTCAGTAGCATCATCTTCTTCTATAAAATCTGTAAATCCCTGGGAAGGATTACAGATTTCTAAGAACAACAAGTGCACTTTTAATTTCCATGTTCATTATCATGAAAATGAATTTTAGTATAAGACATTATGTATTTTTTATCCTTACTTGTGTTATTGTTCAATAAAATTTGTTATTAAATAGTAGTGTTTATTGCTCTAAAAAATCTGCAGTATGACGAAAAATCTAGAACGCAACACGGCCGATAACAAATAACGGCCTTGGCTGCTTATGATCCTCGGCTATCGCCTCGGATCACAAACTTCAGCCCGGCCGTTATTTGTTGTTTATCGGCCTTATTACGTTAATAACTATAACTTCTGTAGGGTGACTCAAAAAGTGTGAGTGGATCGGGATGATTTTTTTTTAAATCGAACACCCTGTATATTATTGCATTTTTGGGTTCCTTTCAGATCACTTTACATAATCCTAAGACATGAGTAAATATATTTCGATAATTTCAGAGATATTAATATAATATTCTACGCCAAACTTTCTAAAATATAAAATAATTTTTCTTCGTTTTTTTAAATGGAACACCCTGTATATTATTTTTTCAATAGACGGAGAATTAAAAAATGAACATTTTTTGTATTTAGAGTATTTAAAATTTTTTAACGGTTTAGTAGATATTCCCGGTTTTGTATTTCATATGGCATTTTCCACAGTAAATTTTCATCAAAGCCACCCAGTGATTTTTCTCTCGTATTTTACCATTGAAAGCGCCATATGAAATAATACTGCGTGTATCCGGAAAACTATTAAAAATTTTGAAATACTTTAAATACAAAAAATTTTAATTTTTTAGTTCTCCATCTAATAAAAAAATAATATACAGGGTGTTAGGTTAGGTTATATTTTGGAAAGTTTGGCGTAAAATATTGAACATCCTGTATGATTTACGATTACCATATTTACAGCAAAGTAAGAACAGACCATCTAAAGTAAATATCTAATATAGTTTTGATTTCAGAACAGTTCTTGTATTTTTAATATTTTTTATAAGAAGGGTTGAAAAATACCGGGTGCGTCTCAGAAGTGGCTCACCCCTATAACTTTTTTAATTTTTCAGATAAAAAAATGAGATTTGGTATGTAGTATATCCAAATATGACATAAATTAGGATTGATTGACGTATTCAATTGTTTTTAGTCACTTTCTGTTTCACCGGAAATGACTACAACTTTTGATTTTTAAATGGCACCCTCGGTATTTTTTTACTTTATTCGATAGAAAATGACATTCTGAATAGACTGACATATCATATGTTAAGTTTTGACATTCTCGCTAAATAAAAAATTGTATTCTAAAATTCAATCTAGAGTGCCATGGCTATGTTAAAAACACTAATTCTTAATCAAGGAGCATTGGAAAAATAGATTTGATCGTCTAATGTTTTTAGTGTCTGTCCTGGCTAGTTAGAAAATGCTCAAATCGTATTTTCAATCATATCTCAATTTTTCCAAATGGAAGGAGGGTGTGGCTCATTAGCATATTTGGAATAAGCATTTTTTACGAATAATTTGATACCACACACTTATATTGGTATTTCGAGTCAAATTTTCGTTACAAACCGCAAGGTATAATTTCAAATAAACCATCTGCAAAAATGTCAAAATTGACATATGATATGTAACTCTGTTCAGAGTGTTATTTTCTATCGAATAAAGTAAAAGAAAATACCGAGGGTGCCATTTAAAAATCAAAAGTTATAGTAATTTCCGGTGAAACAGGAAGTGACTAAAAACAAGTGAAAACGTCATTCAATCCTAATTTATGTCATATACTAACATACCAAATGTCGTTTTTTCAACTGAAAAAAAATGCCGCTAAATGGCCCAGCAGCTGATGCGGATTATATCAAATCCTTCCTTTTTTAACTGAAAAAATTAAAAAAAAATAGGGGTGAGCCACTTTTGAGACGCACCCGGTATATATTTTTTATTTTTTCATATCTCTGAAACTATCAAAATATATTTACTCATATCTTAGGATTATGTAAAGTGATCTGAAAGGAAGCCAAAATGCGATAATATACAGGGTGTTCCATTTAAAAAAATCATCCAGATCCACTCACACTTTTTTCAGCCAACCTATAGAAGTTAAAATATTTTCCGGAAATACATCCTGGTACATACAATTTTTTTATTCTAGGAGCTACAGATGACCGACGCACTATTGCCGGACCCTCTATATAGATATTTTGTTAACAAACAATAATTAAATACTAGAATGGAAAATCCACTAACACAAATAAAATATATAACATCCCATATTTAAAATACTACATGTTTAGTATAAAAATGCATTTAGATCATCCTGCACACTTGCGCTACCTACTCTAGTTAGCATATTTTGAAGAGATTGGAGTAAAAATCTCAAATAGAACCCTGACATAAAGTTGTACGAAACACCGAGTCACCCACTATACCGAATACCTGTGACGGATATCTATATGTGTGACGGATGTCTAGAATAGTACTTTGAGAGGTCTGAATTCTATTTTTTCCTTTATAGGTTCGAAATTATGGTAATAATAGAAGGCGTTGATGAGAACACGGGTCAAGTAGCTCAAGCTAAAAGCAGTTATGTTCCCAAAGAAATACTCTGGGGAAGTAGATTCGTTTCCCTATTAAAATACGACGAACTTCGTGAGGAATACGAAGTGGATTTTTCCAAATTTGACAGCTTAGTACCCATAAGTACCCCACTCTGTTCGGCCGCATATACCGATGATTATATCGAAATGCAAAAGTCCAGTAAGTATTTGTTGGGTGTTAAAGATATAAAAGACAATTTATTATGAACTTTATTGATTTGATTATGATAGATATAAGTACGAGAGTATTAGTCTGAGATGTTTCCGACCTCACCATTATAATCATGTCTGTATGAGGCCATGAGGCGTCGACCTGAGTATAAGATTTTAATTTCAACTCGATACCTCTGCGTTTCCGAGATACAGGGTCTTAACAGACAGACGGACGGAAAAACAACAGAGTGGTCCTATACAGTAGCGTGTCGTGCATAAAAGCGCGGAGGGGGCGAAGACCTTAAGGGGCGCAATGATCAATAAAGGATCAAATAAATTACAAACTTTTTTTTAAATAATAGGACTACATGAAAACTTTTGTTTTTTTTTTCAAATTATAAATTTGTATATTAAAAAAGTTAGTATACAAAACGGTTATTTCAAAGATGCAAGCGTCTTGTTTCAACCGACTTAAAAGAATCAATCATTTCGTCTATATTTAGATCCTGAGCTGTGTCTGCTTCAATACTGAGAAGTGATAAATAATTGGTTCTATCTTGTGTGCTGGTGCACCTCTAGTAATTATTAATTCTTCCTAATCTACTGAAAGATCATTCTGCATCGGCACTGTTGGTAGGTATAGTGTAAAAAATCCTCAGTAATGCCCATAAAGATGGATATGAAGACTCTAGGTCATTGGAAATTAAAAATGATAAATATTTGTCAGGTGCAAGTTTGTTGTCATCAGCATTAATTTCTTCTAATAAACTGCAAAAAGGTTTAACATCCGCTTGGTACAATATCTGTGTTTCCATAAGACATTTTAAATTGTCATCATTGACGTCCATATCCAATAAACAATAATTAATGTTTTGGCAAATATTAAGGAAGTCTTCAAACCGATTCTCTAGAGTACCAGTTAAAATGTCTAAAGTACCATAAAACACTGATATCTTGAAATTATCTTCAGAATTTTGATGTAGGTAATCATTCTGGATTTCATCATGAATTTTTTTTATTCTTCTTTGTCTTTTTATGGAAAATGATGTTGACGTATTGCATTTATTTGCCAAAATAGTAGCCTGTTTTTTAAAATTTTCAAAATATTTTTCACTTTCTAATGATTTCAGATCTTTAGTTACCGCAGTAATCATATGAGCAGCTGTACATAAGTTGATATTAACTTTTTGCAAGTGATTGGACAATATATTAATTTTATTCATCACTTCATTATAATCGATTGTATTTCGGTCGGTGATTCCCCGAATTTATTTCCATCGCGACTGATTTCGTCTTCTTCTTTGACGGCGCCGGCGCAACATTATGTCAAAGTTATGTCTAGCCGTGGTCTAGCCATTGTATTTTTATTTATCGACAATAGTCTAGCGGTGCGTAGTTTCAAACCCATATGAAAACTTTCGTACGTGTACGCCTATTTCATTTGAGATTTAAATTATTAAATATAAGTAAACATTAAAAAACAAATTTAAATGTGAGAAATATATACGTCATTTTTTTATCTTGAAGAGCTAAGGACACGGTAGGGCACCCTTTGTTTTTGTGTTAAATTTAGTTTTTCTGTTTTTTTTTCAAAGGGCACCAGAGGCGCTAAGCGCATAGGGGCGGAGGGGGCGTTTGCCCCCCCTGGCCCCCTATACGACACGCCTCTGGTCCTATACAAGACAACAAAGGGTTCGGTTTTATTTCTTTTGAGATACGGAACCCTAAAAACTCTAGTTAAAAATGATCGAATTATAAAGTCAGCGGACTAATGCTTTTTCTCTCTAAGCGAAAATACGTGCAAATATTTTTAGGGATTGTATCGGGAAAAGATCCACCGGTCCTCATAATTTTAGTAAAAAATTGGCGCCGAGAGGCACGTATAGCCGCCCATACTAAAATATGTTAATAAAAAGTTGGTAGGCAGATCTTTTAGTTTCAAAGTTTAGTTTGTTGCAAATATTATTCCTAATCTTAAATTGAAAACCGCGTTTCGCTAGCTACTGTAATTTTGGAGTTACGGTTTTTTAAAATGTTTAACCCCCTCCCATACCCCCTTACCAACCCCCACCCCCACCAAAAACTAATGGCCAGATTCTCGGGTGCCACAGTATTTTTGTGCCAAATTTGGTTAAAATCGGTTTAGCGGTTTTTGAGTTATCGTCTTACAGACGGACAGAGGGACAGACAGACAGACGGACAGACACCATGAAAATATTTTGTATTTAGGAATTTAGGTCATTTATGACCCAAATAACTCATTTTGAGTGAAATTAAAAAAACTTCTTTTTTGCTGATCTTAATACCCTACCATACCTATTATTGGTATGGTCGGCTAAAAATATGTTTTTTGCAAATTTTCAAAGTAAAATAACTCGGTTATTTTGGATTTATTTTAAAAAAGTAAATCCTGTAAAGAGAAAATATGTTTCTTTTCTCGACATCTACCACCCCTGAAAATATTTACACTTATTAAGACTCACCCTGTATATAAAAACTACTATAAAACGTTGAATTTTGTCCCAACGAGAATATGCAGGGTGTCCCAATATTCCGTGGACCGTGGACATAATATGTAGAAATACATATATGTAGAATATACAAAAATACGTAGTAGTTATATGATAACTACTACGTATTTTTGTGTCACAAAATATAGTGACACTATATAACATGAAATTCCATATTTACGCTAACTAAATTATTAGAGCATAATAGATTTTATGCGCTTCCATACCTTGATGTGACAAAAAACGTTTTTTGGAAGTCAGTTTATGGAAAAAAAATTTCTTGAAAAAGTATGCGCCGTGGCGTTTTTTTACGAAAGAAAAAAATGTAGTTAATACTAGAAGGACCATTTTAAGGAAAAAAAATCGGTTGTAGGTTGAGTTGGAAAATATTTATACTAAAATTTATGTAGGGGTGGGGGTAGTTTTCACCAGGGTTGGAAAAAATCATGATTTTTTTAAAAAAAATAAAAAAATCAGATTTTTTTTTATTTAAATCGGATTTTTCTGTTTTAAATGAGATTTTTTTGATTTTAATTCAAAACAAGATTTAAATCGGATTTCCAAATGACTAGGACTTATTTCCATTTAAAGTCCTATCCTAAATGGCTAAATCTTTATAACTCTGAGCTATACCGATAACATTAACAATACTACGGCGCGTGTCATTTTCCCAAATCGGTCACCAATATATTCCGCAAAAAAAGTCGCTTCCTTCAGATCAAAAGGATTTTTTTTCAAACGTCTCAAAAGTATTAATTTTTGTCATTTTAACGGCTAGGCATAAAAGTAAAGCACTGTTACGCCTAAGCACAAAAGTGCAAAAATATATATTATTAAACTAATATTAGGTGTCAAATTCAACGAGTGTACAAATTGTTTCTCGATTACTGTTTGTATTAGTTGCAATGTTTGAAATTGATTAAAAAATTATTTGTAATGTTTTAAAAAAATGGTGTTTTATTCGAAGCAAAAATGTACTTTTTGTGCCTCCTTGTAACGTCGGAATAGCTTTACGATGGTCCTCAAAATTTACAGCATCGTCAAAAAAAGTATAATTTCTACTCTTAATAAAACAATACACTATTGTTCGGAAATAGTCTTAAGTCGAGAATGAAATTAGTATTGTTTGTCTATGAATTAGTATTATCTGTCAAAGTGTAAAGTACTTACTGCAAATCAAAATGTCGGTAAGAATTTGGAAACATACCGACGTTTCAAAAAAAAAATAAAAGTCTCTATATCAGAAGAACCTAGTTCTGCACCAGTCTGCGAATGATATGTATTTGAACAGCGAATTTTTGTCACTTATAATAGGTACATAAATTTTAAAATAAATCCCTGCGTTTAGCGATCTTATGGATTCACACGAAATTACTTCAAAAATCGGTTCAACATTTAAATTGATGACTAGGTATTTTTATACAGTTTTATAAAATTTAAAATTATTTTTCGATTTATTATCTGTTATATCTGTTATCGAAATATTTTTTTATAGTTTTCTAAGACAGATTTTGATAACTTTTACAGTTATTTTTTGATTTATATCACAGATTTATATTATAAAGTTTCAATAAAATTTATTTTTTGATTTAAATCACATGATTAAAATTTAAAAAATCACTTGATTTAAATCACGATTTAAATCATGATTTAAATCATTTGATTTAAATCATGCCAACCCTGGTTTTCACCCTTCCCGTACTTTTTCTTGATTTTTGAGAAAATCAAATGTTAAAACACTTAGCAAAACATAGACACCCAAAATTTCATTCAAAGTGGAATAACGGTTCTTAAAATATCTGAAAAAATGTGTTTATTTTTTAAAATTTGAAGAAGCTAGCCGACAAACGAAGGCACTTTTGTATAGAGGTAAATTGTGACCAATGAAACTTATTTTGATTCCAAAAATACGTAGTAATTCTATGTTCACGGAATATTGGGACACCCTGTATAATTGGGCAAAGGTCTAATCGGCAGGCCGCAGACCAAAATATGAGAGTTTTGGTACGTGACACTATATCCGCAGACCAAATCCGCACAGCAAATCCGCAGGCCAAATTGTCTGGTATATGGGGGCTTTTAGATACTGGTGATATTTTTAATCAATAGCGGATACAGAGGGGGGCATGGGGTCCGGGCCCCCCCTGAAACCTGTAAATTGTGTTAAATATTAGGCTTTTGGGTAAAAAACGGCGCCCTAAAAAGCATATTCTACATTACTTTTTATTTTATTTTGGGTCCCCCCTAAAATAAATTCCTGTATCCGCTCCTGTTTTTAATATAAGCAATTCGGAAGACTTCGTATAGATTAAGTTTTAAATAAATGAAATGTAAAGGTGCGTATTCACTTGCAACAAAACACTCCGAACAAACCAAACGCGCCGCGCACTCCAAACAATCTGCAACAAAAGGGAGCGCTCTGAACGACCTGCAACAAAACATTTTGCGCGGAGCGTTCCGCCTGTTTGCGGTGTTCGCTGCGTTCCCACCAGTAATCAGTGTGTGAATCAGTGTTGGTGTGTTTGTCGATAAGGATGCATCTGATATTAGATATTACCATAGCCGCTGGTGCTTTTTTAATTATAGAGGCATTAGCGGATAACAAAAACGAGTAAAAAAGGAAAGGACGAAAAATGTGGGCAAGACGCCTCTTTTTGCGCTGTCAATATAATATGGCCTTACTTAGTGACCTAGATTATATGCATAAGAAGAATTTAATTAATTTAGTAATTAATTATTAATTTAATAAAATAGGCCGGCCTTTCAAACTCGTCAATTAACTCTAAACACTTTTCTCTGTTCCACTCCATAGCTAGGTACAGTTTAAAAACACCCCAAACACAACGAACGTTCAAAACTGCCGTAGTTACTGAACACCGGTCAACGAACAAATTCTTTTGAGCAAATCCCGTTTACCAACAAGCTTCGGAAAATGTTTGGCGCGTTCGATTCGGTTCGGCGCAACGTACTGACTACACAAACTTGTTACAGCGCGCGCGGCGCGTTTGTTTCGTTCGGAGTGTTTTGTTGCAAGTGAATACCCACCTTAATGATTCACGTTTTTTGTAGAAGTTTCATCACATCTAAGGCTGGACTTTACACCTCGACAAAGCATAGGAGAAATTCCCTCCAATATTATTTCTAAATTCCAAACTAACATAAGTATAGAGAATGATACTTAAGTTGGATACATGGTTGGATGATTGGATCCTTTTGGATATCTTTGCCGTATGACCTTACTGGCACTTTTGAGTTTTTATTCTACATTACCTGAAGCCTGAAGTAACTCTTTAATATTATATTAATCGTAACAAACCAACGGATATTAACGCAACTTTTAAACTGTTTTAATATTATCCTTGTATATAAACAAGGATATTATACAACCATATTTTAGAAGATCACCCCCATTCTATTTGATGGAAGATAAAAAAATGTGTGTAAGGTCAAATAAAAAGTAAACAAGCCATTATTTGCTTTTATTTATATCCCAAAAAGTAATTTGAAAATTATATGGTATGTATCTATATTTTGTTGTCTCATATAAAAACCTTTTATCTATTAAGGTTGCTTAAGCTTCTTCTTTTTTATTATATAATAATTATAAATATAAAACTATTTATTTCATGACAGAAATAACGAAATGGAAAGAAGATCAATACCATTCTTGTTTTTTAGCGTGTATCGTGTTTTTTAGGTACCCTCTGTGGGTACCCTAGATTAGCCCCATATTGGCCCTAGATAAAGAAATAAAATCATGAACCGAAATGCGGTAACGTTAAAGATATAGAGGTAGTTATATCTCTGGGTGATATAGAACATCATACAACATGCGGTGAATCCCCAAAAAAATGCCGCATCTTTTCTTCTTATTCAGAGATATGGCTACTTGTCATTATAGCATTCAGCCAGACTAAGATCAACCAAATCTCATAAACCGTTAAAATGTCAGAAATATGATTAGAATCAAGGATGGATAATTTTTATTTACTTATTTAACCGATTTAATGTACAATTGCACATAAAAATATATAAGCTTATAAAAAGACAAATAAAATTATATTTCGTTAACTTTCCAACCTACTTTTTTATTTTAATTTAAATTTTTGTCTCTCCATAAAATAAATAAATACAGGGGTATACCAATACAGGTTTAACTCTATGAACACAGGTATTAAAAGATGACCAAAAAGTTTTGACCGCGCTTTTTTATCTTTCAACCGTCATTAACAGATATGTACTATTTGAATTTCGGTAAAGGTGTGGATCCGGTGGCTGACCTTGAAGCCCATATTTGCTGCAGTTGATCATCGATACTACGCAAGCGCACATCGTCGATGTTGCCAAATTGAAGTTTATTTTCCAAATACTTTTAAATAAATACTATTATTTTAAACGTATTTGTTATTTTCGAATTATTTTTAGTTAAAAACAAATGTTTTAATAATACAAAATCTATAATTAATTTTATAATTTCAGATTTATCTTGATATCAAAAATTAAGGTAAGAAGGACAATGAAGATTGTGAAATGAAAGTATGAATATATAAAATTGTAATAATAATAACATTTATTTATATATTATATTTACATTAGAATTAAAAACTATCATTTACGGATTTTTTCTTAATGGTTTTAAATTTATTAGAATTATTTTATTTCTTTCAAGTTATTTAATTTCTAGTTATTTACAGGCAACAATAGTTTTGATTATATGTATTGATGTATTGAAGTACTACCATGACGAGTCATAGAACAATACACGTCAATGGGAGATAGAGGTAACATTTTACTTATAATGTTACTAATATAATATACTTTGATTATAATGTTTGTATCATAATTTCTTAAAAATATCAAGTTAGTGGATTACTAGCAATTTTAGACATATATTTTATCGAAGAGTGTGGTGATAAGAGTAAAATGAGCTTTATGTTTTATCTTTTTCTCTTTAGAAGGGAGATGGTTTGTGTCGTAAAATACATTACAGTATTTAATATCGTGTACTTTGATATTATTTTCTTAATTTACTGTAATTTCTTGTTTCCTATAATGCCGAATCTTGACAATATGGTGAAGGTTGAGTTTTGATCTTATTAGTTTTATACCTGTGTTTATACAAAACCAAATTAAGACTTAGTTAGTTTGTGATTTATATTTTTTAGATCTAGATCTAGATCTTTCTTATAATATTTGTTATGTCTTAATCTTAATACTATATTAAGCTTTGTCTGGAAAATAAATGTTAAAATATCTTAATTTTGCATATCCTATCCATCCACATCCTTCCATTAGGAAAAATATGGTTTATAAATCATATATGCTAAGAAAATCGCATAAATTAGGTGTAAGAATAGAGAAATCTTAAGGTAGCAGAAAAATTAACTCATGTTAATGTTGCTGAAGCTGATTCTACAATTTTAATTACGGAGGCTAAAAGGCCTTTTAAGGTCTCCGTAGTTTTGATGGAATGTTAAAAAAAAACTATTATGAACATGACATGGAGCTACAGCATTTAAAAATAAAAAAAAAGAAAAAACTTGGACACGTCCCTTTTAATTTCCCGAATTTTTAATAAAGCCCTTTTTAAACGTAGCACAATAATCTAGAGCAATTAGATTAATTATAGGAATCTAGAGTTTTATTTCTATTTAATTTTATTGACTATGAAAATACATAATAAGCGTTCACGTGTTGTGCGAAATATTAAAATAATAATATAAATAATATACCGCGTACTATGATTGAAAAAAATAGCGTCAGCGATGACTATGTAATGAAGATCGCTGTCATTTTATATGGGAAATGTCCTCAATCGTCATTTCTCAGCCAACTTAACACCGTTTTTTCGATTATACGGTATATATTGACAAAAAAACACTGAAAAGCACATATTTGTTTTCTACTGAAAATAATTCCAAAATAACTTGCAATCTGGCAACATCGAAGATATGCGCACGCGTAGTGTCTGTGACTATATGCAGCAAAGACTCGTTTCAAGGTCAGCCACCGGATCCACACCATTACCTGAATTTCACATAAAAAACGAATAAATCAAATAAAAAAAAGTGTTGTAAAAATAAACTTTTCCCTGCCCATCCCTGGAGTATTTATTTACGTAGGTCACGCCCGACACGTCTGAGCAGTCTGGAGTTATGGTCTGGAGTTCCTGCCTGATTACAAACAGAAAAATGAAAAGAAGAGAATATGACATTTATCATCACAATTTATCAATTTATTGCAATTTATCATCTACTGTTGTCAAAATCATCTGATTGTAAATCTCAATAATTTTCACAATTTTCATCACTCCAGATCACTCAGAAAACCTGTGCAGAAAACGTTTATACTTTGGTTTGTCCGCTTTTCATATTTTCATGTCCCTTAAGTCTTTTGTTTTTAATACAATTAGTTTACGGTTTTAATTACAGAACAAAAATGTTTCGCACAGCAGGATTTGAAAAACTTTTGGGTAAGATCGTAATATCAATCATCTTGAAAACGCCTCTTTTATGGATGTCTTTTGTATTTTTGCAATTTATAACGTTTATTGTAGATAAAGCAACGAGTCATTTGTTAATGGAGCCTGACTGGCCTACAATAATTCAAATTTGTGATCTTATTCGACAGAATGATGTGCAGTGAGTAAATGATAAATATATGTTTATTTCAATTTTTGTTTAATATGGCCTAATGGTTATATGCTATTTTAGGCCCAAAAACGCATTAAATTCTATTAAGAAGAAACTTTGTGCAACCAATCCGCATTCAACTTTCTATGCCTTGTTAGTACTAGAAAGTATTGTCAAAAATTGTGGTAAGATAGTGCAAAGTATAGATTTGTAGTTTTAAATGTAATATTAAATTTATATTAGGAACAATTGTACACGAAGAGCTTACTTCAAAAGCATATTGTGAATTTCTCCATGAATTAGTCAAAACCACCACTCACGATAATGTTCGTCAAAAGTTATTGGAACTTATTCAGGTTTGGAGCTTTGCATTTAGGAAGAATCCAAAGCATGGAAATTTAAAGGTATTTATTTTAAAATTATGATAAACATTGTTATTGATAAAGAGATTGGTAGACTTTTCTTATCAGTTAGAATGAGTCAACAATTACATGACCTTTTTATACTCATTTACTGATCAAGTAATTTTTATATAGAATCTTAGTACCTTCAAAGAATATTGTAATTAAAATATTTTTTGGTACCTTATGCCAATATGAATATGTTTCCTGATTATACAACAGTAAGTAACCCCAATTGACTGCTAAATTTTTAAGTCATATCTAAGATTTAACGTTAAATATAGTGCTTTTATTTTAGGATTTGATGAACTTGATGAAAGCAGAAGGTTATAAATTTCCAGTTTTGCGTGAATCTGATGCTATGTTTGCTGCAGATACAGCCCCAGAGTGGGCAGATGGGGATGTATGCCATCGCTGTCGTGTTCAGTTCAGTATGATTCAAAGAAAACATCATTGCAGGTATAACTATATTAATAAAAATATTACATTCAAATGTCTATTCTGAAAAATGCATACTTATTCTTGATATTAGGGCATGTGGACAAGTTTTTTGTGCTTCTTGTACTTCTAAGACAACAACTTTACCAAAGTATGGTATTGAGAAAGAGGTATTTATTATAATATATATTTATACATAAAACTAATCTAATTTTTATTTTTTTTTCTTTGAACTTTAGGTTAGGGTATGTGATACCTGTTTTGATACAGCTAATAAGCCATCGACAGGAGCAAAAACGCCAAAAACAGAAACAGAGTTGCCTGCAGAATACCTTAAAAGTTCTTTAGCTCAACAAAGTCAGGTGCTATAAAGATATAAATGCAATATTAATTTAAATAATCCATCCCATAATATATTTAATAGGAACCACCAAGAAAAAGTGAGGATGAGCTTAGAGAAGAAGAAGAACTTCAATTGGCTCTGGCATTAAGCCAGTCAGAGGCTGAAGCCAAGGAAAAAGAAAAATTGAGAGCTACTAATGCTTTGCTTAATCCCACAAAAAAATGTAAGAAAAGTTCTTATTCCAAAAAGAAATTTAATTAAAAATATAAATTTTAAATGTATTCTTACAGCTGAGCCTGTAGTAAACCGTAGTCCATCTCCACAAGAGGAAACTACTAATCCAGAACTAGATCGTTATCTGAATCGTTCTTATTGGGAATCAGTACAATCTCAAGATACAACAGAAAGGTAAGTCTATATTAAATGTATAAACTTATTATAAGGGTATAATATAGTCTATATTAATAAACATATAATAGTTTATATTTATAATAAACATTATATTATACAGGGTGTCGAATTTTTTCTGTATACAGAATGAGTCAAAAATAGATATAATTTTTTTGTCTGTTATTACAAATGGAACACCTTATATATCATCACGCTTTATGATTTGTTGAGTAATCTGTGTATTTAAAATGGATATTTGTTTAATTTTTTTTGATAAAATAAAATTGATTTGTTGAATCAAAATAAAAATGAAACTTCAACACCCTCTATCTCCGAAACTAAGCATTTTCGGGTATACATTTATACAAACTTTTTTACTTATTTTTATCTGCAGAATATGCTGGCGTAGTGATGGGCAAAACTATTATTTTTAGATAACAGTTGAAACTGTTATAGTTATTTATAAAAAACAGCTTAAAATAACAGCTTAAAAATAACAGGTTTCTTTATTTTATTGCTAAATATATGAAAGAGTATGAGGTGGTCACCGCCAGGCGTATTAACGCAGTTGCAAGTTGCAACAATGACATGCTCGGTGGTAGTATTTCCAGGGTGTCAAAACATTTCTAAATATCGATTGTTATCTAAAATACCTCTCTAAAAACGGTCGTTGTTTACAAATAAGCGCTGTTTACAAATTGCGATATAAAAAAGCCAAAATTCCGCCACTCGTCTATACGTATACATTCCGATCTACCTACGCCTTGCCCCTCGATCGGCGTAGATCCTGAATTGCGTAGCAGTGTACAGGGTGCATCTCACTCGACGGGTGAGAAGCTCTTAGTTATAATTTTACCATTTGCGGTTAAAAAACAGCAATATAAGAAAATGTGTAGTATATTCTTCAAAAGTAAACCAACTGCACACTAGAGTTCGAATTAATTTTACACTTAAACTAGCGTATACCCGCGACTCCGTTCGCGTCGAATTAATAATTTGTAATGGTGATGATAAAGCAAAGTAAGAATTTATATTAACATACAAACTGGATAAAATTTTCTCACATTTGCCAAAAATAAGCTTTAAACGTCGAGCAGTTTAAGCAGAATCGTGGTTAATCAATTACTCAACTTTTTGGAACACCCTGTATTATTTTTTAAACAATTTCAAAATATGTAAAAAAACAAAATAAATTATGCGTGTCCAAGCGTTTTCCCGAAAGACTAACCGTTTTTTAAATAACAAATATTATAATATTTGAGGGGCGTTTTCACCCTCTTGGAATTTAAGATTCGAGAAACCCCTCCTTATCGAACCTCAACCCCACAGTCAATCCGTTTGCCAAAAATCAGCTTTAAACGTCAAGCAGTTTAAGCAGAATCGTGATTACTCAATGGTCACATTTTATGAAACACCCTGTATATATTTTTAAAAAATCTTAAAATATGTAAAACAACGAAATAAAATATACGTGTTTAAGAGTTTTTCCGAAAAACTCACCGGTTTTTAAATAAAAAATATTCTAATATCTGAGGGTGGTTTCACCCCCTTAGAATTCGAGTTTCGAAAAATCCCTTCTTATCGAACCTCTACACCCTGAAGTCAATCCGTTTTCCAAAAATCAGCTTTTTACGTCAAGGGCTTTAAGCAGGATCGTGATTAATCAATGACCAGATTTTTCAAAACACCCTGTATACATTTTTAAAAAATCTTAAAATATTATTCTGAAAATTTTTCAGAATAAATAAATACCTAAATATTGAAACTTAATAACGTACTGAAACATACAGCGTCATAATATCTCGACCTCCGCCGGTTATGCTCGTAACAGGTTGAAAATCAATGTATCTAAAACAACTGATGCGTTATTCTCCAACCTGTTTCGAACTTCCATCGACAATCGACCGATGCAGCAGCCTTTCTTTCCCACTCCTGTTATCTCGACCGCCAGGCGTTATGCCCGCAACTGTTTCAAAAAACCTGCTTCTTTTAAGTAGGATATATAAACTCACAGTTGGATTTGGCTTTGGCTTTGGCGCCGCCGCCCAATTCTAAAACTGTATATTACCATAAGAGCATTTATAAACACGGTTGGCTTTGGCGCCCGGTTGCCGTCGGACTTGAATTATGTTTAACTTTTTACCGTTCGAGGCGGTTCGCGGTCCGTAGCACCACGTAGCAAATGACGTTACAGCCAATAGAATAGTAAAGAGCGATCACGTGATGCTTTGTTTACATCTAGTTTTGAAGTATGGGAATTCCAAATTTATGGTCACTCCCAATAACCCTAATAGGGTAATTTCATCAAGACCATTACTTTCCAAATCCATAATTAAAAATCTCGAACAAAAAACCAAAACTTTAAACACTTTCGTCTCTAAAAACGCACTATAGACTCTGCTACTCTCAAGTAAAAAGTAAACAAAAATGTAAGGTTAGATCTGCCCAAAACGGCCAAAGCCAACTGTTAACCGTCGAGTTTATAAATGCGATTTTGCGGCGCTACGAACGGTCGACGGCAAATCCAAAGCCAACGCCAAATCCAAAGCCAACTGTAGATTTTTTTTTTTTTTTTTTTGGTGAGGGGGTGGTTGAAAAATCTTTTATAGACGAATAGTGATCATTTCCATGACCATCTCGAGAGAGATGGTCATAGAAATAACCCCTAGACAGTGTGGGACTCGTGTTGATACCCACTAAAAAAAGTCCACCTCCGAGGAATCAGCCGCCGAAGAATGGTCAGCTATTATTCCTGCTAGTATGTGGGGAAGAAAAAGGGGGGGTGGGGTAATGGGAGGACTATATTATGAGAAGGGGCCAACTGTAGAGTTTATAAATCGACCTTTATATCCTATTATTTTTAAGCTGTTGTAAGCCCAATACGACCGTTGACGGGATCGACCGAAGCAGCTACGTTCGCCCTAGCGCATTCCCCACTCCGTTGTCCGTTGTCTCGCCGCATGTATCGATGGTTGACGAAATAACATGTTTTCCATCCATACTAGTTGTTTTTTGGAATTGCTTCGAGCAGCATAGAATTTCGGGGCGGTGCAGAGCGCCGACTTCGTTTTTCGTTTCACGAGCGGCCGATCTCTACGTGTCGTTATTTTATATCTGTTATTTTTTAGAAGTAGTAACGGTTGCGTTATGTTATTTCTAAATAATTGTTATAAAATAACAGATAGTTAAATAACAACCCATCACTATGCTGGCGAAGTTTCCGGAATACAGTTCGGACCACCCTGTATATTTGAAACTGTTCAATCTTGTTTTGGTCCAAGCTTAAAATATCATGCTTAATAGTGGTTTTAATGCCCAAATCGTATTTTTAATCATATCTAGACGTAGTTTTTAATAAATACACTATTATGAAATATTTACAATTAAAAAATATAAATTAATTGGTTTATAATACAGGATGCTTTAAAATGTCGACAAACTGAACCTGTATTATAAAAATATATTTGAAACACTTTGTATCGTCCTAGTTGCGCGACCTTGTTTACCTGTTTCTATTAAAAAAAATCAAAAAGTGCTGTTATGTAAAATTTTAAATAGTTATTTGGGGACAAAGTTTCTTAGTTTCTAATTTTTTATCTACCAGCTAAACTAAGTCACACAACTTTGATAGTATACTTAATTTCTAGTTTTCAGACAAGCAAAAACTCCACTACCTAATTTTACCTGTCTTTTTTGACAATAAATTCGTCTCATTTGAAGCAGGCACTGTATGTGAAAATATTTTATAAAACATACACTATCATTATCCCCATATTTTCTAACCAAGATTGGTTCACCCTGTATCAATTTGTAACGGTTTATTTTTCCATTTACAGACCTACTAGCCCTTCAGCTCCATCCCCCGCCTCATCAATTTTAAGTAACGAACCCAAATTTAGAATAAAGGAAAATGGTGTAACTGATGGTGATCTAGAAGAATTTGTCAAGACTCTTAAAAGCCAGGTAATTATATCTTTTGTAAAATACAAAAAAATTATAGGTATAGACATTTTTGACAAAAAAAATTAACTGCAATTCTAATTTTTCAGGTTGAAATATTTATTAATAGGATGAAGAGTAATTCTAGCAGAGGCAGATCAATTGCTAATGATACAAGCGTTCAAACGTTGTTTATGAACACTACTAATTTACATTCAAGATTGCTGAAGTATATTCAAGAACATGATGACAGGAGGTTGTATTACGAAAGGTTACAAGATAAGCTAACCCAGGTAAGAATTTATGACACAATAACAGGAAATATATTTTAACATTACTGTTATAAGGTTAAAGATGCAAGAGCTGCCCTTGATGCTTTACGCGAAGAACACAGAGATAGACTGCGCAGAGAGGCAGAGGAAGCAGAGAGACAAAGACAACTGCAGATGGCTCATAAGCTTGAAATAATGAGGAAGAAGAAGCAGGAATATTTGCAATATCAAAGACAGCTGGCGTTGCAAAGGATTCAGGAACAGGAACGTGAGATGCAAATGAGACAGGTAAGTTTATGTATTATATTATAAAAGATATTTTGTGAGCATATTTATATATTGATTGGTGATGTTCATGAGTTTTTTCTAAATATTTTGAGGGTTTTATTAAGATCATCTTTATAAATACTCAGAGCATATAGTATATTCAGACAGATGTTCACAAAAAAAACAGACAACATATCATATAGTATAAAACATCTGACATATCATATAGTCAGCCTAGCCGAAGAATATACAATTAAATCGATCAGGGACATATTTTTTTGTAAAATTTTTATACTTTTGAATGTAAATGAATAAAGATTATTATCAGGAACAACAGAAGCAGCAGTATTTAATGGGTCCTCAACAATTTGCTGGTTTTATTGGTTCGCCAGTGCATAACCAACAATTTCAACAGCCAAATAATCCACCTGTAGGGAATTACTATGGTCAGTATGGACAGATGTTACCCCAAGCTCCAAATTCTGCACCTCCCGGAATTCCATCAACTCTACAAGGAGGTAAAAAAGTCCTATTAGTTATTTTTTGGCAATTTTTTTGAATTACATGCTAATCAAGGATCTGGCGGACCTCCTCAAACACCTCAAATTGGGCCTCCACAACAATTCATACCACAGATGCCCAATATGCCACCCAATAATTCTGCACCATCAGGAGGAGCATTTAGTCCACCATCTGGAATGATAAGAGGACCCATGGTACCTGGACCAAATCATGGCATTCCACAAAGTGCGCCACCGTCTTCAGGTATACCTCAACAACAAGGTAAATTGGGAACAAAGTAACTTATACCGGGTGCGTCTCAAAAGTGTCGCACCCCCTATAACTTTTTTATTTTTTCGGATTAAAAAAACGAGATTTGGTATGTTAGTATGTGACATAAATTAGGATTGATTGACGTATTCAATTGTTTCTGGTCACTTCCTGTTTCACTGGAAATGAGTACAACTTTTGATTTTTAAATAGCATCCTCGGTATTTGTTTACTATATTCAATCGAAAATGACACTCTGAATAGAATGACATATTATTTTTCGGATTAAAAAAACGAGATTTGGTATGTTAGTATGTGACATAAATTAGGATTGATTGACATATTCGATTGTTTCTGGTCACTTCCTGTTTCACTGGAAATGAGTACAACTTTTGATTTTTAAATAGCATCCTCGGTATTTGTTTACTATATTCAATCGAAAATGACACTCTGAATAGAATGACATATTATTTGACATTTGTACATATCATTTGAGATATCATTTGACATTTTCACTTAAAAAGTCATATTTAAATATCAATCTAGAGTACTATGACTGTGTTAAAAACATTAATTTTTAATCAAGGAGCCTTGGAAAAATAGATTTGAGCGTCTAATATTTTTCGTGTCTTGTCCTGGCTGGTTACAAGATGCCCAAATCGTATTTTTAATCATATCTAATTTTTTTCAAATGGAACAAGACTTGCTCATTAGCATATTTCGAAAAGGCATTTTTTTACGAATAATTTGGTACCACACACTTGGAATTTCCAGTTAAATTGTCGTTATGAACCTCATGTTACAATTTCAAATAAACCATATGCGAAAACTATCAAAAGTTGACATATGATATGTCATTCTATTCAGAGTGTGAATAAAGTAAAAAAATACCGAGGGTGCTATTTGAAAATCAAAAGTCATTTAGTAGTCATTGGTGAAACAGGAAGTGACCAAAAACAATTGAATACGTCAATCAGTCCTAATTTATGTTACATACTAACGTACCAAAACTTGTTTTATCTGAAAAAATAATAAAGTTATAGGGGTAAACCACTTTTGAGACGCACCCGGTATTTTTAAAAAATACAGTGTTTTTTTATTCTCATCGTAGGTCTTCAGCAAGTACCATTTCCAAATCACAATGTCCCTCAAGGACAAAACAATCCACCGCCTCCGCTTCAGGGTCAACAGAGTGTGGAGCAAACTCAAACTGCTGAGCTTATCAGTTTCGATTAAACACTTGTAATAATAATTTTATTAAAGAAACTATAAAACTATATAGATAGAATTTAATGTTTATGTTCGTTATTATAAATTAGCAAGTATATTTTCTATTGTACTCATACTTATATATTTAAGAAATACTTATATCCTGCATATAAATAAAAAAAATCTGTATTAGAATAAGACATTTGCGTTTAGAATTCCAAACCATCGGGACTGACAGCCATGTAACATAACACTCCACCACCGGGAATTTGTCTTGCCGAGACGTAGGCTCTTCCATCAGGGGACTTGTGATGTAATACGGGATTTATTGGACCCATTTTAGGAAGAAAGGGTATCTTGAAAAAATATGATTTTGTTAATTGACAATTTTTTTTAGTGGATAAATTATAATCAGATTAGAATACAGATTTATACATGGTGTCCCAGGCTGAGCGTGCATTAGAAGTTTCTAGGGAACTACAACATCTAGCTGGGAGATTTTTTGCACATAATAGTTTCACAACGAGATCTATCGATTAAAAATATTTTCAATATGGCGGAAATACCGGAAGTTGACAGCAACTTTCTTATTTTAAATGAGTGCCCCCATTTTTTATTAAATACTTAAATTCTCTGTAAAATTTTATGATTTTTTATATTAAAGACTCTATATCTAACATTGACTATTTTTGGGAAAAAATATTTAAAATTTTTGAACGAAAAAAACTGCCTGTCAAAAATATGTGTATACCCTAAACGTCAAATTGAGTGATTACCACAGCCACTGTGCCATAAAGAGAAAACATGCATAAATCATTTTTTTTTTCAAATGGAAACCCACTTTTTTTATTCCACTAGTGAAGTTCAAGTAAATGTCAAGTGATGTAAAACAATAGATTTGGCCATGTCATATTGTGACGCTTTGTTTAAAAAGCAGCATCATTTCCGAGCCAAATTTGCGCTGTTTTTTTTTCAATCATTAAATAATGTTGAATATTATTAATATAATCCTTGTTATATTATCAACTTTAGATATCACTTAAGTGCGAAAATACGAGATTTATTTTTATAAATACACTTTTTAAACTCTTACAGGCAGTATTTATACTATAGGAAATTCAAATAATTCGTTTTCTGACAGATGGAAATAAATTGTCTGACCGTTTGACACTTAATGTCAAAGGAATCTAGATAAAATCAAGAAAAATATGTTTTCAAATTGAATATAACTTAAAAACGATTTATTTTATGTATAGGAACAAGTATAGTTAAAAAGTAACGAGTTGAAAAACATTTTCATTAGTGAAATAAAAAAGTGGGTTCCCATTTGAAAAAAATGAATTATGGTAATTTTTTAATCGCTCAATTCCATGACAGCTACCGCCATTATAAAAATAGATAGCCACATGTCTTCTCTTCATATCACAGTGGCTGTTGTGGTGGCTGTGGTAATCACTAAATTTTACTTTTAGGCTATACACATTTTTTTGACAGGTAGTTCTTTTCGTCCAAAGATGTTATTTTTTTTTCTCAAAAATGGTTAATGTTAGGTATAGAGTGTTTAACATCAATATTCGTAGAATTTTACAGATTAGAAAGTTGCTGCAACTTCCTGTATTTCCGGAAGTGCCGCCATATTGAAAATATTTTTAATCGATATATGTATCTCTTTGTGAAAATGATGTGCAAAAAATCTCCGATCTAGATATTGTGGTTCTCTAGATTCTTCTACTATTGTACTTCTAATGCACGCTCAGCCTGGGACACCCTGTATATCCCTGTAGTTTTACTAGAGATTCTTAAACTTAGACTTTTTGTGCTAAGAACACGGAGAATTAAGAAAAATGGGGTTGAAGTTAACTATAGTTGTTATTTAATAATGTACTGTGTAAAACCACGTAAAACGCTATACTCACTACTCGCTGATGAGGTTCGTCGATGCTATTCGTTAGTTTGTTTGGAAATTCGTCCATTGTGTTCATGATAATTCTTTTGATGGTTCACCCAAAAACCGATATTCCGCCGAATCACCGCGCATTGACGAACTGCATCACACGAATAGTGAGTATGGGGCTTAAGTTAAACAAATTATCTTATATTTTTACCTCTCTACTCATGATATTCCCTATAGTCTCAGCTAAAGGCGGTAGCAATTTATCAGAGGGTGGATGTTCAAACGGCCCGTGTAAGCACTGATTTCGAACTTGGATTCTGAGGAATTGTGCGTAATCGTTTTTTATTTTACAAGATTCTAGATTATCATCAGAAAGAGATGATAGTTTTCTAGTCCATTCGGAACAGCGTACTCTATCTAAATATATAAAAACTAAATAAACATTGTTATAAATATACGAGAAAGGTACCAAATGGGCTATGCAGTCTAGGAATGTATTGCGAGATATCCTGAAGAGCCTGTCTGAATTCTTCTGCATCTTTTGAACCCATTTCAATATGAATTAAGGCTATTTACAAAAAAAAAATACTTTTAATTTAGAGGAAAAAATGAAAATGATTTGTCAAAGTCTTTCGTACCAGCCAGGTATAGATTAATACCTCGGATACTCACAGTAAATGAATAATATTTTTATTAACTTTGTATATTAGTGAAATGAAATGGGATTGTTGAATTTTAATTGTATCTGAATGGTACCATCACCTACCATGTAATAACATAACTGCTATTATTAAAGTACCTATTTTTAATTAATGCTCATTAATAAACCCGTAAAAAGATTTGTTGCAAGATATAAGGTCATTTTATTCTTGCTCGGTGTATAAAACATAATATAAAATCTTTGTATAAAACAGTAAATTATGTTAATAATATATTCTAAAACGCATTTTTTACACTATTCTAAATAGTGTAAAAAATTTAGATGAAAATATAAAAAAATTATAAAGAAAATTTAATAACATATTTAATACTTACTTATATTGTGCATAAAATTGACACAATTATATTCTTAACAAATTTTCTATAACCTTTTCTATTAATCATTTATTTTATTTAAATTTACCGCGCTTGTAAATGTTAATTATTTAAACGTTTCTACTCCTGAATTGTTATAGGGTATTTTGTTTAAAAACGAGTTTTCAGTTGATTTAGTTTTCAAACGTTGGCCATCCTGATTTGTACTTAAATAAATGACAGTTCCTTTGACAGTTCTCTTTCGAAGCAAGCGACGCGACGCCATCGTTGAAGAGCATTTTTTAACGACTTGAAATTGTGTCTGTGTGCTAATTGTGTATTATAATTTGAATTATTATTGTATTTATAGTCTTATCTGTTTTGTTGAAAGAAGTTTTCATAGTGTACACAAAGCGTTTAGTTTTTCAAGATGAGTTACGGTAGGCCTCCGCCCCGTATTGACGGCATGGTGTCTCTCAAAGTTGATAATTTAACTTATCGCACCACTCCCGATGATTTAAGGAGGGTTTTCGAACGATGTGGAGAAGTAGGAGATATTTATATTCCTAGGGATCGATTTACAAGGGAAAGCCGTGGATTTGCTTTTGTTAGGTAACTATATGGAATGAGTTCATTAACCCATATGCTTTGTCATCTGCCTCCCATTCCGGTGTATATCTCATCATTTTTTTGCAGATTTTTCGACAAGAGAGATGCCGAGGATGCGTTGGAAGCTATGGATGGTCGCATGTTAGATGGAAGGGAGTTGAGAGTTCAGATGGCAAGATACGGTAGACCTACTTCACCACATAGACGGTACAGGGGAGGTAGAAGACGGTAAGTTTGGTGTTATAGTAATTCCAAAACATTAGCAAATAACACATAAAGTTCTAGATCTCGTGGTCGCCGAGGAAGTCGTTCAAGGTCAAGGGGAAGAAGATCTGCCAGTAGAAGCCGTTCCCGTTCAGGAAGCAAAAGTTCAAGGGGAGGTTCTCGTTCTCCATCTCGCGATAATGCTCGATCAAGATCAAGAAGCAAATCCAGATCTAGATCTAGAAGCTAGTAAGTTTATTTACTATTAAACACTTATAATTTTCCCTGAGTGAATTTAGATTAAATACTATTTTTTTCTATTTCAGAACTGTGCAGAGTGGAAGGTGCACTGGAGTAGAGTAATGCTGTAGGCACCTGCTCTGAAAAGGTACTTTAGTTAACAATACTTTTTCCATCAATTGAAACTAAAGTCATTTCTCAAATTTGTAAACTTTTCATTGTGTTTTTTAATTGATTTGCTACATATTTAATTTGATCAATAATTTGGTTGAGATATGTATTCTATGTAATGAAGTCAGTTTTAATATAAGATTTTTAAGTGGTATTACAAATAACAATTGTAATAATGTGTACCTATTTTTCTAGAACTACGTATCTTATATTAAAATATTCTATGACTATTCTAATTATTCTTTGTATTAAAATATTATAAACTGACAATTACTGCTACCTTTGTGTCAAGTAATAGGCTTAGCTTTAGTTTTTCTGTATTTTTCTCAATTGTTTTGATTTATAAAGGTAGAATGCTACTTTCAATTGTAATTTAAAATTCTTTTACATAATTGTTTAATATTTTATGTAGAAGTGGAGTATGATCCATTTTTGTCCTGAAATATATCTTACAATAAGGGGATATTTGAGTTTGTGATTTAGAATTTTCAATCCAAGCAGATGTTCTTAATTATTTAGTAGTATAAATTTAATATTTCAATTACGTATCTATAAAACATCTGCTGGCTAATATATGGGATTGTTTTATTAAGTTCACATAGCTATAACATGTCTTAACAATTAAAAGATGTCGGATTTCACAAACATGATTTTAATAAGCATAAAATTATATAACTTAATTTGGTAAAGATTAAGATATTAGATTATTATATATGTAGCTTTATTTAGAATCTTACAATTAGTGGTTTCAATTAGCATAGAAGTTGTTCCTTTAATTTCAATGTAAGCATTCAGAACGTTAAAATTAGTGGTAGTCATTTTGACAAACCAAACCAAACTTAGAAGAACATCAAATTTTAATATATATTTTCACCATTTGTTATATTGAAATCTTAGTTGTGAAATCTGAAAAAAGTCTGTTTGTTTGGTGAATATCCTTTCAATATTTTTGAGTTGGCAGAATTTATAAGCTTGTCAAAAGAAATCCTCATTAGTGCCACATTGATTGTATTGGAAAATTACTCAAATCTATCACGAGATACTTAATTTTATCAGCCCATGATTGTAACTTTTATGATTAAAATTATAGTAATCGACTGCTGAGAGTTCTAACATATTTAGCGGAATGTGCTTCCATAGTTTAAACTAAATCATTTTGGTGTATTGTGGTAGATTTGAGTAATTATCTGTTGTATCATCAATAATTCAAATATTTGTATTGATTTATTATGGCCCCTGAAGAGTATGTACTTTCCTAGCAGTTTAGTTTAACAGTCAAGTGAGATGTCTGTCCAGAAACTAGTCAAACTTTCCTGACTTCTGCATAGTTCTATTCAACTTAAGTCTTTGGCCAAAAATAAATAGGAATATCTTCAAACTTAAAATTTGTAATGAGCAGAAGAACATGATTGATATTCGGCCACAGATGAACTGTTTTATCCTACAGTTTTTCTTATAGTAACTAACTGCTAGGAAGTTACGTGTGTCTGTGTGAACCATCAGTTTTATTAAATTTATATCAACACTTAAGATTCATCAAACAGACAGACTTTGACATATTTGATCCATAAATTAAACCGAATATCTTAATACTTAGTTAAGAGAAGTTAAAATTACGAAACTAACATGTTTTCTATGTGGTAGCAGGCGCAGCGTGCGGGGGGTGGCAGTGTGTTGGCGGTGATTGCGGATATGGTGGCGTTATGAGAGAGGAGAGAGAGCGGAGAGCTGTTGTGTACCTGAGCCAGTTGCGCGTCTATTGGCTGTATTGACGGCGTGCTGTAGCGGCCCAGCTAATCGATGATCGCGCTGATCCGGATGTGCTGCGGCGTGCCGTACTATGTAGCTGCTCTCCATCTCAAGCCGGACCTTATCGAAACCGCGCACGTTAGCTTGGTTGGCACTATTGGGGCGAATCTTAAACAAAACCGCAATGGTTGCGTTAGCTTTTTACTAGTACAGATAATGGGTAATTGTATGTATAACTAGACTAAAAAACGTCTATACCTATGTGGGGGATTAATACTTTTATAACAACTGTTTCAAAAAAAAATATTTTTTTCTTAATTATATCGAAAATGTTGGAAATGCCGAAAAAAAAATCTGTGAAAGTTTAAGCTCTTTAATATTAATATTAAGAGGAAATTTTCATTTGATTAACATGAGGATTTTTTCCCGACTTTATAATTTTTTAACTCTTGAACGAGTTTTCTGATTAGTTTGGACGAAACATACATATTCTTGTAGAGAATTGAAAGCGCTACAAAAAGGGTCTCTTACAATTTTTTGATACATTTATTGGTTTCAAAGTTATTTAAAGTTAATGATAAATTTTAATATTTTCCATGACACAACTATTAAAGCTGCATTCAGAACCTCGCAATTAGTGGAATAAATTAATGGTTTCAATTACACTTTATACTTTTTAGTTTATGTTCAATCACAATGTCTAAAAAACAATTAAAATTAATAAAATATGGCAACAGCTTGCGGTAATCATATGCTTGTATCCATAGAGAAAGATATTTAGCTTATAAAATAATAAACTTTTGATTTCTAATGACATATTCTCTTAACGGATGATAATCAAAGGCCAGAATGACATTCCTCGCAAATTTTGAAGTATAATTAGTGGAAAAGTTAAAAGTTTGTCAGATTTTTCCATTAATTGAAAATTCCTACCACTAATTTTAACGTTCTGAATGCTTACATTCAAATTAAAGGAACAAACAACTACGCTAATTGAAACCACTAATTTTTTCCACTTACTGCGAGGTTCTGAATGAAGCTTAACTTTATGAGAAAATTTTCATCATTGTAAGCCTTTTCATAAGTTATCTCTATAAAAGTTTTTCATATTTTGTACATGTCGTAAGTTATTTGCATTAAAACTGATTTTTTTAAATAATTACTCGTAATTTTGTTTATAATGAATTACAGATTTTTAACGTGATAACTTACGACCTTTACAAAATATCAAAAACTTTTATAGAGAATGAACGAATGAACAGCTCTGCAAAAAATGTTCTCTGAAATTTTCCCATAAAGTGGATAGTTATGTAAAAAAATTGAAAAAAATGTTAAAATTTATCATCAATCCAAATTTAACCATGAAATAACTTTGGAACCAACAAATATATCAAAAAAATTTAGGAGACCTTTTTTGTAGAGCGTCCAATTCTCTACATGAATATTAATATATTTTGACCCAACTAGTCCGAAAAATCGTTCTCAAGAGTTAAAAAAATTCCTATGGTAATCAAATGGAAATCTCCGATGGCATCTTTAATATTAAGAGCTCAAATTTTCACAGTATTTTTTTGACATTTTCAACAACTTTTTCGATAAAATTTTAAAAATTATTCGATTTTTTCGAACTAGTCTTATATGCACAATGGATTGAGCGAGTGGCAGTGGTGGTCATAAGAGAGAAGTGGGCTGTTGTATTTCTCTCTCTTCTACGCGGTATTGCCGTTTTTTCTATTAAAATATTTAATATCAGTCAAGATTTACTGAAAAAAACGACATTAAAAATATAAGTAGGTTTATACACGTTTATAGTTTATTATTTCAAATAAAGGCTTTTTAACTTGTTTGGTGGCTTAAGTAATAAAGTTTAGGTCTATTTTGTATATAGGAATCTAAAGTAACTACAATAGAAAAAAACATTCCAAATAATGCGTGGCTTATTCAGTTATTTTACAGTAATTTTAGTTTTGAATATTTTACAAGTTCTGGATAACTTTAAAAGAGAATTAATTTATTGTACTTCTAACCCTTTCCATTTCTAATAAATAAAATGTTTCCCTGAGATCGCCACTTCTTTTTTTGCACAGTAAAATTGAACATAAAACTGATTACAAATTATAAAATCTATAAACTGATATATTTTTTAGTTTATTTCAAATTCTATTTATTTTTTATTCAATAAGCTGTCAAATTTCCCTCGAGTGCCAAACAAGTCCGTCATAATACAGAATAGATATCGATCGCGAACACGCCACAAGAGAAAAGAGGTAAACATTATTTATTTTCTTTAACAATTAACACCATCAGGTAGGTATGATACCCTTATAGTTGAATATTGACATTGAGATTTTTCGTTAGCTATTTTGATAATGAGAAAAAAATCATTCTCATAATCGAATAGTTTTGACGACTCTCATATTTTGTCTCTTAGATTAATTATTTTCAGGTCTTAAATCATCTTTGATTTGGAAAATTGTTTTCAATTGGGGATTAATAAATATTTTAAATATAGCACGTTTTGTTTTCTTTTACCTGTCTTATTTTACTCTAAAAAACCTAGTGGGTTAAACAAAAATAGTGTCCGGGGTGTAGAAACCCATTTAAAAAATATTTATCTTAAGCTACATTGTTTGAAATAATGAAATTGTACCATATGGTACCATATAATAAAATTTGATATACTATATTTGTCCAACGAGTTAGGGAAGATTTTGACAGACGACATGCAAAAAATGCAATTTGCCAGTGAATTAAAGCGACAGACACAACTGTCATTGCCAGGGATGTACTCGTTGGATTGGCTTATATTAAGTAAATATTAGTCCATAAGAAAATAGGCCTTCAAATACAAAGTTTTCCTAAAAACTTGAATTTTTGATGAGTTACTCTGAAAGATTTTTTTTTAATTCACCCCCGAGAAGGGCTGAAATAAATAAATAAAATTATTTTATCGAAATTTCGGAGAAACGGTAAGAACTATAAAAAAAGTTCAAATTAAAGTTGGGGAGCGTCAAATTTTACATAGAAATGATCTCTATACTTTTTTTGCTCAGATCAAAATTAACGAGATAGGGTGGCTAGCTAGAAGCTAGGAGATGACAGTAGAAAATAAATAAAGTTATAACTTGCTGAAAAATTCATATATTTAACATTTTTATTCAATTTGCTTGGAAAATTATAAATTTCAATTAAGATTTTTTTTTTAATTCAAGTGTTTTTTTTTCTGAGAAACGGTTAGGACTTTGAAAAAAACGTTTCAATATAAAAGCTGTCCCCTAGCTTCTAGTCACCCTATCGGTTAATTCTGATTTGAGCAAAAAAGTATAGAGACTACAACTTTTTCTAGTCCGTACTGTTTCTCCGGAATTTTGAAAAAATAACTATTTATTTGTTTCACCCCTTCTCGAGGGTGAATTTAAAAAAATCTTTCACATAATTTGTTTTTAAATCTTTCAAAGTATATCAAAAATTCAAGTTTTTACCAAAACTTCGTATTTGAATGCCTATTTTTAGCCGACCATACCCACAGGTATGGTAGGCTATTAAGATTGGCAAAAAAGTTTTTTTAATTTCACTCAAAATGAGTTACATGGATCATAAATGACCTAAATACAAAGTATTTTCATGGTGCCTGTCTGTCCGTCCGTGTGTAAAGGCATGTACTGACTAGAGCACGCTCACCCGCATGAGCCGCTCGCGTGTGTGAGCGTGCTCGTTGTAGCGAGTGAAATTTGTGTTTGAACGACGGCTCATGGCTCAGGAAGGCGAGCCGATTTTGTTTTCAATCGATGTTGAGAACTTGTAGGCATGGCATCGCCACAAAACGTGTACCCTCGCAGCTGGTTTCATATTAATTCAGGCCTTAACAAAAACAAAAGTTAAAAAGACGAAGAGAAATAAGCGGTGGTGGATTAGAGCGAGATATCGAAATCGGGACCAAAGTAACAGGAATTTAATGGCAGACCTAATTTTCGAAGGTGACGAAGCACCATTTAAGAATTTCACGAGAATGAGTAAAAAAGATTTTAAACTGCTTTTTTCACTAGTAGAACCCAAAATAAGAAAACAGGACACTTTCCGTCTGATCATGTCCACACTTGAGCGCCGTCGTGGGCCTACTGAGCACGCTCGCCTTTGAGCATTGCCAAAAAACCGACAAGTGGGGGCTCGCGTAGAGCAAGCTCAGATGAGCCAAGCGAGCATCCGAGCGCGCTCAGCTCAGACGTACACATATGAGCCGCTCGCGAGTGTGAGCGGCTCATGCGAGTGAGCGTGCTCTAGTCAGTACATGCCTTAACACGATAACTCAAAAACCGCTAAACCGATTTTTACCAAATTTGGTACAAAAATACTGTGGCACCCGAGAATCTGGCCTTTAGTTTTTGGTGGGGGTGGGCGTTGGTAAGGGGGTGTGGGAGGGGGTTAAAAATTTTAAAAAATCGTAACTCCAAAATTACAGTAGCTAGCGAAACGCGGTTTTCAATTTAAGATTAGGAATAATATTTGCAACAAAATTTGTAATAACATCAAAATCAGTCAAAGTCGCAGTTTTTGAGATATTCCGTGTTTCCGTAGTCCGTTTTTGAGAAAATCCGTGTGGAGAACTCCAAACTCCCATCGGACGCGACCCCAGGTGGCGGATAAGGGAAATAACCGCGGACAAAAATTGGAAAATTTACTTTGAAACTAAAAGAACTGCCTACCAACTTTTTATTAACATATTTTAGAATGGGCGTAATATGTACCTCCCGGCGCCAATTTTTTAGACTATATATGGTCAAAATCAGCGGCAAAGCTTCCATTGATGCATCTTAGTTCTTTCTTTAAATTGGTTTGAATATTTTTTTAAGCTGTTTATTTTTCGGATACTTTAGTAACTTCAAAAGTAAAGAATTAAAGAAAAAAAAACTTTATTGTCTTGGTAAAATATTAATTGCAGGTTACTTATTACATCCCCTTGTATTGACTCCACGCTACGCCGCTGGTCAAAATTGATACTAAACAAATACTAAAATATTTTTTTATAAAGGCTTTATTATTTATTAGATGGTTAACTATGCAGTATATTAAATACATTTAAAATAAAATGTATTGGCATAATACAAGTGGTAATAAAAATAATTAAAATAATACCTTACAGTTTTTCAACTGACAAAGGGACATGCATACAACAGTACAATCATAACTAAACAAAACAAAATTTCATTATGTACATAGTATTGCTCGAAGAAAATTATATACATTAAAACTAAATAACATGGTCAATTTTTTCAAGAAAGAAAAAGTTCAGGCTATGTACAGGCTGCAGTTAGTAAACAAAATCTTATATGAGAGTAAATATTAAATCCATTACTTTAATATTGGTTTAATAAAATTAGAGGGCATGTATACAGGATATGTATAGTCTATTCAGTGAGAGAAAATATGATTCCGACAGACATCAAAAAACTATGTAGAAAAAATGTTTAAATATACTTTTGCGTTAAAAAACTATCGTTAAATGTTCTTTCGCCAAACAGACTATAGTTAACAATACTAGTGCAAAGATATTAAGGTTAATACTATAAAAAATATGTTTCAACAAAAATACTTTTAATAAATTATGTTATATGTTTAAGTCCCTATTACCAAACTTGTATAAAGAAGTGATAAAAATATTAGACTGTATTGTAAGTAAAATCATCAATAAAATCACATTCGCGATTTAACATTAAAAACCTGATAAGAAATGGACGGTCTCATAACTGCCATTCAGTGAAAAGTATAATTTTTATTGATATTTTTAAGGGAAGAAATGCTACAATATATAACATTTTTCCTTATTTTTAATAAATGTATTATCTACTTGTAGAAAAAAATATATATATTTCAAATTAAAGTTAAAAAATCTTCAAAGAATAATTTAGAGATTACACACTATCAAACACTATTAATTAAAGGAAATTTCTGGTATGATGACAACTAGAGAAATATAAATAAACGTGAAAATGAGAACCAGACTGACTGTTATGTAAAATCTTTGGATTTCTTCAGTAGTAGGTCAAGATATTGTACATGAGTTTCTGGGTACACAACTTGTTCTACTATCCATGCCAGCTGGAGTAGTGGGAATACTTGTAAACCTAATAAAATCATACATTAAACTTATATTTTCAAAGAAATATAACTTTTTTGAAAAAATACCTAAATTTTCTGCCACCGCTGCCTTTTTTGTGGGATTGTGTATATTTCAACTGAGTATTTGTTGATGTGAGAGCATATGATTTAAGATGGGACTTTACACATGTTGGCAATGGTAGTTGTTCTATACTGTAAACTGTTGTACGAGCTACAATGGCCCTACAGCACAATTCTTGTAAACTTAAGACTTTGTTAGATCTACAAACAGAAACTATAGAAAAAAAGAACAGTAATATAATACAAAACAATTTACCTCCAGAGTCTCTCCATTCCATTTCGTTGTAGTGCCATTCTTGATAGTTCACAAAAACTCTCATGAATATTGAAATTACATAATGGTGAGACTTCAAAAAATGCCATACTGTGCTTATTTGCATAGATCTGAGCATCTCTTTGTCCCACCTTTCTTTTAAAAGCTAAATGAAGTCGGTTTCCTACCAATACCTTAGGAACTCCTGGTGCATGGCTATCTACTTCTTTTAACCACCGGTCTAAACCATCAAATGACCATCTTAAAATAAAAACAAATTAAATATGAGTCTAGATCTGTACAATATCACTTTATTTACCTATTTGTTATATCATATACTAATAAGACCCCTTGTGCCCCTCTGGAATAAGATCTTATAATTGTACAAAATCTTCCTTGTCCAGATGTATCCCATAGTTGAAGTTTCACTCTTTTGCCATCCAAAAGTATAGTTGTAGTTTTATAAGCTATAATAAATAAAAATACAAAGATTATGGCGTTTACAAGTCAATTACAATATTCAATACGTACACTTACCGCTCCCACTACAGAAGGGGCTCTCCAATGCTCCATCATCTAAATCAGAGAGGATTTCTTGCTTGCCTACATCGCTATCCCCAACTAGTAGGAATTTTAATAGATAGTCGTACTGTTTCTCTTGGGGTTTATTAAGTTCCACAGCCATACCATTTGAGGTAACCATAGTAAATTATGAAAGTACTTTTGTTACTACCAACTACATTTTTTCTTGAGCCTGTTCAACACTTTAACCATGCCTTAATCCATTTTATGTATATTTTCACAGGATGATTAAATTTTTGAATGTTTTATAACGTTGTATACAAAAATAACAAATCTTCTGTCACATCAACCGTTTATTTTTATTTTGCAAGGTCGTTTCTTGCGAAAATAAACAGATGTTATTTTCATACCTTTCCCAGTGATAAATTATTTGTCCAACATAAAACTACAAAGGCTACTATTAAAACTAAGTATATTCTGTAGAGAAATCAAAGGTAAACACCAATATTAACCCTTTTATGAATAATAATTTCCCAATGAAAATGGAGACTGAATTTTCTACTTATCCTGTCACTGTCACTTTTGTTTTCAATAAAGTTTTCAATTTTCACAGGGATTTACAGTAATGCCAATGTTCTTTCAAAACAAAATATCTACTACTAGGAATGCTTATCCTCAAGATATATCGATAGTAATTATCATTTATATATGAACCGAACACCATAAAATTGGCTAGCTGCCAGTCCACTCCACGTCTGTAGGTCATATCCAAAAAAAAACATTCTCGAAAAAAATCGATGTTTGATACGCATTCCTATAGTAGTTCTACAGTCAATAGACAAGTCTATAGTAGTTCAAAATACTTGAAGGGCGGCATTTATTTAATATTTTAAGGTTACGTTTATAAATAAGCAATTTTCGGCAAATTTTAAATATAAAAGAATTTATAATGTCTTCAATAGACGAAAAGAAAAAGGTAAATCTCATATAAAGTAAAATCCCTTTACACATTTTTTCATTTTAGGGAAGTAATCCTATGCAAGATCAAAAAGAGAAGAAACGCAAAGAATCGATCTTGGATTTATCCAAATATTTAGAAAAAACAATAAGAGTAAAGTTTGCAGGTGGCAGAGAAGCAAGCGGAATTTTAAAAGGCTATGACCCCTTAATAAACCTCGTATTAGATAATACCTTAGAGTATCTTAGGGATCCCGATGACCCATATAAACTTACAGAAGATACCAGAGAATTAGGACTTGTGGTGTGCAGAGGTACCAGCGTAGTACTCATTTGTCCAATGGATGGAATGGAATCCATTCCAAATCCGTTTATTACACAAGATTAATTTAATAGCTTTGATTTATACTAAGGGTAATTTTATGTTTTCTATAATAAATAAGTGATTTATATTAAGCCTTTTTTTTTAAATTTATTTTAAAGTTTTAAAGGGGTATTAAATGAAATCTACATTATAACAAAATATTTATTTAAATCACAGTATCTGAAGTTTTCAAGTCTATTATTCATTATATCATGAAAACACTACTTAAATTTTCAGATTTTGGAACTAATAAGAACCCCCCATGTTCTGTTAAACTGATACTGACTTTCAGAGATGAATTTGCAATATGCAAAGAATAGACCTAAATAATACAATATTAAAAGGACGTAGGAATTAACAGAACGTATTGTAATTTTAAATTTATTATTTTAATTTGCTTGAACTTCTTTTGGTGTGGACATATCATTAATTGTAGCACCTTCAACACATTTCCAAAGACCATACGTTTTTCCCACTGTTGTTTGCCATAATCGTAATGTACCATCTTCTGAGCCTGAAGCATAGAGTTCACCATCTGGAGAGAATTTAATACAGTGTACTGGTCCAAAATGTCCTTTGAATGATTCTAAAAAATAGTAAATACCTTTTGATTTACAAAACGGATTTTTTTTAAATGACTTACCAATCTCATTGCCACTTTGATAATCATATTTATATACTTTTAAATCATCACCCGCAGCAACAAAAATGCTTTTGTCAGGATGTAAAGATGCTGAATTTACTGGTGAAGGGATAGTGTATTCTCTTATCTTGTTCAAATTCTCTGCATCAAAAAATGTAACTTTATTTGAATACGCTACAGTTAATACAGTGCCATCTTTTGAAACTTCTAAGCTATTTGGATTATGTGGAAAAGAGAGTTTTTGAACTTCCTAAAAATCAATAATAAAATAAGTAAGTAATATTAAAAAAATTAATGTCTTTTTTATACCTGTTGGGTAGATCTATCCCAAACTCTTAAAGTCTTATCATCTGCACACGATATTAAGTGGGTATCATTTCGAAAAAATTGAACATGACGGATACTTGCAGTGTGACCAGAAAATACATCTGGAGCTATATAGAAATTATATTAGATTAAACTTGAAATTATTTCAAAATTTGAAGACCTACTTGCTTCTGGTTTATTAAGATCGAAAATTCTGATCAGTTTTTCATTGCTTCCTGTTACTAGAAGGGCCGAATCTCTTGAAAAGTCTACACTTTTTACAATATGATTGTGTTGAAAAGAGTGAAGTTCTTCCCCTGATATAGCATCCCAAACCTTTCCTAAAATAAAATTATTATTAAGGGAGTCATAAGGGCTATATGGAAAACAAGTTTTTACCAGTAAAATCTGCAGCACCACTAGCTGCTTTGGTGGCTTCAGCATTTAAAGCCACACCCCAAACAGCCCCTTTATGTCCTTCAAAAGTTCCAATCCAATCTCCTGTATCGCCTTGCCTAAGCATTGGTTTTCCATCTTGAATACAAATATTGATCAGTATATTAGTACTCATATGTAGGTTGTTTTAAAACAGAAGAGATATACAACATAATATTTATATTGTTTGTTATAATCTCAGTAAATCTTGATATATAAGATTCAATTAAAAGGCAAATTCCGTCGATAAGATAACGATCCATAAATATAAAGTGTTCAAAATTGTAAACAGGAAGAAAGAATTTTAATTCAGGACTCAATTTTTAAGACTGAAAAGGAATATTTAAACTTGAAGGTGAACTTCTCTATAGGGTTTTATATTGTTTTGTGTGTTCAAGTAATGAGGCCAAGGTATAAACATGTCTTGTAGAAGGTTGAAGGAGTGTATGTGGCGGATTTCTTAAATTGAAAACTTACCTTTGCAGGCTGAAATTAGAAAGTAGCTGCTTTCCGTAATATCAGAAAAATCCAGATGAACTACTGGTCGAGTATGTCCGCTACATGTTAACGGTGTTTGCCTTAAATTTGCCATTCTGTTCTTACTCAAATAAGTTAGTCCGTTTAACTAAATTTACCAATACTACACCACACACAGGAGATCGAATTAAACTGTTAAACTGACTTTTTGTCATTTGTCATGTGTTGTCTTATGGTTGTCTTCTAAAATGCCTTAAATGACAGTGACAAATGACAGTGACAAGTAAATAAATATATCTATCAATTATATATGACATCAATAAACAACATATGCGTTTAATATATGATATGAATTTTAGATAGATTATTTTCCTTATTTAAAATTCAATTTGTTTGTATTTGTAAGTTAATGAACAGGAGGAGATTTAAAATACGTGAATCATCTAAATTAAAACTATATTAAAAGTAGATAACCGACTCAAAAAAAATAAAGAATTTTTTTTGGTCCTATAATTTAAATAGGTTGGTATGACTTGATTATGATCCAAAATGTCTAATTTTTAATGTTGGTACTTTAGTTAAATGATTAAATGACGTTTTAAGGAAAAAGAAAAAATTGGTTGATAAAAGCTGATAAAAGTTCAATAAAGATTTTTTTTATCAAAAATAGTGAGGATAGTGCATAAGGTATTCATTTTTATGATATATACATTTTTGCCTTAAAAATTAGAATACTCTGAAAATTATAGTGCCCTTTAAACGACCAAATCTTAGAAGTTTCCTGAAATATGTTAATAAAATTATAGAATTATTTTGTATGTTTAAATTTGCCTAATAAACAACGTATCTGTTATCTGTTCTTGGTCAGTTTTGGTATTATTTTGTTCACATTTTTATTGTTATGTATTTGTAAATAATTATCTAAAATACTCTAATTTTTATTTTATATAGGTACAGTAAAAATTGCATTTGTTCAATGAAGAGTGTAAATATTTGTATATTAATTTCCTTTTGTTCTCTCTCACATTCAAATGTTCATTTTATATTTATATATATATTTTACAATTGCTTCTACAATGTAGTTATAAATTTGCTTTTCAAACATAATTTAGATGTTAATGTTCCTTAATAATGATGTTAAGTAGTTATGAGTGTTAAACTTTTTGATGTATACTTTTTAGATTTTAAAATGTTCAGTATGCGCCTAAAGATAGGTTCAATACGAAACAATGAATGGAGGAGCTGCTTTTGTTTACATGTACGAACAGCCACTATAGCTTTTGGGGTATGGCATTTGGTAAGTAGTTCCATTTTTTGTTTTTTTAGATATTTATCTTTTAATATTGAGTAGTTTTCTTAGTTTATTATACAGGGTGTAAATGAATAAGTGCAAAACAAATAGGTTTTTTTGCAAATTAAATATTCTCTTCTAATAAGATTATTAATTTCGATTTTATGTTTTTCCTTGCTTAAGTCTTAACCTACATTGCTTACATTAATTTACATAGAGCCCTTCTACGAACAAAAAAGTTTCTAAATCTACCTTTACACAATTTTTTTTTATTCTAGAAAAAATGAATTTGTAGAAAAAGGTTGTAAAAAACACAATTGCAAGTTGAAGGCCTGAAAACCTGTATCATCCCTAATAAGAGTTCTGTATGAAACCTAAATATTAGACACACCAAATATCATTTTTCTAGTAGGCCTACTATACTGATTTTTTTGCATTTATTATACCGTATGACGGGAAAAAACTCCAGTTGGCTTAGAAATGACAATCGATGATATTCCTTATATAATTTTACATACAATGACAGCGATTTTCATTTCTTAGAGATCGCTGACGCCGTTTTTTTTTTCGATCATATTGTATTTGTAAACACCACAACCTGTTCAAAACTGAGCCTGTCGATTTACTCATTTGCATGGAAATCAACGTACCGTCGTGGATGGTGAATACCCTTATGGTTGGTTTATAATATGCATTTATATTGCCAACCCAACCTGCACTTAAGGTGAATTTATATGTATCCGTCATGCGTCGTCCGTTATAGTTTTTTTTGCAATCCTATTGGTTTCATTTAAAAATGACAGATCATATTTCACTGTGATTGGAGAAACGGAGATTCTTATACTTAAGGTGGGTTTATATGTATCGGCCGTGCGTCGTTCCGTCACAACAGCCGTATTGAGGTCTTAAGGTAGTTCCTCACGAGCGCGGAAAAGCGAAATTTTGCCTAAATTTCTTACGCGTCAGTTTGTTCCATACTGATAACTGTGAATATTCGCTTTCTATGATTTTGCGGCATCGCAAATAAGTTAAAATATTTTGAATTCTTTGGCGATTTTTTTTGCGGGAACAGGATAGGAAATACGCGTTAAAAAGAGAAATCGAATTGAGCGGGAATTATAGTTTTTTTGAATTGAGTAGTATACATTCTAAGGTAAATAATATGCTTTGTAGGATCGTTTAAACGCATTTCAGTTATGAAATTATAGAAGCGGAGGCGAGAGCGCGAACGAATGCCTTGCGCGTACGCTCAGCTCGTGCGTGCTGAAGTCTAAACGCACCTTTAGAATACACCCAGGTTGTTCTATATTTTTAGAAAGCTTATAGAAAGACACCATTGGCCAGTATATAAAAATGGTAATATTAAGAAAAAATATAACTACGCCACTGGATTCCATGTGAAAAGTCCTATATAAGAATCCGTTTATTCTCCTATCTCAGTTTTCCGATAACTTGCCTTCTTGATAAGTTGTTAGACAACTGAGATTACGAGGGGGGGTCTGAAATTGCAACATTTTTAAGAAAAAATCCATTTATCTTGGAAATTAAGAAGGCTATGATATTTCTCTTTGTAGAATCTTTAGTTCCACAAAAATATAGGAGAAAATAGCTAAGGTTTACGGAAACCGTTAGGTTTTATCTTTACAAATAAGCGAAATGACACTATTGATACGCGGATATTCAAAAACAAGCAAAGATGGCCAGCTGGTACTGAATAGGCTGTATCCTCCTGTTGTTTACATCCTGTATAAACTTGTAGATAATATCCTGTTAAACCTAAATTTAATAATGAAATAATCTTTTCTACAGGTTTTACATATACTAGCTTTGGCAGTTTTGGCTTTGGTCATGAGAAACCATAGTTATTTTATTCAAAAACAAGTTCATTTTGAAGAAAATGATTTTTTGCCTACTCCCTTAAGTAAGGTTAAAGATGACGATCCTTATTTTCTACCAACAACCCAGGATGGCAGACCTATTTTACCTTGTAAGTAATTTATTTGTTTTACCAGAACTATCTAAAAATATATTTTTCCATACATAGCTGATGTTGACATGGGAGCCATTTTAACAATTTGTACCTTGTCTATCACTCTTCTTATGGTATATGGAGCTATCAAAGGAAAACCCAAGCAAGTTTTACCATTTTTCTTCCTCCAATTGTTTGATTTTGCAATTACAACGTTAGTGTTTTAGCTAAGCATTCGTTTTCTTTTTCTAGTAAATATTATTTTAGATTAACAGCAACTGGATACTTTTGTTATCTGCGTTCGGTTCATCGCTTGGTAGCTGAAACCTGGCATAATTTACCGTTTCGTCAGGAGCTCCTTTCCCTTAGTCCACAAACATTGTCGTTATTAGTGTTGGTAACATTTTTGGTAGCTATGGTGTGGAAAGTAAGGTAGTAAAAAATTGGTTTAAACTTTTTTATAATAATACATTTTTAGGCTTATTGGATAGGTGTAGTCTGGCGTTGTTATAAATACCTCGCCTTAAAGCAGCAAGCTACCCATAATACAATTCATTACATTTTGCCTACTGTAGATTCTGACCGTAACGATCCTGATTTTAGCTCTCTGTTTCGCGATAGTGACACAGCATTTTTTGGTCCTTTAAAACAGACACCACCACCATCTTATCAGGTAACAATTTCAGCTTTTCTTATTCAATTTTATTATATTCAACGATTTAAACTTAAATAATGTAGGATGTAATGGATGAGCAACCACCGCCATATCCTGCAAGCACTACTACTACTACCATAGTTCAAGAGGTACCAGCACAACGCTTTTTGTTTACTTACACTCCTGAAAATGGCCAACATGACGAAACTGCAGTTTCGACAGAATCAGCTACACCGCGGTGAGCATAGAACAGTATATTATACAGTGGTTTTACTTTATTTGGTCCCACTTTTAAATGACTATATTTTTTTTGTTTTTGGAGATAAAACCATTATTAAAAAATTAAATTGTTAATCTTGAAAATCATTACCTAATAAAGTATCTGTTCTCACGTGTCTCCCCTGTTCGGGTTGTTCACTCACGTACAGCATGTTAATATATTCTATCGCGCTTACCACATCTTATTTTCACTATTCGGGCTGCATTTACGGATATTTTAAGATACTGTTAAGTCAATTCCTTTGTAGTGTTTTGTTATATATACTTTATTTCACTCTATTTTTCTATTTAATTCCTACTTACAATTAATTTTTTATTGATGAATCTGATTTAACAGTTTCATTTTGTTCTATAAATCTCACATTGTAATTTAGTCTTCAGTTTTTTTTATTTTAGTACCTAAAGTTGGATTTAAAAACTCTATTTTGTTTTTTGTTGTATTTTCAATATCCATAATTAAGTTACACACAGTGGCGCATATATGGGAGGGGTAATGGGGGTAATTACCGCTCTCAGGAAGAAATTTATGAATAAGAGAAAATGTGTTATAAAATAAAATTGTCTCAAAAGAAGTTAATAATACCAGTCAAAATAGAGAATCCAAACCAATCAAAGTATATTTTTTTCCACAGTCACAATACCTTTCAGGGAAAATATAATCTAAATTTAGTACGTTATTTAAATATTGTCCTACCCTTCCCAGACTCAATCTCTAGATGCGCCACTGGTTACACACTACCTACCACAGTTAAAAGCGGGAAAAACAATAAAATGAAAGCACTGTGCATACACTATTTTATAACTTTCTGTAAAATATATTTTATACAGCAGTGACCCAATGTTCTGAGAATGCCCCATATTTATTTTTATTTAAAATGTTTGCTCCATTTTTTCATATGAAATAAGAGAAAATGGGGGCAATGATAGCATCACAAACTTATGAGTATTGTTATATACAGGTTCGCTTTTATGTATGGAAACGGTCAATTATTAGGTAAAATATAGGTGGTACCGCAAAAAGCTAAATATAAAAGTTATAGGGTTTATAAATATCTATTAGTGGGTAATAAATTTAAGTATACACGGTCGGTCATAAAGTCGTGGCACATCAAAGTTTCATTTTTTTAAATGGAACCCCCTGTATATTATTGCATATTTCGTTTTTTCCTTCATTCCAAAAAAAAATTGAGATACACACAATGTACCTCAAACCAACCGTTTCCGATTTATTGACTTTTGAAAATATCACTTAAACAATTCTATTTTAATTAATTTTGATGTGTTCAGTTTCATTTAATGATGCCATTCTGCGGAAACTGTGATACTTAATAATATTTGACATTAGTTCTCAAGTTAGCATTTATAGATGTATAAAATCAGAATATAGCAAGTCTGGAAATTACAAAATTTTCGTTTAACATCTCAATTCTTCAATTTATGTACATTGTATATTACGATTATTGTTTAAAATTGAAGACTTGAAATATGTAATAATATACAGGGGGTTTCATTAAAAAAAAAGTTTGATGTGACACAACTTTATGACCGACCCTGTATACTTAAATTTATTAGTGGTTAATAGGAATTTAAAAACCCATTACAACAGTATCACAGTTTCGGCAGAATGGCATGAATAAATAAAACCAAACACATCGAAATGAATTAAATTAAATTGTTTAAGTGATATTTTCAAAAGTCAATAACTCGGAAACGGTTGCTTTGAGGTAAATTGTGTGTATTTCGATTTTTGCTTAGAATTGAAGGAAGAATTGAAATATGTAATAATATACAGGAAGTTCGATTTAAAAAAAATGAAACTTTGATGTGCCACGACTTTATGAACGACTCTGTATACTTAAATGTATTACTCGCTGATAGATATTTAAAAATCCCATAACTTTTGTATTTGACTTTTTGCGGTACCTCCTATATTTTACTCTGTAAAAATATATTTGAACCGCCCTGTATATCTATGAAAATATTCTATAATGAGCGTTACTATTGTCTTGCTAGAAAACTTGATTTTGAGCTATTTCAGAACACTGGCTTCACCCAGTATTTAGAGTTTTCTGATGTTTGTGATAAATAAAATTTCTCTTAGCTCTGAAATAATTTTGGAAAATAACGAAGAAGTTCCTATTGCTTCTACTTCGTCTACTGACATTACATCCATAAAGGAACAGGATAAATTTGCCAAAATTGATAACACTACTAACACCATTGTCGAAGTTGCTCAGGAACTTAAGAATGGTGAGCCTTTAGCTCAAACATCGGGTGAGAATCTTACAGTTAAATAAACTACTTGTTTGAATAAAATATTTTACTTGTAGTTCTTAGATCTGAGTTTTCTTAAAGGGTAGCAATGCGAACAGAAGTAACTTCTTTATGTAGTACAAAATTGTCCATTCCAGTTATGTAAAACATATATGCAAAATCCAGTATTTGGCATATCCATATTTTCTATGTAAGAATTGGGATCTAAGTCACATCTTTTGAATGCTGTGAAAAGAAAATGGAGAGTTATTTATCAATAAATTGTAAAATTGTTTATCAATTAATTTGCCTGTAGTTTGAAATGAAAAAAAGATAAGACTGAGTGAAGAAAAATAAAGAATTAAGAGTGATACACATTTAAATAATATAAAAGCTCTGTCTATATATGTTTATGTATATATTTTTTCAATTGCATTATTTGTGATGAAGTTATTTCTACTGGCCTATAATAATTTCTCTTTCCTATACTATTTTCTTTTTAAATATGGATTTATTAAATTGTGACAGTTTTTGTGGCTCTTCTTTATTAAAATGTTACAATTTAAAAGGTTTGTGGTATATTAGTAATACAGTGGAAGCTAAGCGAACTTAAAAATAATTAAAGATATAACGGATCTATTTCAATTGAAGGGTCCAGGAAAAAACATGATAACGCCAATTTACTAATTCTACAGGAGAGCACTGGATGGCTGGTGGTTATCAGGTTCCTTCCCTGTATGTATATTTTTGCTAGGCATATATCAAAGGATTTAACAACTTATTGCCCTGCAGAGTTTATACATTTTTGTAGAGATCAGTTAGACCTACTATAATTTTGTAAAACCGTAAAATTAAGAAATACGCGCTTATCATGTTTTCCCCTGGACCCTTCAATTAGTACTTTATTTTTTTAACTAGTCTAGACATTTTTATGGTTTTTACTTCTTTAAGAGAGATAGTTGATTTTCATAAAGAGCTATAACAAACATTTTTGTACAGGGGAAGTAAGGATTAACATTTTTCTATAGAGGGTGTCCCAGAAATAAGTGCAATTATTTTAAGGGGTGGTAGATCTCGATAAAAGAAACATATTTTCTCTTTATCGTTTTTCAAATAAGTCCATAACGGAGTTATTTTACTTTGAAAATTTCCCGAAAAAAAAAATGTTTGCTAAAATTTTGAGAACCACTGGATTTTTTCTGGATTTTCTTTCTTGTAAATTTAATCTAATATCTATGTTGCCATATTATCAAGAAATTATGTCTTTAAACTAAACACTAAAAAAGTTTCAAAAAAAATCAAAAAGTTTCGAATTTTCAAAATTTTTTTTTCGCCAAAAAACCTCATAGGCGTGTTTCTGGGGTTAAACTATACTACCAGTTAAAATACTTGCACTTGTTTTTGGGACACCCTGTATATTAAAATCTAAAATTATGAAATTATTTATGAAGCTCATATATACCGGGTGTGTCTCAAATATGGCTCACCCCTATAACTTTTTTATTTTTTCAGATAAAAAAACGAGATTTGGTATGTTAGTATATGACATAAATTAGGAATGATTGGTGTATTCAGTTGGTTTTGGTCACTTCCTGTTTCACCGGAAATGACTACAACTTTTGATTTTTAAATGGCACCCTCGGTATTTTTTTACTTTATTCCATAGAAAATGACATTCTGAATAGAATGACATATCATATGTCAACTTTTGACATTCTCGCTTAATAAAAAATTGTATTTTAAAATTCAATCTAGAGCGCCATGTCTATGTTAAAAACACAAATTCTTCATCAAGGAGCCTTGGAACAATAGATTTGATGGTCTAATGTTTTTAGTGTCTTGTCCTGGCCAGTTCGAAAATGCTCAAATCGTATATTTAATCAAATCTCAATTTTTTCAAATGGAACGAGGGTGGCTCATTAGAATATTTGGAAAAAGCATTTTTTTACGAATAATTTGATACCACACACTTGGTATTTCAAGTCAAATTTTCGTTACGAACCGCAAGTTATAATTTCAACTAAACCATATGCGAAAATGTCAAAAGTTGACATATGATGTCATTCTATTCAGAGTGACATTTTCGAATATAGTAAAAAAATCCTGGGGGTGCCATTTAAAAATCAAAAGTTGTAGTCATTTCCGGTGAAACAGGAAGTGACCGAAAACAATTGAATACGTCAATCAATCCTAATTTATGTCATATACTGACATACCAAATCTCGATTTTTTAACTAAAAAAAAAATAAAAAAAGTTATAGGGGTGAGCCACTTTTCAGACGCACCCGGTATAGTGTCACTTTTTAAATTTGACACTATCTATTTGTTCACTATCTAAATTTGAAAGCATTTCAGAAAAGCCATGCATCTTTTCAAAAAAATCATTATGAGTTAGTTCTGGGATGTTTTAACAAATAAGGAAGATGTTCGCTTAACGAGGTTGTCCTAAGGATATCTTTCAATGTATTCTATTTATATAGTAAATGTCCTAATTACATATACCTAATATCAGTCTTTAACAAGTTTTAGCCCTGTCAGTATCTCTAGATGTGTACGTAGAGATAGTAGTATAACATAATATATAGTAACAATAAATGTTAATTTCTGTTGAATATATCACAATATGGATGTAGCTTGCCATTGATATTTCCAGTAGGTATTATGGCTAGAGCACTTTTCTAATAAAGTTGTTTGGAAAGATCAATAAATAATTTTTTATTACTCCCACATTTCCTAATATTAAATGGATTTTATCTATGACACAATCGGGGTTGGGTAACGACGTGTAGAAAATTAATTTTCTACGTGTATGTAGAAAGTAACTGAATATTTGCACCATTGTAGTCAATAACTCCAGGAATGCAAGTGAAGGTTGTAAACTCATAAGATGCAGCTTCACTTTCAGTTTTTGTTAGAGTTGATAAAAGTGTAGACTAAAAAAATTCAGTTTAACTGACATATTGCCTAACAAAAAAATAAAACTAATACAGAATGGTCAGATCATTTTATAATAAAGCTGTTAAATAATAGAAACCTGTAAATAATTTTATTATATGTATAAAAAGACAAATATAAAAAAATAACTTTTATTTTTTAACAACTTGGATAACATCTTCATCTGCCATTACATGTGAAACTCCTACTCTCTGTGGAGAATACTTAGTACTAGTACCCCATACTAGAGCATATTTAAACTGAGCAGCCAGAGTCCTAGAAAAATACAGTTATAACAATGTGTGGGATTTATAATTATTATGGAAGGTACCTGTGTATTGCATGACAAACATGTTCAACTGTGACACCTTTTCTTAAAATCAAACCATCCGAAAAATCTGGTGGTTGGCCTGGTTTTTTTGTATACACACGTATAAGACTTAAATACTCCCACAGTACTTGTAAAAGGTAATCTAGATTTAACTTCATGTTACAACTGTAAGAAAAACGATCATCTTATATGAAAATACTACTGATTATAACATATATTACCTTACAACTACACTATTTGGTTGTCTTGCAATTCGATCTACCTCCTCAATAGAAATTTGATCTATCTTATTATATACATATAAACAGGGTAAGTAAACCCTGTTAGCACAAATTACGTCAATCAATTCATCTGCTGTACAATCTTCTCTAAATAAAACCTCAGCATTAAAGATTTTATATTCGTGCAAAATTAATTGCACTAATTTTTCATCAATTTTGGTTAATGGACAAGTAGAATTGAAGGACAGTCCACCACCTTTTTTCACCTTGAAATAAATATTGGGTTTTTGCTTATTTAACCTAATACCGACACTTTCTAATTCTTTTTCTAATAAGTCTCTGTGAACATCTTTTTTCGTGGCATCCAGCATCATTAAAACTAAGTCAGCAGTTCGAGCTACAGCTATAACTTGTCTTCCTGAAATATATCTAATAAATATTTATTTTTGAAATTTTTGCCATCATTTACCTCGTCCTTTTCCTTGAGCTGCACCTTCAATAATACCTGGTAGATCAAGTAACTGAATATTTGCACCATTGTAGTCAATAACTCCAGGAATGCAAGTTAAGGTTGTAAACTCATAAGATGCAGCTTCACTTTCAGTTTTTGTTAGAGTTGATAAAAGTGTAGACTAAAAAAAAACAGTTTAACTGACATATTGCCTACTAACACCAAATGTATGTTAATATACAGCCTAAGCTTTTAAATACCCCATGAGAAAAGATTGAATAAAGAGATTAATGTTGGAAAAACTCAAAATGTTTACTTGTAACGAGTAACAGTGTTTTAAATATTCACTAACCTTTCCTACAGAAGGAAATCCTATAAGAGCCACTCTTGCGTCTCCACTTTTCAACACATCAAAACCCTCTCCCTTTTCAGATTTTTTTGATGGTTCTAAAAGCTGAGATCTATATTTTGCAAGTTTTGCTTTTAATAGACCCAAATGATACTCAGTTGCTGAAAATAGATACGTAATTAGAACAGCCAATAAGCAAGAAATTGTATGAATACCTTTATTTTTTTGTGTTCTTGAAATTTCCTTTTCAATTTCCGATATTTTTTCTAAAATACCCATTTTTATTAAATAAAAGCCGCCGGAAGAGTTGCACACCACCACACTTCATCAAAGAAAATAAATGTCATTTTTATTTTGACAGTAAATGCCAAAATCACGGGACAATCGAACTACTCTATGTAGTGATGTGGTTAGTACGTTCGATATCGATAGATCATAAATTATAAAAATTTTAAAAGGGTAATGTATCTATTCTCTGGCTATTTCCCACGTATTTCCTCATTGTTTAAGCCAAACGTGAGATTAAAGATACTATAACAGTACTAACTATAATTTGAAAAACATTAATATGCTGATTTTCAACTTATTTTTCGAATTACATTGGTAAAACAAACAATAATCTATACAATTTAAATTTTATTGATATATAAAATTGATAGCAACATTATCTGTTGATTACTTAATAAATGTATAATTATAAAAGACTAAAAAACAAACTTAAATTAACAGAAGGTTTTGCAAATATTATTACAACATAAGCTATATCTTAAGTTTTCGCCACTTCCGTAACGAAATATAAATTCTCTTTTATTTACACTTTTACCATCTTGTCAAAAAGCTACGTTTCAAATATTTAATCATAAAATCGGCTGTAGAACTGTATCAGAAAGGCATTATTAAAAGTCGTAAGGGCTGGCCTTTGAAAATTATTTCTAGGATCTATTGGATAATGCGTTTCAAAACGAGAAAGAGTTATCACAACGATTCGATTCTATAAAGCGGTATTCACATGATTGTAACTTTGGTTAAAATATTAATTTTAAACTGGAATAATGGTCACGGACAAGTTATTTAGTTAACTTTTGAATATGAAATAAAGACTAGCCCTCAAATAAAGAGATTGAAGGTATTTTTATATATTTATAAAAATTGAAATACTAGCACCGCTATATTTGTTGCAATTCCATGAAGTGGTATTTGGTTTTTGGAATATTTGATATAATAGATGTCCCGAGTCCCTCAAAGCTCTTTACAGAATTATATAATTCCTGGGCTCAAATAAAAATAATTTGGCGCATCTTACATTGCTTTAAAGTTCTCAGGGAGCAGTCAAAATAAGCTAAGTTGAGTAAATTTAATCTAATTTAAGGCTAGGAATATATGGGACATTCTATACAGATACTTTCAGGGATCAATAATTTATAAATTAATTTTAAAACGAAACAACGCCAAAAGCAAGACTAAGAGGAAAAATAACAATAAAATACCTTCTTCTCTTATGTCTTGTTTATAAGAAGCACCCGTTTGAAATACAAACCAAAAAACTTCAGTTAACCATCTTTAATTATAACCGTTGATGTGTTGACACCACACAATATTAAAAGGAACTAAAACCTAAACCCATTTTTCGAATATAAATAAGAAATAAACTTTGTGCAAATCCCGACAGGGACACTTCTTCAAAGATAATAAACAAGTATCTTTCTAAGTTTCAGTTCTGTTTATACAATTAACAAATACCGTAATTTTAATGCGAAATATCAATTTACAAGTTATCACAAAAAATGGAATACATTTAGCGATTTTAGTACAAAACTATCTTTGCTATAACTTGTAGTTATTTGATACGAAATACTAAAGGAAATATTTACAAACAGAAAGATGTAAAGTATAAAAATATGCCGACATCAACCCATCTTCCATAGTATCCTACTAGCCAAATTTTATTAAATTCTCGAAAAATATATATATTCCTTAATTCATTTTTAATTTATTTTCCATCTGAGTATTATAAACTATACGAAATTAGTTTTAATATAAAATAAAGTTATTTTTTATAAAATTTGGCCGATATGAAAGCAAACTTTCCCCAATGCATTATCCACACGGTCAATAACAACCATTCGCGCTTCCCTATATACACATCTTTTTTAAAACAATGAACATTGTGTGGTGCAGATTTCCTGGGACTTCTGTCGTATTTCGTCGATTTTTTTCGGGTAAAATATCAATTCATTAACTGCCTAAGTCACTATAAACTTTTTATTCCACCAGTTTTAGGACCTTGCCAATCGCAATTGTTTTATCTGAAAATAAGATTAAATAATTTTAATGAACGTACACAGGGTGGTCCGAACTGTATTACGGAAACTTCAGCAGCATATTCTGCAGATAAAAATAAGTAAAAAAGTTCTTATAAATGTATGTCCTAAAATGCTTAGTTTTGGAGATACAGGGTGTAGAAGTTTCATTTTTATTTCGATTTTTTCCAAATAATTTCTGAAATAACATTTCTGATGTCAATATGGCTCCTACTTGTAGAGGGCGCCACCTACATATTTTTAACTGGTTTGAAGAGTAATAACTTTTCGTCCGTACCTGTATAAAATTACTAAGTAAAAAAATATACATTTACGACGTTTTTAACGTAAAAAAGATCTCTTAATAAAAATCGCTACGAGTAATAGTTTTTGAGATATTTGAAATCGAAATTATCAATACCTGTCATCATTGACATATATTAAACATGTTGACTAAATAGTTAATAGACGGAAATCATAAATATGAAATGTTTTTGTGCCAAATCATCACCAATCATCATTTTTTCGAAGAAAATTTTATGATTAATTTAAAAAAATGAAAATTTTCCAAATTTATCTTTTTAGTCCAATAACTATCTACTCAACATGTTTATTTTTTGTCAATAATGACATGTATTGACTATTCCCATTCTAAATATTTCGGGAAGGGTTGCTCGTAATGATTTTTACCAAGATACATTTTTTACGTAAAAAATACGAAAATGTATATTTTTTTACTTAGCAGTTCTATACAGGTACGAACAAAAAGTTGTTACTCTTCAAAACAGTTAAAACACATGTAGGTGGCGCCCTCTACAAATAAGCGTCATAATGACATCAAAATCAAATTTCTCATGTCAAAAAACTTAAATCAGAAGAGTTAAAATGAATGTTTGAGAAATTTTAAAGTTTTATTTAATACCGTTGCAACAGACGTGAAATTTGCGATTTCATAAAAAATAAAATATCTTGGTAAGTTTTACAAATTGTGCTTGAATTTGAACAAAACTATGCAAAATTGATTTGATTTGAATTAATTTATGACAGGGCGTTTAGGATAAATCTAAAAGAAATCTTTTTAAGGCCATAATTAATATTATTCGAGAAAAAAATATATTTTACCTGAGGAGAATCTGAAACAAAACCTGAATAAAAAAAATCTCATATGTTGCATACTAAAATGACAACACTGTATAAATAAATATCAGTTCATTATTAATTTATTTAAATGTATTCATGATCACCTAATTGCTCACCAAAAAAACTAATTTTAGTTATTAATGTAATCCTGTGAAATGTGATATTCACATAGCCTGGTCGCTATATTAAAAAAATAATACATGTGATTTGCGCCAGATTACTGGTTAAGTTTCCTATTAAATGAGTATAGCAAATTAGAGTGGCTCAGTTAGATTAGATATTTTAATATATAATATAGAAAAACGTTGAGATATAACTGGTTCCTATTTCAGATCTTAATCCTAACATTAATATTGGTCCCAATATTATGTATATGAATAAATTGACGCTAACGAATGTGAAGGTTCATCGTTTCATGGCCGTTTAACGCATTCATATTTTTTTTTTAAATTTCTTTTGCCTTTTAGAGAAAAAAATCGCCACCAAAAGTAAAGTTTTATTCTATTTACTTTTATAGTAAAGGATTATATATTAGAAAGAATGAAATGTAGACCAAATATTGTTTAATCAAAATTTAAAGAGATTGTGCTTTAAGTAAATTGTAATGCCATTGGCATGTCATACTACTTTTGGTAGGCGATGTTAATATTATACAGTATGTCCCTAGTTTGAAAGGAAAAACTTTTATTATTGATATTTTGAGCAAAATACATTCTTCATAAAATTTTTTTGTTTGTTCTAAAGGCGCGTTCACACCGGCAGCGCTGCTCCGCGCCGCGCAAATCATTTTTTTAACATATACTATTGTGTGCGTTAAAAAAATACACTTCAAAAGTACATGTTAAAAAAATGTCTTGCGCGGAGCGGCGCAGCCAGTGTGAACCCACCATGAAATGGTTAATCCCGTTTATACTTTTCCAAATTTCCATACTGTTTGAAAAAAAAAACATGAAACTACAGTTGAATTTTTTCAAAGTTCTAAAAATCAAAACGCATTTTTATGGTAATATAATTTCGTTTTCATTCTATGATAAATTTTAATGATAGAATTTTAATAAACTCATATTTTTTGCTGTTTTAAAAGGTTAAAGAAGCACAAAACTTATTTAGTTCAATGCTGCGGAAATGGTGATAAAAATTATAGGAAAATGTGACACTTTAGCAGCAAAAAATATAACATTAATCAAAATTAATAATAACCATCTATAAAAGAATGAAATCGATTTTTTGATTTTTAGGAAAAATTCAGCGATATTTTCATGTTTTTTTTTTAATTTTCTCTAAAACTGTATGGAAATTGGAAAAGTATAAACGGGATTAACGATTTTAGAACAAAAAAATTTTTTATGGAGAATGTATTTTTATCAAAATGTTAAAAAAAAAAAATTTCCCCCTTGTAAAGACAATCCAGGACATACCATAGCATAAAAATGCTTGAAACATGAACCAGCCATTACTTCAAAAAATTGTAATTTAATACAAAATACTTACTTTCATCTCTTAATGTAAATCTGCCCATCTGAGGAAACAGTTTAAAAGGCTCCAGACAGATAACACCTGCACACTCTATTCGCATAATTGCTACTTGATCTTGTTTCACAAACCTTGGTCTAGTCTTAGATTTCTCTCCGGTTTTCTTGTCGATTAGACAAATTAAAGCCTAGAAATAATTAAATGTCAGCTATATTAGTAGACCTATATAGATTTTCTTACTTTGACAGTAATTTCTTCAGCCGCACAATGGATGTGCATGACGGCACTGTAGCCCGCACATATAATAGATTTGTGTTCCATAATAACAAGTTGAGCATCAAATATCCGACAAGTGTGTACAGGGTTTACAGCATCACAAAGTACAAAACCAGGGCTTACATCCTCTTCCTCTACACCTTTTACTTTAATTTTTACATTTTCTCCGGGAATTACTCTAGATACTTCATCGTCATCGGATAATAATTGGTCTACTACTACTGGAGTCTTAAAATAACACAAAAATTTTATAAAAACATCGTTCATACAAAGAGCTATAAGTACTTACTCTATTTGGCATTATTACTAAATTTTGCCCTTTGCGACATTCCCCAGATTCAACTTTGCCCATCACAACAGTGCCCATATCTTTATATTTATCAACAATGGGCATCATGAATGGACCATCAGCTTTTCTGTTTAATGCAGGCAAATTATCGATAAAAGGTATGAATGCCTGGCCATCGTACCAGGAACATAAAGATTTATCTACTGGGTCTTTTAAATTGTGGCCCATTTGACCAGAACATGGCAGAAAAAATAAGTCCTTGTTTAATATGAATCCCAGTTTTTTAAGGTAAGGTAAAATCTTGTCTTTACATTCGTTGTATCTAGCCTCGTCCCAATTTACAGTAGGGTCATCCATTTTGTTTACTAAGACAACTAAGTATCTGACACCGGCAGTCTTGGCCAACATTGCATGCTCCCTTGTTTGCCCACCTCTATCAAAACCGGTTTCAAATTCACCTAAAATAAATAAATACATAAGAAAAACTATGACGAATTTAATGTTAAAAATTACCTTTTCTAGCTGAAATTACAAGCACAGCTAGGTCAGCTTGGGCAGCTCCTCCTATCATGTTAGGCACAAAACTTTTGTGGCCTGGAGCATCAAGTATTGTAAAATGTTTTTTGTCAGTTTCAAAAAATGCTCTACCTACTTCAACTGTTTTGCCCTTGTCCCTTTCTAGAGATAAAATAAAAATAATCACCAAATATTAATCTAAATAAAACATTTAACAAACCTTCTTGATTTGTATCTAAAGCCCAGCTAAGATACCAACTTTCTCTACTTTTTTCACGAGCCTCTCTTTCATATTTTTCTAGAGTTCTTTTATCAACCATTCCAGTCAGGGCCATAATTTGCCCACCGATTGTACTTTTTCCTAAATTTTTGTTAAAAATCAGTAAGCTATACCATAGTTAAAATCTATTTTAGTAAATTACCTGCATCTACATGTCCAATAAATACAACGTTAACATGTTCTTTTTTATCTTCTACTTCTTCTTTCTTAAGAGGCTTTTTCTTTAATAATTTAGGTGCTTCTTCACTAGACGGTTCATCATCTTCCGGTGTAATAGCTTGGGCTACACCTTAAAATATTTAATAATGTACTTTTTACAGAAATATAAGATTTTCCTAACATTATTGTTACATTTTTTTTAATTCGCAAAAATATTTATAACAATTGAATTCTACCACAAGCAATAAAAACACTTATTATCTCAAAATATACCAGATGCTGTGCTATCGTCATCAGCAACATCTTCCCAAGTATCGCCCATTGCTGTAGGACTACTAGAACCTTCACCTACTGTTGCAGGTGGAACAGGAGGAGGCTCTTCAACTTCAGGGGGTTCTGAAGCAGGTTCAGTCCCTTCAAGACAAATTACCAATGAATAAAGAATGCATAAATAACAAATCCATTGAAAAAACACTACATGATTATAAGGTAAATGCCACAAAAAAAGGTTAACAGGTTAGGTTCAACATAAACCAGTAGAAACTAGTAAGAGGAAGTAACGGTATTATCTGTTTTCAATAAAATTAAAAATTCTTCAAGAATTTGAAATGGAACTTTATAACTTAAAATAAGCAACAGATATATAGTTTTACATTACCTATAATTATCTAGCAATATGGAATACTTTAGTGAAAAACAGATTGCACGTTTACGGGATAAAAACTTTTATGATTCAAATTTATGACGAAAGATCGGTATGTTACGCAATTACAATTTTTAAAACCACTATACGAGCCTAAAATATCTTTTTTAATATTTGAAAAATAATAATTGAGGGCATATAACCTAACATTCATGTTGGAAGAAACTGTTAGAATTTTACATACCATTTACGACAGGCTGCTGCTGAGGGGAATCTTCCTTGCTTTGGACGTCTTTAGGACTAGGAGGTTCGTCGGAAACGTTTTGAGTTGCAAAACTAAACGAAGGCACAAATTCAACTGCGTTAACGTTCAACGTGGAGAACTTCGCTGTCACATCTGTACTATGACTAGGACTGGTATTTGTTGAATTACTATCGGCTTGAGATTCCCAGCTATCCGGTGCGGTGTTATTTGACATTTTTATTGCGCTTTAAATCTTTTTTTGTCGAGTGCTTAACAAAAAATGCGAAATAACACGAAAAAAGTTTCTTCGCGTACCCCTTCTGTCACTCACCGGAACACAATGGCGGAAATGTCAAATTTTAGTTGTTTTGAAAGGAGAAGGGGAAAAGTAGCGCTGTTGCCACATTTCAATTTAGTCATAGGACGACTTAACATTGTTGTCACGTTTAAATTTAATCATAGGTTTCCATATTTTTTCCAACATATAAAATTTAATATCCCAGTTCAATTTTATATAATGATCAAAAAGTAATAAAGAATTATCAGTATGGGGCCTTAGTCAAAATTTGGAAATAATGGGTTAAAATATATTTTGTACTGCAAACATTTTGTATAACAGTTCAAAATTTTATGAAAATAAATACAAAATTTGCTCCTTCTGCAATTTTACCTGATTTCACACACAGAAAGAGGAAAAGCTAGAGCTAGTCTTTCCCAAATAAAACACAAGTTGCTTAAAAAGTATTTACATATTTTTATTACTTTTTAAATATACCAGGCACAATAACATATATTGAAACCTTATTTTAAGAGATATATATTCATTACATAATTTGTGAAACATTATACACATTCCTAATTCAGGAAAACTGTATATTTCCTTAATAATTAAATTGACAACATAGAATTAATAGGACGACCAAAATTAAAATTTTCCGTCATCACCTTTAAAATTTTCCATTATTTCATAGATATGTTGGTATTAAAAACAATAAATTTTAAAATAAACACGTACTGTAACAAGATATTTTATTATTTATTACAAAATTAACTATAACAAATGTTTAAATATTAGCTCATATTAACATCGTTAGAAATCAGAGCGCTTAACTTTTCTGATTTTAATTGTCTCTTAATAGCCTTGTGTTCCATCTCCTCATAATGTTCTGCAAACATTATTCTCAATGCTGGATACAATAAAGGTAGCAGCGGTAACTCGTCAACTTTTATCTAAAATGTATATAAAAATCTATCAAAATTCAATTTTTATGATGTTAGTTATCGCAAAAATTCTTTTTTAATACACTCACCGGCAAAAAAAAACGGCCACTAAAAACTAGTCCCAATTTCAAAGTTGGGTTTCTCGCGAACCACTTATTAGATTTTGATGATTTTTTTTTAAATTGTAAATTAATTCCTTCTTAACGGATGCTACGTCACCAATTTTTATTTCAAACAATAAGACGAAGTTTTTTGCCCAAACTTTGTAACACCCTGTAGGGTGCAGCAGCTGTAGTAGCTATTGCTAAATCAAATCACATTGTAGCCTCATCTTTTGTGAGCATTTTGTTTTTTTAATCCCGACGTTATCTCTTTTTGTATTGGAGATCCGCTGCTTTAAAACAAACGTAGACGTAGACGTAAACTAACTAAAACAAGAAAATTAAAAAAGGTAAAGAAATTTTAAGGGACTAATATCTAGTGTCCACACGCCTGGTGAAATTTCCCGATTCCATATACCGATTCCAGGCATCCTGGACTGTTGTTCGAAATATACCCATGGTATTGGAGACATAACGTTGACTTCGGCCATCCCCAATTAAAGCCACAATACGAGCAACATCCGTTACAGATAATGGCATTTTTTAATTTGACAACCGTTTTTCTCATATTGCAAATACTCATAAATCCGTTTTCGCCTATGCCGCCTTGATTATTTACACATAAAACTTTCTGCCTTTTCCGAGATGAATTCTGAATTTTTCCGAGACGTTCGTTTTGAAACAGCATATCTCCAATACGAAAAGAGATAATGTGGTGATTAAAAAAACAAAATGGTCACAAAAGTTGAGGCTACATTGTGATTTAATTTAGCAATAGCTACTACCGCAGCTGCACCCTACAGGTTGTTACAAAAAATCCAACTTTGAAATTGGGTCTAGTTTTTAGTGGCCGGTTTTTTTGCCGGTGAGTTTAGAAAATCATTCTTGTAATACTGTTTTATATTGCACTATTTTCAATATTTTTTTGTGTCTGTTTCCTTATTATTAAAAAATACAAATTTTAAATTGTATTATAAGAAGACAGAAGCTCAAACTGACGCATTTTGCGCCAAAGTACACACTATATGCAAAATTAAATTCAAAATAGATACAAAAAAAGTCCTATATGAGTATTTCGCCGCTATAAGAAAATATACAAAATAAAAATAGTTATTTTTTGTAAACACTGCTGCGTTAATTCAATGGAGATTAATTTGTCAGGAATGGTTTACTCATAAACAAATTTTACGAAAACGAACAAAGAAAATGAATATGAAAAAGATGAAACGGCATGAACAAGGAAAAAGATTGTTTTTGTTGCTTCTGACGATGGGAAAAGCATTTTTTTCCGTTAGGAAAATTTGTTTATTAGTAAACCACTAACCACTGCTGACAAATTAGTCTTCGTTGGATTAACGCAGCAGTGTTTACAAAAAATAATTATTTTACTTTGTAGATTTTCTTGCAGTGGCGAAATAACCCATAGGATTTTTTTGAAGAGATGAATCCGCCAAAGAGGTATAGAAATTTTTTATAAATAGATAATTTACTTATCAATATGTAAGTGATTAACATTCTTCCCTACCAAAGGGGTCACTTTTTATTATACTATTCTTACAGACAGGGAATATTTGCATACTAGTATAGTATTTACAATAATATACTAATTAAAGTAGGGTCCTAAATGGTTTTTATTTAGAATTCTACTATAACCGCACCTTTATTGTTTCTTTGAATACATTTTCTTAAATATTCGAGAATTAAAAACCTCCAATAAAATTGCAGATTATTTAGTGCCAAACTATTATAGTGTTACTTATTAAAATTTACTAGAACCTCCAGAAATAAAACTTTATTGATGCTATCGAGGTACTAGTTACTAAATTACAATAAAATTTGAATACTCCCAGGTAGGTATATAAAGTATAATAGAAATATATAAATGCATACCTGCTAAATTTCTAAATAATTACTTTATTAAATTTTCTATTAATTTTAAATATTTTGAAAAGAAAAATGCATTTTCTTTATAAAAGAATAACTTTGGACTTCCCTTTGGACTACTAATATAATAAAATAATCATATTAAACAAAATTTTAATTTTTAACTCACCAACATATTGTCAAAAGCTATACCAACGTTTTCTGAGAAATTCTCATTAAACCTGGGCAATTTAGCATATCTTTGACTAAAATGCGTTAATATGGTATATTTGGCTTCCATAAGTTTGCCGACTTCTATAGCTTGAGACGTTGTTGAATGCGTTTTAACCACAGCCTCATTGGCTAAATCATCCTCCATAGTTGCCTCGTGGATAAGAACATCGGAAAACATTCCTGTATTTAAATAAATAATAGTTTAGAAAACTAAAAAACACTCAGAAAAATAAAGCAAGTCTACAGTAGTAGTTCATACCATCCTTTAAAAAGCGAAACGGCGTATCGGCGTATCGACCTTGTATCGATTTCCAGTAATTCTATTGGTTGATACTTTTCGAAAATTCATCTGTCAAAAATTTCCGCCAATAAAGTTGCTGGAATTCGATATAAGGTAGTTACGCCGATACGCCGGCGCCGTTCCGCTTTTTCTAGGATGGTGTGGACGCACCAGAGGAACGATTTTGACATGCTATATTTAAAAATTGACAGAAAATACAATTTACTCTTATTGTTATTACTATTTATTACTCTTAATTGACATGACAGACAGTAACTGTCACTGTCGTGGATTCTCTTGTTCCACCATAGATAAAGGAAATAAATTTAGACTGGAATGCTCAGCCTCAAGTGTGACCTGTGAACTGCAAAAACCATCCTGGTATAACGTCAGTTTTCAATGTTCCATTGGTGGGTATTTCATACATGTCCTTATATGAAATAAAACTTCTTATATGCAACACACTGTATTTTATTTATAAAATTAAAAAAAATAATAATAAATTTGAATAAGTAATATTTGGCGACATAATTCCGGAAAAAGCCGAACCGCTCCGAAATTATCAAAAAAAAAATTAAAATTGAAATTATCGACCGTTGTAAGAATAGCGCCAAATAGTATTTACATTGTCCTTAAAGGTACTTTCCAATCTAAACTTGTTTCATTTTATCTATGCGTTGAACAATCGATAATGATAGTCAAAAACAGCGAATGGAAATTTAAAAAAACTAATAGGAGTTCTTCACTGAAAGAGACAAAGTCTCTAAAAAAAAACCTAGAAAATCTACCTAGTTTTATTAATTCGTCAGTCGGCATCGTATCTCCCGAATAAGTTATTTTATAACCATTTTTGTGTACTACAGCCACTCCAAAAGCATTGGGACAATGTTTTACAATGCAAGTATTAATATTTTGTAGTTGCAATCTCTCCAAAAGTTCGATTTTGTCGTTAGTAGGGTATAATTCTTGGTTTAGTATCTGAAAGACAAATGTTATTAATATATTATACTGTAGGATGAGTTCCAATAGAAATATAGAATGAGTGAGAGGGGGCTTAATCACTGCGACCTTAAAGATCTATTGTGCCCCCCTTTCTTGAGTTATCACACAGTCTATAACCCATCATACCTCTGTTGTAGAGGGGACAGAGTATTTCCCATCCTCCTCTGACAACAGATGTTCTTCCTCCGAGGGTACATACCCTCCCACGGTTTGAGTTTGGCCCTCCGTGCCCTTCACAGTCGACAAGCTTGCCTCCGGCTGAGGTACCTGTGAGGTGTAGGCTGGAGGATCTGTCTCCATTTTCTCCACCTCTTTAACTTGGTCTCTCCTTAGACCTGATACCGGTGTTGTCCCGTATCTATAAAAGAAGATATGTCCCTCTTTCTCTATTGCCTCATTAGATTTAAGGTCAATTCCTATTGTGAGAACCTGACCATGACCCTCCTCTCTCAAGTTGATGACTCGCCAACTCGATGTCCTTACATTGAAGTTCTGACCCTGGATAAGGCTCAGCAGGTAGGTGTAGGTGGTGTCTTTCCCCATGCTCCTCGACAAAAAGACCGTGATGGCTGCCCCTTTAGGGATGTTTTCTCTCTTCACTGCAACCAGTTCGGGCCCTTGCCAATTTTTAAGCCTAGGTGTGCGATTTTCACCAACCAATTCGCCGATTCTTGACACACACAATCTGTGAGGATCATACCCACCCGAAAGTGTATCCCCGCAAAACGCAGCTGATCCACATTTTGTTGATCGTTGATTTGCGATCCGATCGCCACTACTTCGTCCAGCATATCCTCTTCTAGAGACATTTGCTGGTCGGTGGTCAGAGCAACTTCTGGGAAATCCTTTGACAGCACCGCCATATTCACTTGTCCAGCATTAGCGGCAAACCTGGTGACACGTCTCTGCTTGCTTCCCGGTGTTGGACGGCTTTCTGTCCTGACTTTTCTCTCTCTGCCGGAGAAGAGGTGAGAGGTTCTCGCTCCCTCTCTTGCCCTTTGATGGAGTTGAGTCAGGTTGTTTCTTGGTTTCTTTACTCTCCCCTCTGAAGCAAGTCCTTCGTGGAGCAGTCGGAGGTATCTCCGTGCTTCTACTCCGCTAAGACCTACTCTCAGAGGATCGTCTAGCCCGCCTGATTGACGCAGGCCGGGTAGACGAAACGGTAGCTCGTGTCGCTTATTGGGTCTAGTGGTAGGCTCCCAATCCTTGCTGGAGAAGGTGGTAGCTTGTGTGCCATTTGTGAGACAACAAGACGAGATCCACTAAGCACTCACAACAACAGACAGAGAGATATTATGGAGAGTTCAGTCTCCAAGTTGCTACACTTTTTGAAAAGGATAGGACTGGAGAATGTAACTTAAGGATCAGAAGAGCGTCTAATCTAATCCAAGCTTAGTTCTGTTTGGTTGTCAAACTTTTCCAAAATAACGCTTATATTATTTGACAAATATTTCATAAAGATATGTACTATCATGGTGTTAGGTTGTAACCAAATTCGCTAAATGTTCTATAATTAAAATATTTAATGGAAAGAGGAACATGATTACCATATTATTATTATTTTCATATTATTTATATTTCCTAACAAAATTCTCTTCTTTAAGACCTTTAAGTCTAAACACAACGTTTCAGCTTACGTTTTGCCTGTCAGTTAAAAGGGCAGGAAAAAAGCCTATTCCTAAAAAATTAAATTCTTGAAAATTTGGACTTGGTCACTTTCCCTTGTAATTTACACACAACTATGCAACTAGCAATACAACTACTATTAACTTAAGTTTCTAGCACCTTCGCCAAATAGTTCATAATTCGCTATTACGGAGCATAATCCAAAAACTGACTGTCGAGCGCGGAATGCGCCTTAAATACTGTAGCGGTTGCTTCTAGAACTTTCGGAAATTATCTGTAGCATTCTTCTTTTTTCCAGTAAATTCTTTTTAGAACATCGATATTTTCCACGTAAGTCTTAGTGCACGGCCACACAGAAACCGTTTTTTGCGTTTTTAGCGTGAAGCGTCTTTTGCGTCTAAAACAAAATAACAGAATTATATAGGAGTGGTCCCACCGAAAGCGTCTAGCGCTCGGCGTGTCTCGCAAAAAACGCAAATGAAAACAAATCAGTTTGTTTTCTGTAGCGTCTTTAGAATTTTCTATGAGACCCCGTCATAGGCAAACGTAATATTTAATAATACAATAAAAATAAATTAAATACTAATACCATTTTGTTCATTTTAGGATATTATCTAAAAATATTTTTATAGAGAACATCTACTGTTTAGGAAGATTCTATTAAATTCAAAAATTTCAAGGAAATGTTTGATATTTTCTTACGCGTAAAAAATAGTTTTTTATTCGTAAAAAGTGTTTTTTCCCTGCGCAAAAAAGTTTTTTTTTTAACAGAAACAAATAGTTTTTGACGCGTAAAAAATAGTTTTTTACGTGTAACAAATAGTTTTTTTACACGTAAATTTTTTTTTCTGTAAAAAAGTTTTTTGACCAGAAACAATAAGTTTTTGACGCGTAAATAAATAGTTTTTTACGTTTAACAAATAGATTTTTACACGTAACAAATAGTTTTATACGCCTAAAAAATAGTTTTTTACATATAACAGTTTTATTCGCGTAAAATAATAAAAATAGTATTTTTTACGTGTAACAAATGGTTTTTTACACGTAATGATTTGATTCACTTTTACAAAATTTGTATTAAAATATCAATATTTTTGATAAACACGAGGACTGCGCACAAATACACGTCGCGTCACTACGTATTTCTAAGCCGTTAACACGTTTCGTTACAACTAGCTCGTGTGTCAGGGCCGTCTCAATAGCTCGTATGTCACGGCCTTGAATCTTTACTCCCAGCGCGCGTAAAGAAGTTTCACTCCAAAAAGTTTCATAAATCATGTCCTAAAATTGCGTTAGCAACTAGTAATATATATTTACTATTCTATTATATAATTATAATTCTTTATTATCTTATATTATAATTATAACAAGTAACCACAACACTACAACATAAAAAAACTATACACATATAAACTAAAATTGGTAAAATAAATGGCAAATACTATTTATTATTTTTACACACACCACTGGCACTAGCAGTAGATTGTGTTTGTCGCCGAATATATGCCCCGGCCCGTCCACAATTCAATCCCTGCATCTTTTATCTTCGTCTCTTCAACGCTAACCGCGCCGATCTCGCCTATCTCTTTCTCACAGGATTGATTGTTGAACGGGCCGGGAATCCACGAGCTTGCGACGTTACTTATTTGACATCTTCATAGAAACTGCAGGCCTGCCGCGTCTTTTGCGTGTTTTTAATGGACACAAATCGAAAAAAAAACGCTTAAAACGGTAAAATCGCAAAAAGCGCTTGAGACGCAAAAAACGCAAAACGCTAAAAACGCTTTCTGTGTGGCCGTGGGTTTAGAGATGGCCCGCTACTCAATTTGCCAGGATTCTTGACAATGTTAACAGGCATAGTGGTTTTATGCTCTGCCGAAAGATGTCGCCACACACCTTGACAATATATTTTTTATATATCTAACGCATATATATATTAACTAAAGAATATCGACTCCAAACTGCATTCTGTGAAGCCAAGCCGGTGAAATGGGTATATAAATCTTCTGAAGGAATTTGCATAAGTCGCTCAGTTAGCTGTGCTCAAGCGTAGTGCGCAAGCCTGGATTTTGAATTATCGATCGGATCACCAGACCAATAAGAGACTAGACGCTGGCACCAGCTGTTCAGTCGTACGGCTCCGTCCAACTTCGTACAGCTTTCGTTTGCGTTCCCGTTCCACAACTGGCTAATCCTGAGTAAGGGCTAATCGATATTCGGAATTTTGGAGTTGCGCTGTTGCGCCAGTATCTGCATAACAGACGAATTATATGCATGTCTAACGTTGATGGCTATTTTACAGAGGGATACAGAGACCTATGTTCAGTTGTTTTAAAGTTTTGTCTTAGGGAGAACGTTGTTTCTGCTATCCTGTAGACTATCCTATACAATTTTCTGTGGGAGAATGTACAGGGGCACTCTAACAACCGAAAACATTCTTCAAGCACCGTTAAGGATAAAAAATAATAAACTAATAATTTTGATTGCAATCATTAAAGATTCCAGTGTTTCAGCCAAAGTCTTCTTATCGACCATCTGTTACAAGAAATTCAATGGAGTCTAAATACTGTAGTCTTTTTGGATTGCTCCCCTCCAGAAATCAGATCATATTACATTATTTTTCACTATCTTACAATTGACATTAAAATGTATTTCCTGATCTAATCTTTCGGAGACATAACAAGGCCACATGTTAATATAAAAAATGCATAATAATAACTAAAAAAAAATAAACTTACTAGATCTCCATTGGGTACTAGTATAAATTCCTCCCCTATACTTTCGAAGCATCTGTCATAAAAGTTCAGCCAGGCCAAAATTTGTTTTGGCGCAAATAAATATACAGGGTCTTTGACCATATTTAATTTGTTCAGTGCTCTTCTTCGTCCCTGTAAATAAAATTATAGCTTTCAGTAGTACTATAGAATCGAAAAAAGACGTCATGGTAGCTTTTTCATATAATAACCGACTATAATTTCTGTCGGACAGACCCCTAAAAAAGCCTGGAAAATCGATATTTAACTGAAAAAAAAAGAAAAGAAAAAAAGCTGATTTACATACACACAAATTTATTCAGTAAAAACAGTTTTTTTTAAATATATTTTTCTTCAAAGCAACTTACTAATGTCAATTTTTAATAACTAACTAACCCGTATACGTAGGGTTAGCCCGGAGGAAATTAACATCGATTGCTATTTTAAAGACCACTGTGACGCCGTTTTTTTATCATAGATTTAATCAAAAAGTGAACATATTTATTTGATAATACCTGTAATAATCCTATAAGTCCTATATGATGATCGGCATGTAAATGAGAAATGTAAATTGCTTTTATATTTGATAAAACTGTTTCGCTATCATTTGGACCATAAAATCTCAGTATTTGACCATAAGTGCCTTCACCACAATCCAAAACTACATTACAGCCTTCACTAAGGTAATTAAAGAAAATAATTACCATTCAAATATACAGGGTGGCATTTGTAATACCCCAAGAGGAACAATTATTGGTATCATAATGATTTTTAGCAGCATATGTAGGTTTATTTGGATAAATTTAAAAATTATTTTGAACTACAGGGCTTATAACTAAACAGGCTTGTATACCAAGTTGTATCTTTTTATCATGGGACAACCTATACATAATAGTTTTCGGATTCTAGGAAAAAAATGTAAATGGTCAGACTTCCAAAAAAATAAAATTGATCATGGGTCAGTTTAATAGAAAACTTAGTAAAGTTGGCGTTCTTATTTTAAGTGGGACACCCCGTACATAATTGGAATGTAGAATATGGAATTCTTGATCAGAATTACTTAAATTGATCAAATATATATTTGTCTTGACCGAATTGATCTCGACCGTTGTTTTATATAAACAGACATTTAAAAAAATCATTCTGATACATATAGTTGGTCTCGTTGGTCTCCCCGTAGAATCATATAGGAGACACTATCCATTATAATTTTTAATTCAAAATATATTCTGAAATATAACATACCTTGTATGTAATAGGATTCCGCTGGTATTTCTTGTTTTATTAGGTATACAAGACCCTGTACCTAAAATATTTTTCTTATCAACAAATAGTAAATCTATGTATAAGTCAAGATATAATAAATGTTTCATATTAAACTAAAACTATCCCTATAACAGGTGATCAACATCTTGATATTAAATTTTATTAAGAATAAATTAAAAAAATATAGTTATAGATATAGTTCTTCTCGCGCTTCTTTACTTCTTTCGCATTTAGCACGGTATATGGTTTGGTTTGGTTTAGCATGGTATCTTTATGGTTTAGTAAAGATACTGCCTTATAGTCCGCATTAAGAATATTTTGAGTTTAATGCATATTAATATTTCCTATTTAAATCTATTATAGACCTAGGAGTCTAGAGACTGAAATCTACCAGTCTTGGAAATAGGGCTGCCACTTTTTTGCAAAGTAAAAAAACGACATTGGACTATAAAGCTATACGCACACTGGTGCGATCACGGCCGCGATCACGATCTCCATGCGGCCGCGGTCAAAAGTTGCTGAAGAATACATATGAGCCGTTTCACATTGGCGCGATCGAGTTTTGGAGACGAAGCGGCCTAGCGGCGTTCTATTCTGCGGTGGCGATCAGATTCAACTTGTCGAGTTTGATCGCGTGATGGCGACCCAACTGATAGGAATTTTCCGTTATTTTGTGTGTTTTTTCTTGTTGCAATTTAGAAATGGAGTTAACAGAGCAGCTAATTAAGGCTGTAAAAATACACAAAATTCTATATGATTTATCCGATCGTCCGATCCAAGTTACAAAAATAATAGAATTAAAAATTGGATTGGATAGTACATATGTATACATTTTTATTGTTTAAGTTTAAATATTGTAGATAAATATTTAAGAATGTTTTTTTTTGGTATACATAATTCACATTTTTAATTTGAACCTATGTAAACCTACAGGACGGTGGACTACATATAGGTACGGCGGTGAACGTGAACGCGTTGGTGTGTGCTAGAATGATCGCTCATGTTATCGCTGCTCTGATCGTGATCGTGATCGCGGCCGTGATCGCACCAGTGTGCGTGTAGCTTAAAAAAGGACCGGAGGGGAGGGGGGCGGCGGTAAGCGGCTGTTAATTGTCAACCGCCGATTATAAATTGCTATTTTAAAATTGTGAAAAGCTCAAGATCAAAATGGTTAAAAATATATCCTAAACTATTATTTGAGATTCGGGGTTTGAGACGGGCGGTTCTAAATAATCTCGATTCTAAACAATAGTACCGTATGATCAAAAAATAAAACGGCGTCAGCAATGGCTATGAAATGAAGATTGCTGTCATTTTATATGTAAAATTATATGGAGAATGTCATCGATGTTCATTTTCAAGCCAACTGGACACCGATTTCTTTTTCGTATCGAGAAATTATGGTTACACTCATTGAATTTGACAGTTTATGTCAGTTTCATAATATATTTTCGTACTTTTGTTTAGGCGTAAAAGTGCTTTACTTTTATGCCTAGGCGTTAAAATGACTTGTTATCTTGCAATCACGTCGCAAAAATTAATACTTTTTTGACGTTTAAAAAAACATTTATTTATAAGTTTTATAATAAGTCTAATTAAATTTGGGCGAAAGGAATATTGCTTTTTGCTGTAGATAATTTCTCAGGGAAAATAGGTATGTAAATAAAAAGGACTTTTTAGGTCTAAAAAAGTAAAAAGGACAATTTGTTCCAAAAAAGGTCTGTCTTTTTCAAAAAAGGACAGGCGGCAACCCTACTTGGAAAACACACCACAATTTTTCAAGCCGAGTTATATGCTATTGAAACCTGTGTGCATCTGCTGGTAGAACAGTAATACACCGGGAAAACAATAAACATATTTTCGGATGGTCAAACTTCAGGCAACAAAAGCACGTCTATGACGATTCTTCATTGTAGAGATCTACTCAATTTATTAGGAGATAGGAACAAAGTGTCGCTAATATGGATATCGGGACATGTTGGCCTAGAGGGAAACGAACGTGCTGACTCCCTCCCCAAAACAAGTGCAGGTTCGCCCTTCGTGGGTCCAGAACCGACATTTAGCGTTTCAAAAGAATCTCGCAAGAGACAGGCTCTGTGAATGGGGTAGGGGTACTTCGTCGAGACTGGAATGAAATATGCCAAGAAAATTCTAGCAGAAACTCAACCCATACAAACGCAGAACAGGAGAAGAACTAAATTTGCTTAAATAACCACAATATTTACCTAAAAATAATACTTTAGGATAACCCTTGATAGTTAAGCTTCTTGCGGCGTCAGTAAGTTTTTGCTTTAATTCATTATGAACAACCACAAATTCTTCTGTCATTGTTTCTCTGACATACTCTTCTGGATCTAATTTTATTTCAGAAGTACTAAAAACAGAGAACTAAGTGATATTCCCTTTTTTAATCGATTGGTATGTGTTATTACTCTTCAGGGCCTTTTTTAGGCCTTAAGTGAAAACTGTATAAAGCGCCAAATTTTCTAATGGAATGTCTACTGCTATTGTTATCAACCATATTATCATTAGAAACCCTGTTTATATTGTCTTCATTAACTGAATCACATTTCAGTTTTTTATTTGAAATATGTTGTAAATTCTTAAACAAATTAAGTTAATTCTTGGAATTACTTGTACAGACCTATATTAAAATACCTCAATATGGGAAGACTCATGGTTATTCAGCAAAGGAAAAAAATTGGGTGAAAGTAAATTTAACTTATGTTGAATTCTATGCACCGCTATGCTACCCATGCATGTATTATCTTCATTAATAAAAATATGATGAGTACTAGGGATAAAATCTTCGATCCACTTTTGATACCTAAAAATGTTATTCTCAAACTAAATAATTCACAGTTGAAAGCTATTTCATAAATATGAATTCATAGGTGCATATAATACTTACTGAGGTAGTCTTGTTACTTCACTTGGTGTAAAATGTACTACTAAACATGCTACATCTGTGTCCTTTTCTGCAAATTTCTGATGTTTTCTAATTTCTGTATTGGTTATTAAACATTCTAAATACTTTTCAGATGGACAGTCGACAACTAAAAAGAATTTTACATAATTTTTTTTTGTTTGTTCTTCACAAGCGTAGCAAAGGCGAAAATTTCAACATTCATTACAGCTATTTACTCAGCTAGGTGCTAATTTTAGATAGTAGGGTAATTAATTATGAAATGTTATTTTTAATATGAGTAAAATTACCTAAAAATACAGGACCAGGATCATCAGGGTGACAAACGTCACTTGATTTCACTGTATCACCATTTTCCAAAGTAACATCTTCCCTATTCTTTAATCTGCCCAATAACGGTCCCGGTGGTACACCTTTCAAAACGCACTTTTCTAGATTCAAACTCCCTGGTCTTGGTTGCAAACAACATATATAACATACAGAGGTCTTATTATCTGTAACTTCTTTCAGAGTATTTTTATCAAACTGCACACTATTATTAGCTGATGTACCAGAACCTGTAACAATACAAATAGTGTTCAAGTATTTAAAATAAATTATAAAAAACTGGGAAATTAAAGGATGGAAGTGTACCAGGTGGTTGGGATAAGGATCGAGATCTTTTCCTACTTCTACTTCTTTTAGATTTCTTACGTTCATGAGCAAAGTAATCTGTGTTATCTTCAAATACTTCATTGTTGCTTATAGCAGATAATGATCTTTTTCTAGATTTTCTTTCATTTCTTGTGGATGTTGCAGCTTCTGCCTAAATTAAGAATTACATTAATAAAATTTGATGTAACTTTCGGCTTAACTAACCTGATCTACAGTTGCTTGAATATCTTTATCATTATCAGTTTCATTTATTGATAAGCTAACATATTTCACTTTCATTACATTATCTTCAAAAAAAGGATCTTTAGAGCAGTCTGCAATTTTAATTTTTAAATTTTTTAATACAACGAATCTTTGAGCAGCCAAGAATATTTCATTCTAAAAATTAATAATTAAAATCAATCTTGTGTCTTAAAATAAACGCACTAATCCTGGAGGTCCATGTAATGTAATTTGAGGAACTCCAACATCTTGTATTGTTAGTGCTGTTCCTGGCAGTCCTCCGATATTTTTCCACACAGTTTGAGTTACAAATATTTGTTCTAATTTGCATAATTTCATTTTATGTTCATGGGCAAGTCTTTGAGTGCCTTCTCCACAATTAAATAAATAGCTAAATAGATACATAAGATTTATTATTACATACCTAATGGTTAAGTAATTAAATTAATTAAAAATAAGTTACATAGTTGACATACCGACTCTGATCTGAAAATAAATATACTGCACCAGGTGCCCCTTTTGCACCAGTTCCTAATATTTGAAGGTGCACTTTTCCCGGAACATATTTTGAGCTTTTCTGTTTAATTTTTATTCTCTGTTTTTGTGCAGCGATAACGTGCCTTGGTTCTTTCGGCATTGTTTTTAAAACGTTCAAAAGGTTAGAACTTGATTTATTTTTTGAATAAAATCTTACACATGTCACAACAAATCTAAAATGTGTCCACTGAGGGTAAAAATACATTAGGATGTAAACAAAATGGTTTATATACTTATGGTCAAAATGATAATGAAAAATGAAAAATTACACCTATAAATGAATTTTAAAAATGACTTCCAAATTTTTTAAAACTAAAACAATGACAGCTTTGGCCTTGAGAACAGCTGACTCTAATTTTAATAGATATGCAACCACAAATCTCTGTAAATGAAGGTTAAACTTCTATATCTCTGGTTTGAAACCCGATCATATCCCGATTAAGTTGCAATATGAAGGATAAATCCCTATTCTGTGGGGGTAGCCATAGAATACCTTTCCATAAAGCACAGAGTATTATTACTCTTTGGTAAATTGTGGCTGTCAAATACACTGACCTTGAAAATGTCAATATTGTCAGTTTATCATTTTTGCACCTCCTTTTCGTTTGGGACTGTAAAGTTTGATAAAAGTGTTTTAGTTTATAATTTTTGTTATAACTAAGATAAAATGAAGCTTTTAGATATTTGATGACAAGTATATAATGCTAGAGAAAATGAATAAGTTACAATATAGTAAGTATTTCTTGTATTCTTTCGAATATTTCATTTCACGACTCTTGACATTTAATGAATCCATTTCATTAAAAAGAAAGTTTTTAATGTGATTACACATTTACTAACTTATATTTACCAACAAAATAGGTGTAACGACAATGCCAGTCTCCGGCTCGGGTAAAGATAAAGCCAAAGACTGGCAATTAGAAATTTTAATGGAGAAGTTGAGATCTAAAGCTAGTCAATTTAAATCATTGCCAGAAATTTCTAAAAATGTTAGAATGACACTACTGGTAAGTCTGTAAAATGCTAGATAATTAAATATTATTTACAAATTGTCTTTGTAGGAAAAAAGATATGCTTTAGATAGTGTTGAAAAAACTCAGCATCAAAAATGCTTGGATACTTTACAACATGTCATTAAAGTTACAGGATTGCAAAGTATGATAGAAAGACTGGAGAGTCTTACACGGCAATTGGGGTATTGTACAAGACAAATTAAAAAACTATATTGATATTTTTATGTTAAACATATTATTTTAGGTTACGTTTTGTTGTTGAATCTTCTGGTGTATTTATATTCTCAGACATGTTCTATTTGGAAATTATTCTAGACCCCACAGGCACGGTTAAAGATGTAAAAATCCATCATGAAGGAAAAGTAGAGCAACAAAGCTGTTTAGAATTAGTTAACTGCCTTTCTAGAGGAGATTTTACTGATTTTACAACACAACTTGAAGGATTTGTATCAATATATCAATTAAATGCTGAGAAAAAAGTGAAATGTAAAGCCTTTACTGCCTTAGAATCTTTAGAAGCCGATTTAAGTACTTTAGCTCAGTTGCATACTTTTATGAAGGATCCTTTTAATTTGTTACATAAATCTCCCGTTGGTATACTAGAAAAAAGAAGGGGTGGTCATCCCATGAAGCTCACATATTTTGTATCACCTTATGATTTACTTAATATAGAAAAGAGTGAACTGGATGCAATTAGTATAGACAGTATCATCAGTAAGAATTTGGGATATAGTGTGACTGTATGTATGGAAGGTTCTACAGCACATAAGTTACCGACAACTACCCTAATTACAGTTAATAGAAGTTTAAATGGGAAAAGGTACCTAAATTCAAATTACATTACAATCATATCATTATAATATGTATTTTTAGTACTCCGACTTATACACCACTTACCAGTCAGAACTGTTCAACAGTACCAGCTTGTTTTACATTAAAACTTAATAAACCAATGCCATTATGTGTTTCTTTACTCAGAAAAATTCACCAAATCCAACAGATACCAGATATTGATAATATAAGTAATACACCTAAACCCCTGCTGAATCTTATTGTGAATCATTCAAGTGATGGAAAGATGAGCTCTAATAATAACAAAGGACTGTTTGTTGTAATTATAATTATAGCTGTTTGTTGTTTATTTAAATAATTACTGTTTTATAATTTTAGACATTGCCTGATCAGACTCACTGTTATTGTATGACAGAAAATAAAAATATGAATGGTATTTTTGTCTCCAACATTCTATTTACACATCCTGCTCAAGTGGCAAGTATCTTAACAGTATTAAGGGAACAAGCTTTATTTAACACTGTTATTGGCAGTTGTGTAAGGCCTAATAGTCGTCAAAGTAAGTATAAATAATAACTAAATTGTATTATAATATAAAATAAGTTTTATATTTACACCAGACATTGAGTAAATATTTTTTTTTCTGAAATAAATAGGTTTTGACAATATGACAATGTTTGAAGTTAGTGCATTGTCCTCAACCCAAATATCCATATCTTTGGAACATCCGCTAGAGGAGTTCATGGCCACTGCAGATATAGATTTATCAGATGTTTCCAACTTGGTTTGCAGAATTCAAAATCCAGGCACACCACCCCCAACGAATGCCCCAGATATTGTGTCCGAGCTGGCGACTAAAGTACTAAATAAAAGTTTTTCCATACCTGTAAGTATCTTTTTTATATATAGTTCTGGTTAAATATTTCTACTTGTTTCTACCTATGTTATCTAAATTATCACCATTTTAAATTTCTAATTTATTCCACAAATAAAAGTTACTAATCTAAGAAGTTCTAAGCTCATTTATATATACAGGATGGTCCGAACTGTATTCCGGAAACTTCGGCAGCATATTCTGCAGATAAAAATAAGTAAAAAAGTTCTTATAAATGTATGTCCTAAAATGCTTAGTTTTGGAGATACAGGGTGTAGAACTTTCATTTTTATTTCGATTTTTTCCAAATAATTTCGGAAGTAGCGTCAATATTTGGATAAAAGTTGGTGTCTGGGAGTTTTTTGATATGAAACATTTGATTTTAATAATAATAATAATAATAGTAATATATACTTTATTTCAGAGTATGTTTCAAATATACAAATATAATATAAATGAACACAAAATGAAATGACGTCAAATACAACAATGTAACCCTATATTATAATAATCACTTAATGAATATGGTTCTAAGCTAATTAACAATTTTCTAACTTTTTTCTTAAATACTCTGTTGATTTGAATGCATTTAATTTCCCTCGGTAATTTGTTAAAACATTTTAAGCACATGTAATATGCACCTTTTTCTGTTAGTGTAAGTCTGTGGACTGGAAAATCAAAATTGAGTGTCCTTGTATTATAGTTATGATTCTGTGAATGTTTTTTAAAAATTGACTTATTGTTAAATAAAAAAAGGATGCACTCGTATATGTACAGACCATACACTGTTAATAGACTATTAATTTTAAACACATTCCTACAAGAATCTTTAGAAGCCATGTTATAAATTAACCTTATTACTCTCTTTTGACAAATAAAGATTTTTTCTAAATTTTCAGTAACAGAACACCCACCCCAGAAAATAATTCCATATCTAATTACAGATTCAAAATTCGCAAAATATATTATCTTTAATGTATTTCTGTTCATGTACTGACTTATGACTCTAATCGCATAGGCAATTTTGTTCAATTTCAATGATAACTTGTTAATATGGTCAGTCCAATCCAAGAACTCGTCAATACAAATTCCTAAGAACTCCGTATTTGTTGCAATTGAAAGATCCAGTTTATCTAGATTTATATTAGTGACTTTTTCTGCTCTATTCTGTTTTGTACTAAAAACTGCTACATTGGTTTTTTCTTAGTTTAATAAAAGTTTATTTCCCAAAAACCATTTATTTGCTGCCTCAAACATTTTTATACCCTTACTCAAAATATCTGTATTGTCTTCCCCTCATATCAGCATGTTAGTGTCATCTGCATAATTTATAATACTTCTGTCTACATTAGGCAGAATGTTACTTAGATCATTGATATATACAATAAAAAGAAAAGGCCCGACTATACTACCTTGAGGAACACCCAAGTTATTTTCCAAAATACTAGACTTAGCAGAATTGATTCCTTTTTGGATTATTACTCTTTGCCTGCGATTACTAAGGTACGACTTAAATAGTTGTAGAGGGCACCACCTACATATTTTTTAACTGGTTTGAAGAGTAATAACTTTTCGCCCGTACCTGTATAAAACTACTGAGTAGAAAAATATACATTTACGACGTTTTTTACGTAAAAAAGGTCTCTTGGTAAAAATCGTTACGTGTAATGGTTCCCGAAATATTAGGAATGGAAATTATCCATACTGGTCATAAATTAAACATAATAATAATATGTTCACTAAATAGTTATTAGACTGCAATCATAAATTTGAAATTATTTAGGGTCAAAAGTTCAACAGAAACTGACCAGTTGAACAGAAAAAGTTATGATTAATTTAAAAAAGTAAAAAGTGGCCAAATTTATAATTTCAGTCAAATAACTATCTACTCAACATATTTATTTTTTGCCAATAATGACATATAATGACTACTTACATTCCAAATATCTTGAAAACGGTTACTTGTAGCACTTTTTACCAAGAGACATTTTTTAATAGTAGTTTTATACAGGTACGAACGAAAAGTTATCACTCTTCAAACCAATTAAAATACATGTAGGTGGCGCCCCCTACAAATAGGAGTCATATTGACATAAAAATCAAATTTATCATGTCAAAATACTCCCAGATACTCATTTTCATCCAAATGTTGACGTTACTTCAAAAATTATTTGGAAAAAATCGAAATAAAAATGAAACTTCTACACCCTGTATCTCCAAAACTAAGCATTTTAGGACATACATTTATAAGAACTTTTTTACTTATTTTTATCTGCAGAATATGTTGCCGAAGTTTCCGGAATACAGTTCGGACCACCCTGTATTTTTACGTTTTCTATGGAATCGTTCAATTAAATTTTATAGTTTTTTACAAATATTATTTTATTTTTCTTTTTTTTTCTATTTTAATTTCAAGGTAACTCTACGAGCGGTCATCAAAATGTGGGAGAAACAGGCCACAAGGCGCAACCTGTACTCTGGACAGGAAAATTTTAGTTTGCCCCTCGGTTCCGTCGATCCCGGTGGTCACAAGGGCCCCGGCTCCGGGACAGGCAGCGGCCTGTCGGAATACGGGGGGCTGCAAGATAAAATCAAACAAGAACCAGGCAGTCTACAGGGGCAAGGGCAAACAGGCCATCAAGGTGCTATGTTACAGGTAAGGGCTTTGAATTAATCCTAGTGTTGTAGAATCTTCAGAGAAAATCCATTTATTTCATCAATAGTTAATTTACCGTGTTACCTGTTTATTTTCAACCTTATAATGATGTGTCTTTGCTTAGTTCATAGTGGAGAGCAAACTGTTATTTCTAAATACCTAATGTTGTAACAGAGAGAATGTTCCCTTCGTGACGAGGTAATGTTCTCAAAGATTCGCGAAGAGTTTAGGATCATTGTGCAAAAACGGTGATTCGGGATCCCGGGTGTGACTTCACTAATTGCTAGGGCGTCCAGTTTTTTTTAATAAAAAAAACTTCAGTAATCGCGGTAATTTAAAAATTTTACTTAACACATTACACGCGATAACTCGAGAACCAATAGATTGTGTAACTGATAATATAATAGAGAGGTATTTAGAGTGAAACTGATATTAAATAAGACTGTTGATTGAAAGAATTGGGAAGATACGCATCCGAATGGGCGAATTTGTGACAAGGCTGATTTGATTTCCCCTTACGTCTCAAGTGCTGTACGGCGGAGGCACCAATCCTTGTGCGGTCAACGCATAAAACACTTATCTTCTCTAATTCGCCCGGCGAAGGAATACCGACTGAAGACGGGATGGAAGGATCTGCAAGCGATAGTGTTGCCATATTAAAATGTGTAATATCTGTAATAATGAAAAATCCGCGTTTATGTTTTGAAAATGTATTCGTGTTAAATACCGGGACTTGAAATAAAAATTCCCGGTTCTTTCAAAATTCGGGGAATTTTTTTTGCTGATTAAAAAAGTATTTTTTGTTACATGCGAAAGTTCATTGATACTTTCTAGGGGCCGAAATCAAACTCTTCTAAATAAATAGTGTTGCTCAATTTATTAGTTATATTTTATGTTGTTTTTATAAGAATTTACATTTTTTTTGACTGATTATTTAATAATTATTTTCATTAAAAAACACATACTTCCATCGATTTTATTTTTGAAAACCATCCTTTGCTTGCTGATTGACGAAATGTGCCATCATGGAACAAAAAATTAGCCAGTACCGAGAGTACCAAAAAAAAACGGGAATTCCCGGTTCCTTAGAGGCGTGGTACCGACATTCCCGGTTCCGACAAATGGCTCCGGTTCCGGAAACCCTAGTTTTAAACATAGAATAAACAATAAAAATAAAAATTATTTTATATGAACTGAATATGTTGTATGATCGAAAATAGTCGTTTGGTTGGCTTGGAAACGACGATTATTGACAATTACCATAATATTTTACATATGAAATAACAGCGATCTTCATTTCCAAACCAACTGTGACGCCGATTTTGTTTAATCGTATAATATTATATTAAATTGTTTAATGATAGAAAATACGTATTATTAACGTACTGTACCCAAAATCCGTAAATCTACGGATTAATCAGTAGTTCTGGCAACACTGTCTCCGACAACCACTTATTCTGTCGACTGAAAGCAGAACTACGGTACAGTATTCTTTATTCGCTGTATTGTCGCGATTATCAGCGCGCAGCTGCGCAGAGCTAAACTAAAGGATGCTTCACGCTATACCGTAACGAGTCCGAGCCGTGCGTTGGTGAAGACACGGCCAAACATTGTCAAGTGTTCTTTACACATATACATTCATGCCAGGCCGAGCACTATCCGAGCTTCGCCGGAACTCGTCCGTGCCCCGTCCCAGAAATGCCGGCGTACATTTTTTTCTCGGATCCGCTCCGTTCCCGCCACGTTGCGGAAAGCTTGAATGTACTTTTCCTGGTGCTCCGACTGCAATCTGCAGTCGTGATATAAACAAAGTACATTTTTTATCATGCCTGTAGTAAGTATTAGTGAATCTTTAGCAGTATTTGACGACAGGGTGTGCGTAAAACTGGACAATGAAAGGATGTAATGAACAAGATAGATCCTTCATCTTTTTCTTTGAGCAGGTGTTTTTCTTTATTTATCAACTGCAATTGGTATCAATTCCAACTGCGAGAACTTTGGCATTGTTCGTATTAAATCTTCGTGTGTCTATGGGGCTGTGTTTTCTAATATACTCGGAACTAATACAAACCCCGTTATCAACTCGGTGTTGCATATACAGAAGGATCGGACGTGGCTCGGTGTCTACATCACGGAACGTGCCCGGCTCGGGCACGGTCCGGTGTACTGTGAATCATCCCTAAATCTCGGAAAGGCTGACGGTAACGCCAGCTACATCTCGGACAGGTTTTGTGCCACTAAATCGTTTCATAAGGTTGCGCATCTTCTTATTTCTTCAATCAACGATAAAATCTTTTGTCTCCTAGGATCCACAAGGCATGTCCTACGAATCTATGATGGCGTCGAATTTTCAAAACTTCCCACCTTCCGATGGGGTGCTGACTAATATTGAACTGACTAGTATTTTGTCAGGTAAGATTATTTGTAATTTTCAGAACAAATGTGATTAAACTTTTGACGGTCACTGTAAGACACTTAAATAACTAAATAATTTTCAGGAGGTTCAGATAAGCAAACAGCAAATAAGCGGCAGAAGCGCAAAGCCACAGACGATCTATGGAGAAGTGGCAAACGGAAGGTGGGAATAAGCGACGATTCGGAACTGATTGAAACGTCAAGTTGCGATTCTACGTCGAGAAGCACCCCCATATCGCAGGAAACGGAAATTCCTACACCAAATTCTGGGTGAATTATTTTTTATTAAATATAAAGAGTTATAATCCGCGTTGGCAAGTCTTGTTCTTGGGTCGGTATTTACATGCGTGGAAGCGAATCGCTATTGGATCTGATTACGTCGGAGGGAGAAAAAGGCGACGATGTGCTGTTGCGGCGTTGCCACATTTATCGGAGATACAGGTGCGCCTTTCCTTGTCTAGTGGGGTAAAATCACGTCAATTTTTTTCGGAAGTATAACTAGATAAAGTCAGTAGATATGTTTCTGGGCATCTGAAATCGAGTTCTAAGAATATTGTTAGGGTAATTTGAAAACTCTACTTTTTAACACATAACACGCGATAACTACTCAAGAACCACTTTAAATATTGAAACTTTCTTTTTCCGTTTCGAAGTTCGGATGCCCGCCAAGATGTTTATATGAGAAAAAATTGATAGGCTTGCGTTTTTTTCTAGTCGAAAAGTTAAAAAACACGTTTATCAACTTTTAGTGCATTACAATTTTCAGCAATGGCGTAACTTTTTTGTTTGTAAAGATTTTCACATACTGTCTGCCAAGAAAATATAGCACAAACATTAAGAAAGTTTTTTTAAAGAAAACAATCAGTTATTTCTAAGGGATTTCGGGATATCGATTTTTTAGTTCTAATATCGCGACCACTGTCGAGCACCAACTCATTTCCACCTATTTTTACCAAAAGCGGTAAACTTCTAAACATTTTAGGGTCGTTGTTTTATTTCTGACTTGCATTTAAAAATTCACAACCTATAAGGAAAATTACACGATTCGTTAAATAAACAAATAAAATATAATGAGACGTAATTAAATCCTGAAAACCTAACCTAACCTAACCAACTACAACCTTCCCTAGAATTTTAAGTACTGGATTTCAATTTTATGATTTTATGCGGCGCGACCCTGTTGACCGCCATGAAGCTACCATATCCCCTTCCAAGTCTCTTAGCAATGTGCAGGGTTTCTCGGTTTATTTTATACGTTTGGCAAAGTTTTCACTCTTCTCTCTTTGTTCAGTACATTATAAATGCATTGTCCTCTTCTTACATACGGAAATCGGGAACCTAAATCGAGCGTTGCCAATAGGGTATTTTAAGTTTACATGTTATGGTTATGTTATAATTTTCGTTAAAATTAATATGTAAAATTATACCTACCATTAAATTTTAAATTATTAGTTAAATTGGTGTTTAAGGCGAAATTAACGTTAACTATTTTTAATTATTTTTTATTTCTTTTCATTGAATATCTATTTAATTCTAATATATTACAATGTGGCCAAAAAGTTAGCAGTCAGTTAAGTTTTTTTAGTCCCTGAATTTTATGAAACTTGGTGCATTTCTCTTTGAATTTTTCGATGTTTTGCTATCATGACAGTCTTCCCATGACCATAATGTGTCAAAACTAAATTTTTTTCAATTGTTGCGGAATTTATGGTACGCCTGTATAACGCTGCAAGTATAACAACATATTAATGATACACATGACTTGTATACACATGTTTTTGTGGCCACAATATATCTGTAATTTTTGTTTTAAACTTCTATAGATCTCACTCTGATTTGGAATTATCAAATATTGACTCATCAGAATTCTTGGGTAGTCTGGATAAAACTTCCGGAGAGCCTGAAACAGTTGACATGAATGAGATTCTTTCGAGCGCACCACTTAAAAAAAATGTACACGAGCCGTCGCCCAGCAGTACTTCCAGTGTTGTATCCGATATTAGCGAGAAAAGCATAGGTAAGTTAAATAGTATATTAAAGGAACATGTAAAGATTGTAAGTTATTGATTTCAGTGCCTCCAAATGTAAGTATTACGCCGATTACTTCATCTACCTCGCCGGTATTCACAGGAAGTAACACAGAAAAAAGACCCGGCATTGAGATAATACCAATATCTCAAGCTGTAACATCACTTATTTCGAGTTCCATCACGATAACTCCCATAACGACCACGACGAAAATAAGTGACGACAAAAGAGAAAAGAAGAGCAGCAGAAGTAGCAGGGAAGAAAAGGAAAAAAGAAGAAAAAGGAAAAGGGACGAAAGTCCTATGGGACCGCCAGATAAAGTACCACCTAAACAAGATCCTTTAAACAAACCGGTGTCCGTCAGCATAAAACCAGCCGAAAGTCCTCCTCTATCTAGTTCGACACCCACATCGCCAAACATGCTACGAAAATTTAGTCCTTCGCCAACCTCTAGCCGTCCTCTGTCTTTGTCAGGGAAACTGAGTCCAAATCTGATGAAACCGAACAAGTCCAGTTCTCATCATAGTCCCAGCCCTAAAAATTCGCCAGCTCACGTTTCCTCAAGTCCCAAACATAGTTTAGCTAGTATATCCAGCCCAAAGCATCACGGAACCAGCCCTTCAGCCGGTGGAAGCGGCAAACCCAGCATGTCGACGTTAAAAAGCGCGGCAAATTCAAATTCGCCTTCTAGTAAAGGTTCGAGCGAGAAAAGCAAGAACAAAGATAGTTCAAGGGACAAAGACAAGAGCAGGGGCTTATTTAATGTTAGTGGTTCGAAAAGCAAATCGTCTTCGTTAAAAGTCAAACCCCTGGACTTAAATATCTGTAACGAAGCTGTTACATCAGATGGCCTTCCTTCTCCAAGTGCCGATTCTAAGTCCAGTCAAAATTTGTTAAGAAATAGGAAAGGTTCTTTGTCCGCCATAGTAGATAAACTAAATATAAAAGTCAATGCGCAACACAGTGATATTCCTACGGATTTAAGTTCAAAGCCTAGTAGTAAAGTGCCAAATAAAGACGGTAAGAGTAGTGGAAAAGTGACGGGCGATACAAAAAATTCGGAATATATGGTTAAAACTAGTTCGGACGGGATGAAGTTAACCATTAATAAACCTAGAACTAAAGAGAACAAGTCCAGTTCATCTAGTGGTCTGTCTTCGAGTAGTAGTAGTTTAAGTGGCAGCGGTGGTTTAGTTAAAAGTACCGTCAGTACTAGCAGCGGTTCTCCTAAAATCCATACCGGCCTGAAACCAGGTGTTAATAGCGGTCCAGCTTCGAAAAAACCTCAACAAGTACAAAAAAGTAGCAGTTCGTCGAGTATACCTAACAGCAATACAACAGCATACGCATCTAGTGGCAACTTAAAAACTTCAAGTAGTTCAAATAAACCTTCGAGTAGTAACAGTAGTTCAAAAATAGCAAGCGTAGCGGGATTACAAAAGACGATATCCAAACCAACTACATCTCCAAAATTCGGATCTACCGTAGCAGATTTAAATAGAAGTAAAGACCGATTAAAACAAAACAAAAGTTCCTCAGAGAAATCGATATTTTCCTCGTTAAAAGAGCGCGGAAAATCGAGCCCCACACAAAACGATTTAGATAGTATTTATAAATTACCGCCTAAAATGATGGATCCTTACACATCTTCTCTTATGATGGAAGGTATGATGAAAACCTTAGATACGAATTTCCAAATACCTAAATTATCAGCCCGGACATCGGAAGAGAAGAAAAAGAACGAATTGAATAACATGAACCGGAGTACCGTTGATACGAAGCTCTTTGATATGGTGAAGAATGAAATTAAATATCCGATAGCTATACCTCCGATGAATTCTTTAGATCAGAAAATTAGGAATAACATGTCGAGCGTTCTTGTCGGAGGGTCCAAAGGTGAAGATTCCGACGATAAGAAAAAGGACATCACACAAAATATCTCTGGTAAGTTTTTATTTCTAAATTCATTGTGCATTTAAGTGTACGTTTGGCATCATATATTTTAACTATGTGCACTCACAATCATCTTGTTTTCCCACCTAGTTACTGGCCTAAATAATTTGCTTAATTCCATTTCCAAGTTGATATTTGTACATTCGTATACAATGCCTATGTAAGAGAAGTAAGACTCGCTTTTATTTTTAGTTTTAAATTTTTTATTTTTAGTTTTTAATCTTATTTTTTCCAGGGGCCTCAAATTGAAAACTATTGTTGCCAAAATGTGAATTTTTGTATGGTATAAAAGCGTAAGTATGATTGTGTATATTCTTTTTAACTAACACAAAGGGTTGGGCTAACATACGCATTGTATACTCTTGATTTTTTTAGTGTTGTAGTTAATAAAGTTTTAACAGCGCCATAGCGATAGCTATTCTATACAAGGTCGTTTAGGTGCGTGTCGTATATAGTTCATATTAAATAAATTTTTAGTCGCGTGATTAAGCTTGGCGGTACGTTGCGCACTTTTACTTATTTTCTTTTAATCAAAATATTTTTAGAAACAAAAATAAATTAATTATAAATATATACCGTGCTGGCAACTGTCACTTTTGGGTCGGTACTGACATGTGTGGAAGTAAATCGCATAGGGATCTTATTAAGTCGGAGTGAGAGAAATGCGACGGTGTGCTGTTGCGGCGTTGCCGGTACGCCTTTCCCTATCAGGTAGAGTAAAATCACATCTCAAACCGCTATTTTTAAATGACTTTTTTTTGAAAAGATAACCAGATAAAATCATTAGGTATGTTTCTGAACATCTGAAATGGAATTATAAGGATATCGTTGAGGTTTTTATTTTTTTATAACGATAAAACGTCAGTTGATGCAGTTGAAGCGATAATTTAAAAACTCAACTTTTTAACACATAACACACCATAACTTAAGAACCACTTTAGATATTGAAACTTTTTTTTATTTTGAAGATCAGATCTTTTACAATATATTTAAATAAGAAAAATTCGATAAGGTCTATTCAAAAATTTTAAACAACCCATCCATTTACTTTTAGTGCATAGCAATTTTCAGCAATCGTGTAACTTTTTTATTTATACAGAATTTCACATACTGTCTGCGAAGAAAATATAGCAGGAATGTTAAGAAATTTTTGAAAAAATTACAATCAATTATTTTTAATAGATTTTGAGATATCGATTCATTTCGAATTCAGAGTTCTAATAGCGCGACCACTGTCGAACACCAACTCAGTTCCACTTATTTTTACCAAAACTGCAAATATTTCTAACTTGCACATAGAAATTTTCAAGCTATAGGAAAAATTACAAGGACTCGTTAATAAATAAACAAATAAACTATCGCGAAACGTAATTAAATCGTGAAGCTGAACGCATGATGTACACCTTTTCCTAGAACTTTAAGTACTGACAGAGGTACTGATTGGGTCGACCGGTGGACTGCGACAAATCTGCTATATCCCCTTCCACGTCTCGTAGCAATGTGCGCAATTTCTCGGTTTATTTCGTACGTTTAGCAAAGTATTTAGTGTTCTCTCTTTGTTCAGTACATTATAAACGCATTGTACTCTTCTTACATACGGAAATCTCGACCCAAGACTAACCTTTGCCAGCCCTTAGTAAACAGTTATTATTTACATCAACAAAACTCACTTCCTTAACACACTTAAGGAACATAAAGGGCCATTACTACCGTTTTCCTGTTCAAAATATTCTAATAAGGTTGCCATGAGTTTTTTGCAGCGCCTGTTAAGCTATCTGGTACACTTCACACTAAAAGAGGTTCAAAAAGAACAATGTTCGACTGCAAGGTCTGCTAATAAAATTTTTTAAGCTTAAAGTATTACAAATCACAACACAATTCATTTAAATCAAAAACTCGTAATACAAAACTAAAGTGTCAAAACGAACGACAATGTCAGGAAAGAAATAAATAAATGTGGCAACTTGACATTTTTTACAGCTACCTGAGCTACCACTGAATCTCCAGCGGGAAATTTAAATTTCAGTTAGTCAGCCCGGCGCCGAATATGGCCATGGTTGGCAACAATGAATTTGAAAATCGCGGCCTCGATTACGTAACTAGAAGTTTAATTGGTATCGCTTATACTTTGGCAAATACATTTAATAAAATTAGTATAGTATTGAGATATGGATCAAAGTATCATATAGATAGATATAGGTATGATTCCCTTTTTAAAGCATGCTTTCAAGTAGCATTACTTTGTTGAATGGAGTTGCATTTGTTATTATTGAATGAATAATGGAGCATTTTAATTCTAGGATATCTTAGATGAGTTGAAAAGATAACTTAGATTTTGGGAATAACTACTACTAGTAGTTATGAAATAACTAATTTATTATTTCTTTCATTCATTGCTATAAAATTTCCAAAAACGTGATAAATGAATCACTTAAAAAGTCCTCGAGGTCCTGTGGTTATATACAATAAAAGGTTTATATTGTTTACAAATAATAACATGAAATATATAGAACAAAACTTTTATTACTGCTTACGATCTTATCGTCAAACTTAAACGATAAGATGCAGCATTGTTTTGCATGTCCAATTATAAATGTGTACTATGAAAACTGATTTTGATTCTCTCTATTTTTTGTTTAGTAAAATAGTCCCATACTACTACAATATAGCTTTGAGAACTTGTAAAATGCTATTTTTTAATATGTATACAGGGTGTCTCAGTAAAAAAACATCGATCAATATTTAAAAAATGAAAATATGAACGAAAAACTAAACAACTGGATTTTACCTAAAATTTTCTATAAACAGTTGTTTTACCTTTTTGGAAAAAAAGTAAAAAGGCTACGATAATTTTGTAGCAACTGAGATACGAGGATGTCAGAAATTATATTTTCGAAATCACCATGTATCATGAAAACTAACGAGGCTATGACAGTTTGGTTTGCAACGCCTAAAAAGCTATATTTAGAAAGATAATATGAGAGATAAGAGATAGATAACTTAAGATTTTATGAAACTAAAGATGCTACACAGAGATTTGTCTTAGACTTTTTAGTTCTTGAAATACAGGGCGAATACAGGGGAATTTTAAGCATTTTTCAACCCCCTTCGTATCTTTGTTATCTTACAACTTATCGAAAATGTGAAGACTGAGTTCCGTATAGTTTTTACGTAGAATTCAGTGGCGTAACTAGTTTTCCGCTGCGAAAAACATTTTAATACTAAACTAAAAAGTCTAGGACAAATCTCTGCGTATCATCTTTAGTTGCATAAAGAAGTAGCACAGTGATGTGAAAGCCGCATCTTTGTATCTCTACTCATATACGAGAAACGTCATAAAACACACAAAAATAGGATACCCTGTACTTTACAGTATTACTGACCCACCTTGTACCATATTCGTATTCTGTAAGATAAAATTATTTAAGTAGCCCCGTTTTCAGGTACCGAAGACTTGTTTCGCACCACGGATCCGCTCAATCCGTACCCGTCCGCTAGCGAAGCCCTACACAGCCTGACTTTGGCTTCGAAATACGCCCCAACCACCACCATCGATACGGAGGCTTTGGACTTCAGCAAAGCACCGGCGTTTCCCCATTCGCCCTCCGTCAGCGTGCACATTGTGAACTCTAGAGCTTCGAGCCGAAGCTCCAGCTGTCTGGGCGACGATGACCTGATGGACGAGGGCATGGTCACACTTGGGAAATGAATGACGCGCGGGAAAACGGTATGGTTGAGAGTGTTCAGGAATGTAAATACTAGTCTCGAGTATTAAAACTACCCTCGCTTCCAGTCACAACTAGGGATGGGCGATAATGGATTTTATCTATCGATAAGTATTGCAACTCACCTGTCGATATATTCTAGTTATTGATATGTCGATAAGTATCGGTATATCGATAACTATCGAGAGGTACTTATCGATCTATCGATAGTTATCGGTATATCGATAACTACCCAACAAGCATAATTTATTGCTGGAACATTGCCAAAACTTCGCAAAGCAAGGTGTAACATTGCTTTTTTCATTGTAGGGAGGTTTATGCAAGGTGGCAGGGTAGCTTAATATCTTCCGCCAAATTAAATTGCAGTGCAAGGTTGAAAAACACAATATTATTGAAACGTTGCTAATGTGACGTTCAGGAAAGTACTAATTTGAGATGTATTAGTAATATTGTTAATTTACGTCAATACAATATTGGTAAAATTATATTGTACCTATGTTTCAAAACTTATTATCCATTAAACTTTCTATTTTGTTATAACTTATTAACTGACTTATTGCTAAAATAATATAGAAAAAATAGATAATGTTTGCAATAAAAAACCATTTCATTAGCAACATTAGCAATTTTATGCAATTTTATGTTAACAATAATACATCAGTAATAGGTTATAATCAACAGAAACATTAATGGGTATTAATTGTAGACTTTCAAATAGGTATAATATACCTACTTTACTAATACTGTATTGACGAAAAACATAAACAATATTGATAAAAATATGCATATCTCTATATCCATTGACTTAGAAAAATTAAAAATGCTCGGTAAATATATCCCTACCAAGAAAGTCGAATTTGTCAAACAAATTGAAACTCGTATCCTGGTTTTATCCATGTTTTATCTACTTCAATTTTTAGTTGGCTAAAAGCGAACCTAAAACATAAAATTTAACTTAAAAACAAACTAAACAAAATTTGTCATACTTATTCACGGCTACAAACATTATTAAAACACACATAATAATAAAATTATACTTACATTTACATTCATTAAAATCTCATTCGAAAAGCATAAAACGTGATACCAAAAGCGTAAAAAAACAAGTGCGTTAACCTAACCTAACTTATACGTATGATCGAAAAAAAAAGCGTCAGCGATGGCTATGAAAAGAAAATCGCTGTCATTTTATATGTAAAATTATATGGAGAATGTCATCGATACTCATTTCCAAGCTAACTAGACGCCGTTTTACTCGATCTTATGGTATATTTGTTATATTATTAATTATTATTAACTTCGCGGATCTTTCATTTGAATCTTTGTTGCAATGTTGCAGAAAAAACGTTTTAATCACCATTCAAAAACAATGTTCCTGTAGCAAGGTTTCATCAATCACGACACAACTTTTAGAAATCAACATTACAAAGCAAACTGTTTGGGAATTGACTGTAATGTTGCAAATGTAATGTGAGGTTTTTTGCTTGGGGTACCTCTCGATACCTCTCTACCTATTGTTATTCTATATATCGAGAACTATCGTAGTTATCGATATATCGGGAAAAAATCCCATCCCTAGTCACAACAGGGATTGAACTCAATTTTCAAAAGGAACCACCACATCAAAATCTACTACTGTTTGAAACTGTAACCGTTTTTTCTGTTCTTTTTTCACTTATATTTTGTTGCTTCTTTTAACGTATAAATGTTACAGTTTTATTGTAATTCTAAAGGCATGTTCACACCAAAGAAACATTGGCAAAAACTATTTTTACACGTAAAAACATTCTTTTAATTTTTCAACATTTCAAACTACACTTTTTCAAACATCCTATATTTCTTTTTCAAAACGTCCTTCAAATTTCAACTTCTTCAGTTTAATAGTTGTTAGTAAGAAGTTTCACATAGTAATGTTTTTAACCGTTCATAAATTTACGGGTTTTATATCTGTCAGAGAAAAATAAATAGTCGAAATATTTTATTTGGAATACCCTGTAGCATCTAACTCAAATATCACATGCATGGTAGTGCTGGGGTAGTTTTGATATGAGAGAAACATGTAATGTTTTTTGTTGGAGGAATTTTCTTTTTCTGGAAGATTTTATGCTTTATATATAATATGTTAAAAATAATATAAAGGGTACCTGAAAAATCTTCTCTTCAGAACTGATTCAAATTATGAAGTGGTATGTGTAAGACTAATATCGAATTTTGTCGTCTATTAAATGTCGAAAAAAAGCAGGAAATACAAACTTTTTTTGTGCCAATTAGTAACTTTCTACATTCACGTATTTGAATCAATAATTTGATATCATTATACATATTTATACCATTTTGATAGATGTATATTCTGTCCAACAAGGCTGGGATGATTTGGACCGATGACATCCAAAAAAGGATAGAAAAACTATTTACTTGTGAATTGTAATGACAGATACAACTGTCACTGTCATGCATCCTCTCGTTGGGCAGACTATAACTTTTTAATTTGTTATGTGTATATAATTCTGTACTCTAGAATCAAACCATATTAAGTCCAAAATTGGCGTATTTGAGTCACACCAAAAAATGTTGGTATAATTTAGTAACTAACTTTAAACTGTTTTATTTTTCATTTAAGTTCAAAATAAGTTAGTCATAAGCGGCGGCTACACGACAGCGACTTGCCTGCTCGGTATACAACAACTATAAGTAACACTGAGTTCTGCAAACTAGAAGAAACACTGTGCGGTGTCCACACGATGCAAGTAAGAGCGTACATTCATCATTATTTCTATTCTGAATTTGTGGTTCCGTTCGTGGAAATGTCAAGTGACGAATTATTGTTTTTTATTGCTTATTGTTAAAGAAAAAACAGAAAAATAAACGGTATAGATCGAAGTGGAGTAAAAATTGACTTAAATAGAAAACCATTTTCTCTCATTTTTTCTGTTTCTATCGGAATAATCTTTCAATTTTATCTAGCTATAGACATGGCAACGATCAATATATTTCAATAAAACTCGTCATAAACTCCTTATTGGAATAAGTACGAATATCAGACAAGAGTTGATAACTAATAACACAAAACCCACAAAAGTCACAAAACTGTACCTTGAACTCGCTGATACCGTCTACACGTATGAAATCACCGCACAAACTGGTTTGCGCAAACTAAAATCTTTAGCAGCGCGACGTTTACGCAGGCCGCGCTTGTTGGTTTGTGCGTGCTACCGTTTTACCGTCTACACACAGCGAGTTCCCGATACAAACAGATTTGCGCAGGTAAGCTCGTGGTAAAGCTTGTACGTGTAGCCGGCCCTATATACCAAATATTAGAATCATAGGCTTAAAAATAACCGAGTAATTACGAAATAACTTCAAAAAAAGCTTTAAATTCGTTTTTCTCAAAATTGTGTTTTGTGATTTAACATAGTATGCTTCTGAGGTATAGATTTTTTAGATGTTATTAAAAAATATGTTTGTTAATATCTAGCTCAAGACGCGTTGCTTTATTATTTTACATTTTTCCCATTAAAATATACTTCAGTTTGAGAATATATTTTTTGTTTCAATACTACACTATCCAAAAATAGTTTAACTAACCAAACTATGATTTTCTATTGAGCTAACAAAAAGACTGCACAAACATTAGTAATCATAAAAAAAAACTTTAACATATTAGTACATATTGCCCTCTCTAAATTTTAAATATTTCCCAGTTGTCAATAAATTAACTCTTCATGAAGACCTTTCAGACATCCTGTATATTTATTTATTAAATACTGCCATCTTGTTTTAATTATATATCAGAAAATAGGAATTGCATTTTTACATTTGTCATGTATAGTTTCTTGCCAAATGGTATTATAATGAAATTCTTTTTAATTTAACAAATTCCAACAATAACCCCTAGATAATTTTGAAGATTGTAAATTAAATCTTAATGTACAGCTATTAGGTTAATTGTATAAAGATATTTATAAACAAAAACTATTTATTAAATAATTAATAAATGGAATATAGATAATGAAAATTCTCTAGTTGTTAGGAAATTATTTATATATATGATTTTTGTTGTGCATATCATAGTACAAAGGAAAACAGTTAATGGCAATAATATTAGATTAACGTGATTTTCTAATATTATTCCATAAAATTTAAGTTTTTACATGGTTATTGTAAATAAGTCAATAAAATTATGATTTAGAAAAATATAAATGTTTTTAATAATTTTAGTCTTAATTCTACCAGTTAGCTCCTAATTTTACTGTTACAATTTTTATGAAATCCAAATGGCAAGCATATAAATTTAAATCTCCACTAATGTCCATCCATCTCACATTTGCAGCATCATCACCAGCTTTTAAAGGAAACTTTCCTACTAGAGAAGAATTTTCATCATGAAAATTTACTGCTACTGTTTCAATCCAGGCGTTATCAGTATTTCGGGGATCATCTACATATCCTTTGTATATTTCAGTTCCTTTGGAAAAGAAGGCCTTTAGCATTTCTTCGTTTTGTTTTTTTTCTTCTGAAATATGTAGAAACAAAAAGTTAATTATATATTTTAGATAAAATATCTTTTTGTTTTAACAAAGTATGTATACTCACCTTCAGAACATTCCAAACTATTTAATGCTTCCTCCATGAATTCCCGCTTTAGTGTCTGACTTATATTTTCACCTGGATCAACCATACCACCTGGAATAGCCCATTGTCCACAATCTTTCCGTTGTATGGCACAAAATTGCAAAATAGGTCTAAAATTTGTTAACAGAAATACATTTTTTACATATAGCTATTAGCTTTTTAACTTGTTAGTTGAACTTAAAACTTGTTTATTGCCATCCATTTTCCATCTGGTAACGATGGGATCGGCAGCATGATTTGGACCCCATCTACCGAGGACTCCTCGACCTCTTAATCCTGTACGTCCTTTTGGATTTAACGGCCTACCATCTTTTATTTCATAATTACCCATGTGACTTTTCCGATTTATATTATTGTCTAATTCGTTCCATTTTGGATTAAAACTGGGTCCTTTAACATAGTCAATTATTAAGGAAAGTATTAAAATAGATGTTACTATACCTATTGGAGGGTCCGCCCACGCTTTATTAGTTAAGGATTTCGAATCATAATCTAAGGGCTTATAATCTGCAAAGTTAACAAACCAAGGTACTAAATTATCTGGGAAAATAAGCCTTTTAATTTCACTGAAAGGATAAGTAGCGGCTCTACATTTACAGTGCATGATGGCTAAATTTATACAAATACCAGATGAATATTAAGTAAAAAAGAACGTACTATAAATATTAAGGTGATTTATGTGCTAAAGTATGTTAAATCACAGTGTTAAATGTGTAATTAATCTAAACTGTTAATAAAATAGTTCTAATAAACAATTTTAATTAATAAAATATATTTGGTTACGTTCCATCCGCTTCTTCTTAATTTATTACGTTGGCAACTGGCACTGACAAGATGATATTACACAGCCTGATCAGCTGCCAAAACGTACCCTGAATAGAGTACAAAAAAATGTTTTGCGTGGTTTCTGGTTTGTTACAATTTCTTTTATAGGTTTATAATTTATAGCTTTGTACTCCAAATTTACTTTATTGCATTTATTATAAAACTAACGGCTATTTCTGTTTATTTCTAAATCCAATTGTTCGATGCTAAAATTGTGGAAAAATCCAACCCTGGGAATCTAGAAATGAAGAAAAAAAAGGAAGAAGCTATATTAACATTTGACTTTGACACTAATGGCATTTGACCATTTTAGTTCTTATGTACTATTATGTTTTAAAAGGAAAGTAATTAATTTTATTTAAAATATTATTGCATATTATATCTTGATTATGATTTAATAGTAATGTGGTCACAATATGACGAAGATCTATCCAAAAATGTATTTTTCAAATCTATTAAAGAATACAACAGCGATATTTTATCGAAAGCAGCAACAGAAAAATGGATAATTTGTGTACCAAGAACTGGGAGCCAAAGAAATAAAAACATTTCCATTACTACAATTTTGGATCATGTTCTAGTGCCCCATAGTGCTGATACTTTTTCTACATTAAGTAAAAAAAACATTCATTTGAAAGATCAACATTTAAAATATGATAATATTTTTAATGTCGATGTTGAAGTACTCTTTGAAGAGACCCATTATGTAGGTGGAGAAAATAAATATACAGTTTGGTGTATCGAAAAACCTTTATTTTTGTCGCAGAACTTTTCTGAGTGTTCAAATAACCAAGTTTCTTTGCTAACACTACAAGATTGTGTGGATTTTTTGTTTAATGAAACTGCTGAGTGCCAGATACTAGAATCAATACAAAATCTTTGTACAACCTTTTGGAAAAATGAGGAAAAAACATTTGCATTGGACATCTTGCAAAGTCAAATTGATTTAATAGGCAACTTATTCTCTCAGTGTCTACAAGTTTGTTTCAAAAGTGATGGTTTACGTGAAAAGTGTAACAGTGACGAATTATTTCTAGAAAATTTAAAACTGGCCGTACAAACATGTATGCAATATTGTCTTGGTCAAAAACTAATGTACGGTATTAATAGTTTACATCATTTCACGGATAGTGAACTAAATAAGATTATAAGGAACTCTTTAAATGTTTCTTTATCGGACTTAAATATTCCTTGTACACTTGAGAATGAGATTATAAGTGCTAAATATGAATTATCTAGGATTAATAATGTTTTTACATGTTTAGATAAAGTAAATTGCTTAGCAAGAGCTTTCAATGTTTTTAATAGAAGTAAAAATTTACAAAAACTGGATATGTGTTTAACATCAGATGATTTTTTACAAATATTTGTATATTTAATCTTACAGTGTAATATTCCAAACTGGATAGCAAATTTATCTTACATAAAATATTTTAACTTTACCAATTTTGGCAACACCGATCAAAATTGTTTTTTGAAGGCAAATCTTGAAGGTTCTATAGAATTTATAAAGAGCAGTGCATTTTTAGAGAATAAAATATCTTGTATGGATAAATATACAAATGAAGACAATAAATCAGATCAACATAGTAATACTATTTTCTACTATTTATATAATAAATTAAAAAAGGCGAAATCCAATGAGGATTTATGTAATTTTCTTAGAATTATATTTAATAAGTATTTGCCTGAAACTGATTTATGCCACCCTTTATGTTCTTGTAAAAAATGTGAGCAAATTTTAATGGGTGGATATAATCAAAAAATAAAAGATGTGGTTAATGAACACAATCAGAACTTTTTGATATTTAGTTGTATTGGAAATAATATTGAGTTGATTGAATTATTGCTTTCTTTAGAATTTAATATTAACTTTAAGGACTATTGTGGAAAGACAGCTTTACATTATGCTGCTCAGTTAGGATTTCAAGACGTTCTTATGCTTTTGATTAACTTTGGTGCTGATGTCAATATTGCTGATAATGACAAAAATACACCACTCCATTTAGCCAGTGATAGAGGACATGAAAATTGTGTTAATGCTTTAATTTATTCTTCAAATCTCGTAGAATTAAATTTGCAAAATTTTTCTGGAGATACTCCATTATTTTTAGCTGCCAAATGGGGTTATATTAACATTGTTAAAGTTTTACTTGAAGGTGGAGCTTCCGTATGCATTAAAAACAATCGTAAAATGTCAGTGTTACAGGTGGCTCCAAATTATTATATTACTGAGCTAATAAAATGGTATGGTGTAGTTAAAAGTAATAAAGTAATAAAGGAAGTTGAATGTCTTAGTAATACTTCAAATCATAGTATATCAAATATATCAGAAGACATAGCTTTTCGAAATTTGAAGGAAAGGGGTATATTTCATGGCATTAAACCAAAAAATGACACAGAATTAAAGTCCATTAATGTGCTATTAAAATCTATTGAAAATAATGATTTTCCTTTAGCTTGTTATTATTTGGGATACACCAATATTTTGGATTTAAAAAAAATTAATTTGGACACAAAGTGCCATCCTTTATGTAATTGTAAGGCATGTTCTGCTGTTGATGAACTTGATGTTTTAGATGAGAAACATTACAAAAAGAAAGTCAGATTTAAAATTAACATAAATACTGTTAATAAGGATGGATTCAGTGCGTTACATATTGCAGCAAAATTTGGGAGAATAGAAATATTAAGAATATTGTTAGATAGTGGTGCATCGACCAATCTTTGTACTTATGAAACTTATTATACTCCTTTACATTTAGCATGTATGTTTGAACGAGTTCCAGCAGTCAAGGAATTGTTAAAATGCGGCGATTGTAACATAGACGCGCAAGATTATAAAGGCAACACTCCACTCTATTATGGCTCAATAAAAAATAATAATTTAAAGCTTGTTGAGATTTTGATACACAATGGAGCGGATTCTCAGAAAACTAATGATTCTGGAAAGTCGATTTTGCTACAGTGTGAAGAAAAAAATTATTTTAGAATTTGCAGTATCCTAAAAGAAAATGCTGTCAGTAAAAGTAAAACTTCAAACACCAATGAAAGTGATGATTTTATAAAAAATAAATCATTGCTGTAATTTTTTGGAACTGTTGGCAAATTTTTCTTAAAATTGAAATGAAATATATTTTTCTAAAACATCTAGTGTAAGAAATATAGCGTTTTAAAAATAAGTCTTAAAATTTGCAGGGTCCAATTCTTGCTGATCATAATATTTCAAGAATTATGGGAATTACTGTTTTATTTCTAGTCTATAAATATCTACATAATTCTTTAACCGCATTATTATAATATCATTAGACATATAGCTTTAATCAGTATACATACTTAAGTTACATGACTGTTTACTACATAGGCTTCAATAATTAATCAGATATTCTATTTGTTATATTTTATATTTTTTTATTTTACGTTTTATGCTAACGTGAGTTACCTACTTAATATTTTTTTTCTGATTACAATCTGTTATTTAGTTTTAGGAATTTAAATAAATAGATGGTATACTACTATTTTTTTATTTTTATTTAAAATTTGTTCTGCCCCCAAAAACAAATATCTATGTATACCGGGTGCGCCGCAAAAGTGGCTCACCCCCTATACTTTTTTATTTTTTCAGATAAAACAACGAGATTTGGTATGTTAGTATATGATATAAATTAGGATTGATTGACATGTTCAGTTGTTTTCGGTCACTTCCGGTTTTACTGGCACACCTGGTATTTTTTTACTTTATTTGATAGAAAATGACACTCTGAATAGAATGACATATCATATGTCAACTGCTGACATTTTCGCATATGGTTTATTTGAAATTATTGTAACATACATAACGACAATTTGACACCAAATACTAAGCGTGTGGAAAAAAATTATTCGTATCTTTTTCAAAGATACTAAAGAGCCACCCTCGTTCCATTTAAAAAGAAAGTGAGATATGATTAAAAATACGATTTGGGCATCTTTTAACCGGCTAGGATTTTAGCTAAGGGTATTTCTTTTTAAAATATTTTTTTTAAAAAGTTTCTGAAATATTTTTTAAGTGTTTGAAAAATTATATTTTGCTGTGCAGTATACAGGTATATAAGCCTTTTAAAATATTGGCCTCTTGTTTTTAAAGCTACTAGCAACTGCTAAATTTCTTGAAATCCTTGCGAAAATAGTACCAATGTTCTATAACTTGCGGATGCCATATCGTAATTTCTATTATTTCTTAATAAACATCATACATATCTCGTGTTTCTTCATTTGTTGAACATATTGTTGACTGTTATTGTTTACTTCATATGCGCTTGTCAAACTTCTAATTACGCAACTTTCGTCCTATTTAACCGAATTCGTATCTCTCGTAGTTTCTGAGATACCAATGTTGAGCATCGAAATTGTCACCACCCTGTATACTTGGTCATTATCTATCTATTGCAATCGTAAAAATGTAGATTTACAGCAAAATAACGAAGATACAGATTAAAATAAAAAACCCAGTATCTTAAATGTGATTGGTATAACAAAGCAACTTTTACTCTTAATTTCTCACAAAAACTTTTTTAGCATATACTGTGTTTTTCCTTGGGACATCTGAAATTTTAAAGCAGCAAAAATTAACCAAGGCATTTGTTGACATGACAAAAAAAATGCTCAAAAGACATGGTTCCGACAGAAAAATAATGTTTTTGGATAATTGGAGTGAAAATCTCTTACCCAAAATTTGATATAGTGCCTTTTTGGAGCATTGGGGGGTATGATAGTCCCTTGGATTAAAATTGGCTTAGACTTATTATTAAAACAAATATGAGTTATTTATTATTCTTAAATTGCTTTTTATATTGCAATGGATAGACGCAGGCGTCGTTTCCATAGCGACGGCGTCTTTATTCCGACGCGACGGTTCACTTCTATCTTTTGTAAAATAATCTCAGTTGGCGCGGAATTTCCACAGGAAACGTACGTTCGACAGAAACGCTATCTCAGTGCGATGTTACGTATAAATTAATAATAAAATCAAGTTGCCGTTTGTTAACACTATTAAATTTTTGTTTGTTCTTATTATTTTTAAAACAATTTTCGAGCCCATTCTTGTTAATGAGTTGTTCTTACGTATTTTTTTTTATTATATACTATATTCCAAGTACCTAATAAACAAATGAAATACGGACAAGAACATTTCGTCATATGTTAAATAGTTTGAAGTGACATTAAAAAAACTTAATACAAATCATATTTGTGTTACTATAACTTTGAGTACCTGCTACGAATAAGAAGTTTGGTAAAATAGGTAAGTTTTGTTAATCAAATTTTTTGTGACTTAAACATAGTTTATAACTAGGACCTAGGTTAAATTATTTGCTAAAAAATCGTCTTAAATTAGACATTGTCTGAAAATAATCATAGGAGGATCGTATCTAATTGCCAAGGCAAATTTCAAACATATTTTTTCTCGTAATATATTGATGTATGATACTCCATTTCTTAAATAATTTTTTGTTTTTGCAAATGATCAAAAATTACCATTTTTTGATACCTTTCCGAGATATGTTTGAGAATAAAAGCAGTAAAATCTATAAAATAAATGTACTGGGTGTTATATTAATAGCTAGAAAACTACATATAGAACAAAATATATAATACAAATTACTAGTGTTTTACTCGTTTTAACAATTAACATGTGTATGGTAACATTTTGGTTCAAAACACAAAAAAATTGTAAAGAAAGTTTGTTTTCTTAATAAGAGAAAAAACAAATTATACAGGTAATGCTAATATAAAAAAAAATTGGCGCCGGGAGGCACGTATAGCCGCCCATACTAAAATATGTTAATAAAAAGTTGGTAGGCAGTTCTTTTAGTTTCAAAGTAAAGGAATTTTTTCAATTTTTTTATCTCAAAAACTGCGACTTTTTTAACCCCCTCCCATACCCCCTTACCAACCGCCCACCCCCACCAAAAACTAATGGCCAGATTCTCGGGTGCCACAGTATTTTTGTGCCAAATTTGGTTAAAATCGGTTTAGCGGTTTTTGGTTTATCGTGTTACAGACGGACAGACGGACAAACGGACAGACGGACAGACGGACAGACGGACAGACGGACAGACGGACAGACGGACAGACGGACAGACGGACAGACGGACAGACGGACAGACGGACAGACGGACAGACGGACAGACGGACAGACGGACAGACGGACAGACGGACAGACGGACAGACGGACAGACGGACAGACGGACAGACGGACAGACGGACAGACGGACAGACGGACAGACGGACAGACGGACAGACGGACAGACGGACAGACGGACAGACGGACAGACGGACAGACGGACAGACGGACAGACGGACAGACGGACAGACGGACAGACGGACAGACGGACAGACGGACAGACGGACAGACGGACAGACGGACAGACGGACAGACGGACAGACGGACAGACGGACAGACGGACAGACTGACAGACGGACAGACGGACAGACACCATGAAAATATTTTGTATCTAGGTCATTTATAGACCCAAATAACTCATTTTGAGTGAAATTAAAAAAACTTTTTTTTTGCCGATCTTAATAGCCTACCATACCTATTGGTATGGTCGGCTAATAATATTAAATCTAGTTTTAAATTACCCTGTATAACTTAATTTAGTAGGATGGTATTGAAGAATATACTTACAGTAACATAATATACAGTACTATAATAGTACACAACATAATACCGTATGATTGAAAAAAAAATGGGCCGTCCAGTTTACTTGGAAATGAACATCGATAACATTCCTCATATAATTGTACTAACACGGATCTTCTGGAACTATGCCAACTTATAGATATTTAGTTTTAATAAACGGTTCATCGTATATTAATATATTATGATAAAGTAGTTCCCTGTATCATCGTCATCATCATTTTTAGCTTGTGCAACCACTTTCAATTATGGTGTAGCCTATCTCACATATTTAAATACTCTCTTTGTAGTTGGGTCCATTGTTGTCTACTGTTGATTATGGGGGCTCATGTTATCGCTGCTAATAACGAGAGTTAACGTTCTTATATTTATAATTTTAGGACATTTCTTGCATTTTTAATGACTTTTTTAAAAAAGTGAAAAAATTATATATTTTTATTTATTCACTAAAATCTCTTAAACTATCAAAACATGTATAATAATATTTTAGTATTATGTAAAGTAAACACAATGGAAGCTAAAAATGCAATAATATACAGGGTAACTTATTTAAAAAAATAATCGTGATCCATTCACACTTTTTTGAGCCATCTCTGTAGAAGTTAAAATATTTTCCTGAAATACATCCTAATACATTTAATTCTGAACTTAAACACTATTCCTAAGTTTTTATATAGAAGCTACACATGCCCGACGCATTATTGCCGGGTCCTGTATAAAACTAAATTACTTTGACAAGAACTCCATAAAATGTGAGGACGGAAAAGCTAATTCCAGATAACGCCGTAAAGTAACCGACGCACAAAGCTCGCTCAAAGCCTGCGGCAATGTCTAATAACACTTATCCCGCACCCATCGACAGCGGTACCGTAAAAGCTCCCCTTCCGGCTAATTTAATAAGCTCCAGTTCCATCCCTCGACCATCCTACCCAGTCACCTTTTCCCCATATAGCCCATATCTCCGGCCGTCCTTAAATTTCGAAAAGATCTTTCGATCTGCCAAACAAAATAAAAAGATAAAGAAACGCGATCCTCTGCGGCATATGACGACGGGTCTCGAGGGACTTTCGGGATGGGAATCTTTAAAAGGCCGACGTAAGGAACGGGAGGAGGTAGAGGAGGCGAAGGAGGAGGAAGGGAAAGAAGATGGAAAAAAGGTCTTGTGTCGATTTGCTCGAGATTGGGAATTACCGTCGGCGTGTCTACAATCGTGCCCGGTTTATGTTTCCGACAATAAGCGCAGCGTCTTGTCGATTTTTATCGAGGCGGAGAGTGCCTCGAATTTCGCACCGAAGTAAATTTTTTGCCTCCTCAGGGATTTCTTGGAGGTCAACCCTTTTCGTGTAAAATTCTTCTTACTTTTGATGCAGGCTCTTCTTTAAGGCACCAGACAGAGATGTCGCATTATATTATTTTATCATATATCATATTTTGGTCATCTGCTGGTGATACTAACACGGTCGCAAAACGCGTGTCCACTGTTCAAAGTAAAATGTTAAGTATATTGTGGTGAATCAGTGTTCCATTTTGCTTTGTAAAGTCAAAGGCTTCAATCACAACTGTAATCGCGTGTACTTCAATGATGTAGAGATGACATTCTTTATTGTTTTTATGTTTTTGCTTCTTAAGATGGAGAGGGAGATATATTTTTTGAAATATTAGGAAGTTTTTGTTGGTTATAAAAACTTGGTTATAAAAAAAGTTACTGACAACCTATTTACAAGAAATAACTTGTTTATTTTTTTAAATTTTTGTTTAGTAGAGAAATACCCGGAATTTTTT